ATCGTGAGCCGCAGCGATTCCCGGTCACAATACCCGGTGAATGTCACGTTTTGAACCCGTTCGTGTTACCACACTCGGTCGGGTCATCGCGTAATAATATTATAAATAGCGAAACAAGATCACGCGAATTTCGCCCTCAACCGTTAAACGATCACGAATGGCGTTTATTTTAGACGTCGTCGGACGGTCTTATTAAAAGGAAGACAGAGACAGCGAAACAACGAGATAAAGAGAGAGAGAGAGAGAGAAAGAGAGAGAAAGAGAGAAAGAGAGACGCGGTTAAAAGTTGACAGTTGCATTTTTAAAAATTCCAATAGTTAACCGCAAGTTCTTCCGGCCGAATTTGGCTCTACTCGTTTTCAAAATCCGTATCAACCGGACGTTTGTTTAAAATGTTTGATACTATATGTGTATCTAAAGATTCATCTTTTTGTATCTTAAAAGATTCATATTTGTGTTACATAATAGTGTGTTAAGAGATAAACTCTAGAATTTTAATTAGATATTGTATAAGGCGAAAAAAATACACTGTTTTGCCTATAGGTCATACTGTCTTTTAAGTTTGTCGGTAAATGGACCTAGTACTAAGAATAGATGTTTAATGAGTCATGTGCAAAGCGTATAAAAACAAAAAGAGCTGATACAAGAATGCGTTTTGAAAACAATCAAAAAAAAAAAAATGTTATGATACACCGTGATTTTTAAGGATTTCATTATCTCTAAGTAATGAAATGCGTTTCGAATTGCTGCGAAATTTCTTCAAAAACCTTTATAAAATTTGGAGGAATCTGTATATATATGGGACCAATATTATATACTTACCAATTCGTTATTTGTGGGGTGTAAAGCCCACCGGTTAACGAATTTTCATAAGTGCACAAAATATGAATATTAAATTTAAAAGATGTTTTAATCTAAAGTTTAGATTATAATTAACTAAAGGTTTAAAAAAAAAAATGGACGAAATCGATATAACCGTTAACGTTTTTTAGGAAAACATTTTTAGATTTTTTTTTTGAAACGATGTACATAAGTCCGCTCCATACTTTACCGCTTATAACCATAAGTTGGTTTTTCGAAATTATATCCCGTTTCATTGTAAAATTGGAAATAAAAACAATAGATTAAAAGTAAAATGTAATGATTATTTAACATTTTTTATTTTAGAAATCATTATTATGAATTTAATTAGATTTGAAATATTTGTAGCACAAGTAGTCGTTAATAGATAACTAAAAATACAAACGGTTAATTTTACATCATGTACGGTATTGTGTGGGAACATAATCAAGACAATTAGATAAAATTAATTTATTATTATTAAAATTCTAGGATTATCATAATATTCGTTACTATTATTATCGTCATGTATAGTAATATTTAACATTACATTGATGAAACCGAGCATCGACAAAATTGTGCGCGTCGGTTGAGCCGTTCTACATCAGTGTAGTAGAATTGTACACGAAACATAATTCTAAATAATGCGACGATAAATGGCAATTCGAAAGCAATGCTCTCCTCAGTGTTCTGCTAAAACAGCGCTCAATTGGTCAGAATTTTTCCAAAAAAAACCATTTATATCGTTTCACCATCTAGTGAAAGGTTTCATATAGGTTTCCCTTTGAGCCTATACGCAATTGAGTTTGGATTTCTATCATCGAAGAATAAAAACGTGCCTAAATTAGATTAAAGTTAGATTTGGTCGACGATATTGAGTGAATTCGAAGTCTGCGAATATAATATTTTGTTGATTCCTAAAAAATAATGAATATAACATAAAATTGTTAGTTGTTTTTGTGTACGTATTATATTTTTAATAAATTCTAAAACAAATGAGCCGAATAGAATAAATAGCCGAATCAAATGATGATTTTTTAATACAGTAAAATTGGAAACTGTTTATGGAAAACCTAATATAGTATATTAAAAATGTAATAATAATGTTAACACAATCATTTAGGGGAGCCGATAATAAAAATTCAATCTAAAATATTTAAAAATATAAATTATTTAAATTATACGTTATTTTAGATTCTGAGCGGAGCAAGGAATGTATTGGTTTTACAACGATGTTTATTTTAAATTCTGAATGAAGTGAGTTGTACAATGATATTTATTTTTTTTTTTTTTTAGATTCCGAGCGTAGCGGTTTTACTAAAATGTTTATTTTTTTTTTGTTCTAGTCTGTGGACAGGTTTTTCTTAGTAAACTTACTCCAATATTTACGTGCAGCAACTTTTCTGAAAGCTTAAATTGTCTAGCTGGTACTTTGAAGAAGTTATTTTTTGATTTTTGACTGCATTTTTTAAATAAAATCACTTAAGTGGGGAAAATATACAATTTCACGATTTCATTATTTTATAAAAACCCGGACGACATTTTCAACCAGAAAAAATAATTTAATCGAAAAATCATTAGATACCTTTTTTTATTTACTTTCTTACGGTATTATCGCTAAAACTTTTAAGCTTTTAAAGAATTTTCATTTTTGGGAGTTTTTTTTGCTATAATTCGGTTATTAATATACGTATAGACTTAAAACTTGGTAATAATACTTATAATGGAATTACCTAGACATGGGAAATAATCCAAAATCATCGAACGACTTTTTCTAATAAGTGTTTTGAAATCAAATTTAAACAAAAATCGCAAAAAAATTACTTGAAATCGAATTCTTTAAGTAATGGTTTATCGTTGCTTACAGATATAAGTAGAACATCCTTATGTATTCTAACTTCTCACCTACACCAGTGGCCGCTCCCACCCCCAGTATCAGCTTTTTTTTTTTTGCCTTTCTGACAGAAGACTTATTCCGATTTTTACGTGGAACAACTTTTTTGAAAGAAAATCAATGTGGGAAGATACCATAGAGAGGTCATTTTTCAATCAAGTTTTCTCATAAAATATAAAAAACCAAAAAAAAAAAAACGGGAAAATTTACGAAATATAATAAAAAAAATGTTATGATTTTTTTTTTTTTTTGACAACTTTTCTACCAGCAATTTTGCTTCAACTTTTAATGATAGCAATATTTTTTAAAGGAAATTTCACTGGGGAAGTACTTTAAACAGGTCGTTTTTCCATTCCCCCCCCCCCCGGAGTTTTCTCAGCAAATGTGAAAAATTGGGAAAACCGGGAAAATCGGTATAACATTACACAAAGATTATTAAAGAAAATAATATATAAAGCCTATATAATTGTTTTACTATAATATGGAATATATGTTGTTTACAAAGCATCACTATCAACTGAACTCCGCTCAGAATTGTTTTTTCGTAAGCAATGGTTTATATCGTTGCGTCCAGATATACATTACATTTCCCCTCTATCTCTCCAAATTCTCACTTGTGGCCCAACCACGTGTGAACTATATCCGTCTTTTTAAACCAGATCACCAAAGAAAAAAACTTACATTATTTTTGTAGTGTACGTCTTAAATAGCCGACAGCTTCAATGTCATGATAGTGTTCACACGAAAAATGTAATTATTTTAAATAATAAACATTATTTTAAATATGACTGGTTTATATTTAGAATATATATTAATAAAATTAGTCTAAGTCCTTAAAACTTAATACAAATATGTCTATCACGGGCAGTGTTGTGACTAGCGTGAAAAGGTTTGCTTAATTCAAAGTCAGACGCGTCTACCAAGAATCTATTCCAGATCCTTTTTTATTTGGTTCTGTCACCGGCGTACATGGTCAGACTTTGGATCTCCACGATACATTGTTAAATTATTGGACTTGCAAAAATATTAAAATTTAAAAAACAAACGCACATACTTCAAACGATGTGTTAGCCACTGTTGTAGGTGAGAAGTTGGGAAGGTAGAGAGGAATTTAATGCTTATCGGTACGCAAAGATTAGTCATCGCTAATGAAAAACTATTCCAAGTGGAGTTCGATTATACATGTTTTGAAAGGCCGTAATATGTATGGTTTGAAAATAAGACCTCGTTCCTAATAGAAAAAATCAATTTTGTGTATAGTATTGACCAAAAAACATTTCATACGAAAATATTTGAATAGAACCATATTTTACACGAATTATATTTCAGAAAAATGATAAGAGCCCATACATCACTCACAAACTTATAACATAGACCCACAAATATGTAAAACACCTAGATAGCCGTCTCGCTGATATCAATGATGCCGTTCGCTGTATACAAAGGCAACATTATACAGGGCGAACAAATGATTTCTTTACAGTGTTAAAATATTTTGAAAAAAACACTTCGTACATAATATTTTATGTATAAAATCTGTTTCCATCAAAATATTTTATAGAATAAATATTTTTTGCAATTATATTCTCAGATACAATTCGTTTCTACTAAAATATTTTTCGAATTTTATAGACCTATTTCATAAATATAATTTCGGATTAAATATGTTTGATTGAAATTCGGATTTTTATAGGACACCTCAACCATACGTGTATAGGTTAAAGGGATCCACACACATTCAGTTAAAACTGTGCGATTAGACTGAACAGTATTATCTGTACAGATAAATCATACGTGTGTAGGTTAATATGATGTAGTTTTAGGACTGTATAGTTGATAGAAAAAATATTGAAAATACCGTAACAATTAAAATGCGCAGATAAGACGGTGCATGTGTAAACAAACTGTACAGTTTTTAGTTTCATTACAGCAACGCGGACGTCAACTCGACTTGTGTAGTTCAAACATTTTTTTATAATATTTGTATTTAAAAAATTGTATAACAACGTTATTGTGTTGTCGTGCCGTTTAAACTATGACAACAAAACTACGTGATTGGACAGGAAAATTTATTGAAATTTATCGTTCCGAACCATGTCTTTGGAAAGTTAAACTAAAAGAATATCACGATCGAAACAAAAAGGAAGCCGCGTATGCAAAATTAATTTTGAAATTACGTGAAATAGAACCTGACGCAAATAAAGTATCAGTCGTAAAATAAATAAACAATTTACGTTGTACCTATAAAAAAGAACTCAATAAGATCATGATATCAAAATCCGTACCGAGTTCAAAAGATATTTATAAACCAAAGCTATGGTATTTTCCATTAATGACATTTTTAAATGATCAATATCTACCAATGGCTTCACGCTCCAATTTGGACACTAACCACGATGAGGTAAGAAAATACAACTTCAATAATAATAAATTATAATATAATTAAAATAATAAACTTAATGTAATAACAATTACCTACAAAATATATACATAATGAGTAGTGCTTATAAAGTTTTCGTTATTCAAATAAAATAGTTTTGCTTATAGTTCATAAATTCTTCTCTGATCATTTTTGGCGTTTGGCTTTGTTTCCTAGATTTCTTGCATCTATTGGTTCCATGGTAGAATTGTATCTTTCTAAGGTGGTTTCATTATCTATTTTTTCACGATTTTTTTGATTAAGTTATGTAACACACAAGATATTATGACAATAAACTCAATTTGTTTGTATGTACAATGTACATTAATGGTTGTGCGCAAAATTCTAAACCGCGTAACCAAAACTCCAAAAGCATTTTCTACGATTCTCCTAGTTTTTGAAACGCGATAGTTGTATATTTTTTCTCAGAAGACGTTAAATCGGCTTATCTGAACGGTTTTTTATTATGTTTGATCATAATGGAAATGCGTCATCGGCAACAAAAATGTAAGATAAATGTCTTGAATTATTTTGCAACAATTTCTTCAGCTGAAATGATTAGCTCGTTATTTTGTAGCATTTGAAAAAATATTTTTTTTTTGTAATACCCCTCCATCCGAAACTCGTCCGTTTATTCCAAATAACACAAAATGAACTGATATTGTGCGTAAACTATAGCCATTAAAACCATGCTGTGATGTTTTTTATATGCAGAGTACTCCGATCCATTTTCAATTGGTGCAATTATAGCCACATATTTTCCATCTATTGCTCCAAGTAAAAGAGAAAAATTCCATTTTTCTTCGAATAATCACGGTATATTTTTCTATTCACTGACTGTTTGTGGAAACTAAAATAAAAAAAATACTGTTTCAGATTAACATCAACGAATTATCGGATACAGCAATGGAATTAAATGAAGACCCGCGTCCTGAAGATTTACTAATGCCTACTCCGACAAGTACTACTTCTACAGACACTACTTTTACTAAATCTCAATCTACAAGATCATTAAAAATAAACTCTGAAGTGTATCTAATAAAAGATGATTTGTTATCCGTTCAGAATCACTTGAAACGTCCAGCATCTCAAGATGATCGATATGACATTTTCGGTAAAGGGGTAGCATTGAAACTTCGAGACTTGAATAAAACACAAAGATTATTGGCTGAAAAAATGATCAACGAAGCTTTGTTCGAAGCTGAAATGGGTAACTTAACAATGTTACATAAGGTGATGACTCCAACATTAACGTGATTTGATGAAATTGACTCACTCATTAGGGGTGAAGTGAAAAAATGAGAAAAAAAATCTAGAAATGGGAATTTTCAAGATGGCTTGGATCAAATTGCAATCCGGTAGTCTGGTGTTTATATGAAATAGTTTACTTACATACTCGTATTATTTGAAAATTTAATAAATAGGTATGCCAAGACACGTCATAATATTATATTATTATAAAATATATCAGTATCTAGGTTTTTTTTTTTTTGCCTTCTTTTCGTTAAAAGTATAATATCCAAAATGAGTATTGATGGAATCACATTTCTAAATTTGTGTAAACCCCTCTTACCATCAACAATGAATCAAATAAAATCTAGTTACTAATTTAAAGCATTTTATTACGATACTGGTTATATGTTTACATCTTGGTGTCAAATTGTGAAAAAAACGAGTACATTCACGGACAGGCCACTGTTGTAGACGGGTAGTTTTCATAATAGCATATTCAGGGAAGTTTAGATTATATAGGTACCGTATGTAACGATAAATTTATCAGTTTATTAATTTCACTCCTTGTTTTCTAGGTAAAAAAAAGAACTTTGCGATGTGAATCGATACAAATTTCCGAAAATTGTTCAAATAAAGTAACATAATAAAATAAATAAAGCACTATGGCAATATTTCGCGTTTTTCAAGGTACCGTTTGGAAAATCGGAGCATTTTCACTAACCGAAAACATTGTTTTCTGAGAAAAAAAAACACGCAAGTATCAGTAAAATTATAATAGCTTTTTAGCCACGATGAGAATTGAAAATTATGAATATTTTTTTTTTTTTAATTGTCACGTGCACAATAAACAAACGAATATTATGAGATGTTTGTAAAAAATTGTACTGAAACGAACGCGGTCTCGACGGCAGTGTCTACACGATTCTAATGATAATTACATCGATCGAATCCTAAGAATCGCGAAATAAAAAAAATACAAAACAACAGAAATATTCAAGTAGAACGTAAACAAAATGACAAATCAAGGTTTTTTTCTCGAAACGTAATTTTTCAAACGTCTCAGTTTTGGATTCCGAGCGTATCAAAAAGTGCCCACAATATAATACGGTTTTACTACGATATAATATGTGTTTTATTTTTATTTATTACATTATTTTCATTCTCCAATCGAAAATTAGTATTTTTCGAAGTAACTTTTCTTTCTGGTCGGCGCGTTACGTGGGAGATAGCGATTTCACAATTTTCCTCCGCGTCTTCTGTTCTGGAATTCGCGTCAATAGTAATAATTCATCTCGCTAAATATAGCGAGACTCAGAAAATCAAAAGTTGCTATTTCGATAGAATAAACATTCATTGAAAACGCTGAACCGAACAATAAAAAGCAAAAACCCTAGAAAGCGTTTTTTTCCCCATTTTTTTTTTTACCGGGAACCTAAGTAATATATTATTATTATAAACTCGTGTACGTTTTTTAAATTTATATTATTTATCAACAACGTCGAGACGAACGATGACAATGACGGAATACGTACCAGAATAATCGAGAATACCGATGTACAATTTAACGCAATGACCTTATTAATAATACGTCTCTGGTCCAAAGGAAGAATGGCTTAAGTCAATTTTTTTGTTTTCTATAATTTTCTGATATAATTTTTTCTTTTATTATTAAATTTACCTAATTTAGTCCCTTCTTCCTTGCAGGGATTAAATATTATATAATTAATTAACTACATAATCAAGAGCTACACACATAATATATTATTGTTGTAAGTTGCCAAAGGAAAAACGTATTAATTTTTTTTTTACCCTTCGTAATCAAGCATAACTTATTAAAACATAGTACATAGTGTTTTTTTTTTTTTAAAGCTGGGATCTTTAAATTCATTCACGTTTACGATATTAATATTGAAAAGATTCATACATTTTCCTAAATTTCAAATCAAAATTAATATATTTTATTATTCGAGGTTCGAGGTTTTTAAGTTTATTCACATTAAACCGATTTTCTTAGCGTTTTAATTCTACACTTTGAATTTTTTTTTTTTCCGAAAAATTAAATTTTATTTTCGAAACCATACTAAACTCTAAAATGTACCTGTATTATTATCCATTTAGTCGGTTACTTAAATAATAATAATATACCCACGTAAAAATTTCACGCCACCCACTCCGCACGTCACTTTTTTCATTATACTATGGCTGTAAACATCGACAATACCATAATTTTTTTTCTGTTTTACTATTTTTCAAAATAATAAAAATATTTTATTCGAATGTCCATCGTATATTTTATTATATTATGCTTAACCGAACGCGGCCATAAAAAAAAAATATTATTAATAAACGCTCGAAGAATGTTTCGCAAATAAGTCTAATCGGTATTATGTATGGTATACGAGTAGGTTATACCTATCTAGTAACATTTATTTTCATTCATAAATGGGTATTATATTATTTATATTATCGTTTTAGAAAGTGAATGTGAATTTGCGAGTATAAAATTAACGTCAACTCGTTAATGCAATTATTAAAACCGCCAATTTAGTTAAATGCCCCGCATATGCGAAACGTCTTACAAGGATTTATTAGTTACTCATTGATATAAATATATACCCGTACTTAATATTATAATAATATAATTCGATTTGATTTCAATATAATCGGTTTATACGCCTAGAGATTGCAACTTACTGCTATATGACTTGTTTTTTTGTTGAACATTTTTTCGGTTTTCCTCGTATATAAATATCGATAAATCGAATGTATTTGTTAAATATAACAAATTTTAACTGTTTTAGATTCATTGAGATTAATGTATTACTGTGTGTGAGTGTTTTTTTTTTTTTTTGTTTGTAAACAACTTTTTTCCTTTTTTTTTTTTTTTTGTTAACAACTTTGCTACTAGAAATCTTGCTTCGATCGTTAAGCGTATACATTTTTGTCTAATATTAAACTGTGTCTATAATAGATGAGTTGACTAGATTAATTTTTAGATTTTCTTTATAATTTTCTTGATAATTGGAAATAACTGGGGTAAAACGTAGTTACCTACGTAAACCAGGAAAATCTGTGCAATAATCTATTTGGTTATTTTGTTGCGATTCGGTTACAAATAATCGTAGAGACTCGACGTTTTCCCCAAATACCCGAATTTGCACTTCCTACACACGGTATTGTATTTAAAACTTACTTTTATAGCCATTTTTTTTTAGTTTTATGATTTGAATAAAATTGTATGGGCTACAATATTTAAGAATTTAACACATTGTCCATCATAAGTTCATATTTGTTAAAAAAGAAGTTGAATGTAAATTATTTTTATATAACCATATTTAAAATATTTTAATATTTTACGCGTGAATTGATCTGAAGACTCTGTGGAAACATTACTGTCCTAGACATTTTCAGAATTGGTTAATATTTCATATCTGGGCTACACAATCATGAACCGATTGACAGTTAAAAATGGAAGACGACCAATGGTTGTCAAAAATGTATTCAAAAATCATTTTAGATGTACGTAATAATTTATTGATTTACTAATTTTATTTATTTATTTTAAATATGCATTTTACATGTACGCGTATTTATAGGAAAACCACATTCATATTACGATTAGGTAATATTCATAGTTTTCGTATGTCATTTAAAATTATGTTTTTATAATTCTGTGATGACAAAAATGTCAATTTAAAACTAGACAAATTGCAATATGAAATCGACAGTGAATCATCAAATATTTTTCGTATGCCAAACGGTCGTAATATTGCGATAATGCTTAGTATAAGTGATGATACTTCGGGATCCATGATCAATATTGAAATAGAACATGAAAATGAAAAGAGAAAAGATAAGATATCCGTTATCTTAGAATATGCTAGTAATACTAAAAGGGATACAAATTACGTTCAGAGTATTTTTTAAACCACGCTGGTAATCTTTTTTTTAATTGTAGTGGAAAAAATTAGTGATTCTACATTAAATAGAGAAAACCCAATAGAAAATAAAAATCTAATCATATCCGAAAATACGAATAGAAGAAGACAAAAAGTAGAAAATAAATCATTTGGAGAAAAATGTATGAAATTGAAAGGTGATTTAATTGTTGTCAAAATATTATATTATACTATTCTAGTTCGGAACACAAAAAATAATTTTAAAAAACCAAAATTACCAGAATCTAAAACAATTTTAGAGAAAAAAAATTATTAGATCTTCGATAAATATATATACGAATAGGATAAAATTTGATACCTATATAATAATGATGGTCTCGATTCGTTTTGGTTTTTGTGTCCGAGCTTTAATAATTTCGCCATATTTTACTATGTTTTTCCAATATGATTCATAACTTTCATATTTATTTATTTCACAAGTCAATGTGTTTAAACGATATTGGCAAATCTAAAACAGAAAAAAGAAGTATACCGCCGTCGTCGTCGGATGTTCCGAACCGCAAGAAAGATAAAAGTGCTTCAGTAAACGTCAAAAAACAAACTCGTACGTTTTATATTTTTTTTGTTACAACGATAACGACCAATAAACGATTAAAATACAGTTTATGCATGGATATTGAAACCATGGATACTACTCTTTTTTAAGTTATTTGGTTATTATGAACCATCCGTGTCACTAAGGTAACCCATCGATAATCAACATAAGTAATTCTATTTTCCTTTCGAAAATACCAAAAACTCCTCCCTGTGATAATAATATATTACATGTGCATTAATTGTTGAACATGCTGAAAAAAATATATGTTTTTTTTTTTTACTAAAAATATTTCTCGATGAACGATTCCACCAGGACAACATAATATATAATATTATAACGTTTTGTGCATAAAATAAACAATTCGGTCTGACGCAAGCAGGTACGGTTTTCGCACAGATGTAAAATATTTCTAACGCGCGATCCGATATTTAAACACAATATTGTATATATTTTATTTTTATTTGTTTATTTATTTATTTTGGTATACACTAAATATTTTAATTAGTCGTGATTTTCTATATAATATGGTATTGGTTTATTTGCTTTACAATTATAATAATGAATCGGTGTTTACATTACATTCAGATTATAGCTGAACAATCGATCTGTACATTGAACTTTAACAGCCCGTCAACCTATAGTTGCCTACGGTTTTATATTTACCTACACATTTTAAACAGCGTTTTAATTTGTCAAATTGGCGGGTTTCCTACACTGGAAAATCTTGATCAATTATATAATATTTTTTAAGTATATAAAGCGATAAAAAAAAATTAAATTATTTTTTTACTCAAATTACTATGAATACTTAGCGCCTGTAAATGCGTGCACAGCCACCGCACGAAAACGTTTTCAAAAATATAGGAATGGATATTTTGGCGGCCAAACGGCCCAAGTAACTTAAAAATCCTATAGTTACTCCTTTTTACGTCTACAACTACAAAAAGCTGATAAATATTTGTAGTTTTAAATATTTTCTTTGAGTACTATTACTTTACATTTATATTGTAATAATAATAATTTTCAGTATATTTCATAATAAACTTTTAAATGTAATAAAAATACAAGATACTGCCTTATGGATAGGCCACGGTTGTAGGTGGGAAATTGGAGAGATTGGATTATATAGAGTAATTTAATTTGGTTGTATAGTGCAGTTATCTCGATTTTTTTTTTAAATAGAACTGAGAAAATAAATTTCGAGGAGGAAAAACTGAGAAAATTGTTTCCTTGTCATTTAATTTCATCTGTGAGCAACAATAAATCTTTGCTTACGAAAGACGATAAACATGTTTTGAAATGCCGTGAACTTATTTTTATTAAAACTTTATAAAAACTTGAACTTTAAACGCGTATAAAAAAGAAAAAACTCGCTTAACTTTCATATTAACACTACGTGTACAACTTCTGATTAATCTTCAATTCAATTTTCGAGCGGTTTTTCTGGACCAAAATAATTTAATGTGTATAAAACCAATTAAATACTAAAAAAATTCGTAAATGTTTCGGTTTTCTCCACATTTTACTTAATAGTTTTACACAATTATTAAGAAAACTACAAGGAAAATCTAAACCTAACCTAAAAATCTAACCTTCTCAATGTACCTACCGGACAAAATTGTCTACGATAAATCGCCTCTAAACCCGACGATAGTGGAACATGGTAAAAAAAAGCTATTTGCAAACAGAAAAAAAAACACACATATTCACTCCACACACGTATCATAGTAAATCCGGTGCACTTATTCGCCTCGATAAAATCTAAAAAATGTATGCTTACTGGCAGCGAATACAAATGTAATATTGATCATGCCAATGAGTATACTGTATATATTATATAGGTAATAACTATTATTAAAACGTAACGGTATACATTTATAACGTATGAGACGCCTATAGTGCCAAGTCGCGCTACTAATTACAGTTTTCGACGGGTCGGATGTAGCGGCTTTTAAAAGCGCTATATGTTTTAATTACCGACCCTAGAAAAAAAAAAAAAATGTTGGCAGCCGTTTAAACTGGATAATAAATAATAAGTACTTAATTACTCTATTAATATTGTAATAAATTCTAATAGTCATATTTGACTTGTCAAATATGACTTGTAAAATGTCAACGTTGTTTAGTAATAGCAATGATTTTATAACATCAACATATTATTATAAAAACAATGGTAATAGTGCAGAATAAAAAAATACTGCATGTCTTAAGTAAAATTACGCGTGTGTGGCATATCTGATTTCATTTGAAATGGCACAAACCCCTCATACATCTGTTCGATTACCAAAAATTCGCCATTTTTACCATTGGTTTTTAAATTCACACATAAATGACTTTGTTTTGGGGATATTTATTTAGCACGAAAAATTGTATGCAAAAACTAAGAGCAATAAGAACATGATGCAAGTCGTACAGTCGCTATATTATACATAATTGTGTAAACTACTCGCATAACAAAACAATCGAATTACTGTTTCCCACTGTACAATAATCGCTGAGAAAAGTTTGTGTTTTTGCATTTATCGTAAATTAATCAAGAAAAAAACCAAAGTCCATAACGTGGTCCAATATTATAATGATAACACGCCCTGACGTCCCAGAAGCAGATAAGAATAATAAATATTGATACTTTTGATTGGATATCTTTATAAACTATTCGCTTTTTTTTTTTTTTTTAGTTCTTAGAATAAAAAATTTCGTTGATATGTAATCGTAATATTATATTATATCACTGTACATAAGTAACAATACTCATCTATTTAAACCTAGCTACTGTTTATTATATTTCTGTTTTATGAACATAATATAAACGCATAAAAAATGATTCGATTATCATACAACACGCATTATTTCAAAAAGAGTAAATTTGTTTTTTTATTTTTTAGAAACGTTAATAAATACGTCTCTATAAAATACTTAATTACCAAATTTGTTTTCTTTCGTCACCCTGATTCCGACAAAAATGTTTACTTTTTGAAATAACACAAGAGTTGTACGGCTGATCAACAAATCACCTTGTATATTTTAATACACGTAGATATAATAATATTTTGATAGTTACATATCCCAGTGACCTGAATATTTTATACTCTATATTATTATTACGATGTGTACGATGCAGCGTGTAAAATATATGTAAGAGGCTATTTAAATAAATAATATAATTACAACATATGCGATTTCACAATTTTTAATAGCCGATATTTTTTTTTTTTTTTTTTATGTAATATTAAATAACAATATTATACCGCATGGGTACAGATGTACTCTTACAATATTGTTATAATATTATACTTGTGTACGCGTTTTTTAGAAACATAATATTGCACATTGTGTTCGTAAAACTACGGCCGAGTATATTATACGCGGCGATCAACATTACGCGGAAATTATTTACTTTTATGATCGGAATTTATTTCCCAGACGATTTACAGAAATACGTAAGCGGCTCTAAAATGTTAAATTAGTTTTTTTTTTTTTTTTTTTTTTTTGTATCAAGTAAAACCATTAAACTACCTTTGATTTTCAAACGGTGACCTATGTTAAAAATTCTATACATAGACGAAGTTTTAGTTTCAACACACTTAAAAATAAAAATACAATTTTGTCGAAAACCTATGGGGAGGGAAAAAATCCGTTATGTACGGCAACAACGGCGGTGTAAAGGGAAAGTCCTGCACGTTTACGAGTAGGAACTGCGAGGAGACGAGCTCGACGGTTGTTACGGCCTGTGAACCCGTCCTATATATTTTATTTTTTTTCGTAATCGAGAGTCTGGACGGATTGAGCCCGAGTTTAGCCCTAAGCACTTATTTGAATAGCCTATTGTCGCCGTCATAGGAATACGCCATAACCAACACCCCGAACATAAGCTGTAAACCATATTATTGTCTAAAAAGTGATACGATTTATTCGATACAGAATTGTATTATTTAAAACGTTTGTAACTGTTTAGTTTTGGAACGCTACTGCGTATTAGTAGTGGTACTCCGCAACATTATAACATATTATTTATAATAATTATGATGTAACGTATTCGTTCGAAATTCGTTGCAATATTATACGTAGTATACGTTGCTGATTATTTATATAAGACGGTCAATTATTTTCGAAACCGGGCTATTAAAAAAAATAGAACATGTTTTAATCATTATAATATTATTACGGAAAAAGAGGAGGAACGAATTGATGCGATTTAGTATCCGAACGTCCATATTATTTTTTTTCTCAATACGCCGTCGTTATGATACTATTATAGCGACGACATTGTGACGTGAACACGGAGATCTCGATTTTTTGATTTAAGAAAACAAACGAAATCAATAAAAAAAAAAACTTTACCTATACCTTTACGTTATTAACTAATTCCGATAAAATTATGTATCGGACGAATGTCGGAAATTATTAAAACTGTACGCGATCGAACGAACGTGATGTTTGTTTAGCGGTCTGTTTCGTCGTTGTTCGGGCGCGAGTACCTAACTATTTTTTGTTTTATTTTGTTTATACCTTGTATTATAGACAGCACAATCGACATACTCGTATTCCACATTCCAAAATAAATTTAACATTTATATACCCGTATAAATCGACAACAAAAAAAAAAAATTTTATATATTAATATTATTGACATGGTACTTACCTATATTATATAAAAAAAAACATCAATATTTAATTTAATCTCTGTTTATTTTACTATAAATATTAATTTTTTAATTGTGATTTATAATTTTGAGTACATCTCAGATTGATAATAAATAATAATTACTATTTGTGATTAATTATATTGGCCAGTTAGTAAATTTAAACTACACCTATCTCAAACATTCATGCTTTAATATTCCCTTAAGAACCCCTACCCTTCTCTCCGACTATAATCTATGTTGTTTACTACTGTGGGCCACGGGTGTTTAATAGATAATCTAAAAAAGTTTTCAAAATATGTCTGTGACACTGAATAGCTCCCAGCTCTTGAAAATTGTGTAATTTTGTGTGATTATTAAACCTGATATCAAGGGCCTCGTAAAATAATAATCGGCAATCGTTTTAATTTAAATTTTCTTAATTGTAATTTTTCAAGTCGGGGCCCGGGTGTGATTGCACCTAAGCACTTCAGGCCAGTCCGGTTCTATCGTAGAAACGTCTGCAACAGTGCGACACGACAGTAAAACAGAACGGTATAACGCGTGACATGGTGTGATAATTGTTTTCGCAACAATTCGACAGCCACTGTCGCCTTGTTTACGCGACGATAGTTCAGAATAGCGATTATTACGCGATAACGGTCATTATATCGTTCGTGGACCGGGCTTTAAATATTATAATCGTCCGAGTAAGTAAGTAAGTGATGTGATACAATTAATAACAACGCGATATTGGTAAATTTAATAATTACCGGGCGTTTTCGTTACGAGTATTATATAGTAATTACGCGCACGTTAGAAGTGGTTAAAAAAAAAAAAACAGTTTCCCACGATTTTTTTAACGTTCCATAATACGCCGAATAGTATTATAAAAGTTTCGATAATACTCGTATTATCGTCGTCGTAGGTATTCGAAAACCAGTTTGCTACTCGTACGTGGAAAAAGCTATAGACATTGCATATCATTATAGGCATCCGCTTAATTATTGTCCTGACCAGATAATATAAATTCTATTATTATCACCGGAAAATGTTACGTTTCGTAATTATTTTTTTTTTTTTCAGTTGATTCAATAGGCGCGCCCGAAATTTCTAATATTTAAATAATTACATGAGTAATACATCGGATGTTAATATTTCTTTTTCTTGGTATTCGATTGGTGGTTGACCATAGTTCTTTTCCGTATGCTCCTCCGTCATAAATCAGTCTCTTCGATTCTCGGTAACTTTTCACTCTCCCGTGTCCTTGGGAATTTGTAACATGCGTATTTATACGTTCGTCTATTTTTTTTTTTATTATTTATCACGTAGCAAGGTTATTGTGTAATATCGTTAAAAGTTTCGTTTTTGTCTATTACACTGTATTCTGGTGTTTCATTTATAATAATACAACATAGGTGTATATTGCACCTATGTCTTTAGTAGTAAGGACACGTATGTCATAGTTTCATCCCGCTACTTTTGGACATTTTTAACGATTTCCTCTGGACCAAATGAGCTTTAACTCGGGAAATTGTAGAATTGTTTTTTCTAGCTTTGAATACCTGTGCCGATCTCTCTAGAGGGATGCAATTGTGTATATGTATCGGCATTAGTGCCAATGCGATGTTTTTTGGGAAATTTAAACTTTCAACACACGGCCCAACCATGTTTCAGCTGACATTTCGCCATTCTGATGGAAGTATAGTATAATACCTACAATATTATCGGAAATTATTTTATAGGGAGTAAAAACGTTTATTATTACTTGAAAAGAATACAACTAACTAAAAGCGATTCTCGGCTATCGAGTTCGTTATGCTTTTCCTTTTATACAGTCTGAACATAAATTTACAACGTTTGTTATTTATATTAATTTAATAAGCAATGCAGCGCTTAATGATTGTCCGCTTTTAACAGAGAGACAGCCGCAATAAAGAAAACAAATACAAGTCACAGCCCTTTTTTAACTATGGAATCGATCATTTAAATTATTTCGTATGAATTTTCGGCGAGTCACTTAAAAATTCAGAATATTTATCACCGGTTTAATTTGGTCGTGATCGAAACTTAAAGACGCGTAAAATAGAACCTTGGCAAAACGACAGACTTATTTATTTTCGATACGAGTTTAATGGGTTCAACAAGCGTACAGTAATTATAATACTTGAATCTTTCGAATCTTAAACATATTATAATATTATTTTTTAAATATCAGTATTCCTGTTGCGAAAATTGTCAACTATTTTTCCCATAATACGAGCACTACGCTGCGGGACTACCGTAACAGCCGTTCTTGGCTGTGTTTCAGAAACGGCTAATTCGGCAAAAATGTTCGCATGTAAACAAGAATACGTTTAAAAAATTTTAATCATAATATTTTTCTTATTGTGCAACAGTTATACATTGTCATACATATACATTGGCGTGCCCAGGAATTTTCAATGGGATTTAAAAAAAATTAAATCGTTAAATCGTCTTCTCTACTTAATTTGACTATGGGAATTTGTAATAATTTAAAATCCGAATCCTAAAAAAAGCGCCAGATTTTTTTGGATTTTTTTAGGATCATTTATATTTTCAGAAAACATTAATTTTCATGTTTAAAAAAAAGTACTTTCAGAGTACGGAGACATTCCCGAATAAATTCAATCTTAATAGTGTTGCCGTTTATAATAATATTAATTTTAAATCTTTCCCATTTCCGTTCAATAATAATAATTTTCCTTTTCCATCGCGTTCTATTTATAAAGAATATATATTTATGTATTTTTTTTTTTTATTATTATTCCAAGAACCGGATATTTGGGCAAGTATATGCTCCGTATACATTGGAAGCGAGTTAATTTGAAAAATAGCTGATACTAGGGATGAATGTGTTAGTGTTGTCAGTGTACAGCCACTGCTGTAGACTGGGAGAAGGGAATGTAGGATACAAAAAGTTGTTTAATTTATACCTGTACGCAATGAATAATCAATGCTAACGAAAAACTATTAAGCCCGGTTATACGTGTTTTGAATTGGCCTAATTATTAAAGTATTTGAATCTCGAAAAGGGTTATAAAAAAAAATATGTAGTCATTTTTTTAAGAGTTTTTGAGCTGATAATTTTTTACGCTCAACTAATTTTTGTTCTTTTAGATTCCGAGTTTAGTGAGCTATTGGTTTGACAATGCTGTTTATTTCTTTCTATCTTTCTTTCTTTTTTTTTTTTCTTTGTTCTAGTCTGTGAACACGTTTTTTCCTGGTAAACTTGCTCCGATTTTTTACGCATAGCAACTTTTCTGAATTGTACTTTAGAGAGGTCATTTTTAAAATAAAAGTACTTTAGTGGGAAAATGAGTAGGAAAAACGTAAAATTTTATTATTTTATAAGAACACGGAATGCGTTTTCTACCAAAAAAAAAAATGAATTTATCGAAAAATCACTAGATACTTTTGTTGCCTTTTTGGTTTACTTTCTTGCGGTATCATTGCCAAAACTTTTGAGCCACTTTCGAACTTTTTGGGAGTTTTTTTCTATAATTCGGTTATAAATACACGTAGAGACTTGAAACTTGGTAATACAACTTGTATTGGACTTACCTAAACGTTGTAAAATTTCCAAAATCATCGTACGACTTTTTTTTTTAATAAGCGCTTTGAAATTAAATTTAAAAAAAAATCACAAAAATTATGTATTACCGAAGTGCATTTGGAATCGTCTTTCGTCAAATAATGGTTTATCACTGCTTACAGATATAAATAAAATAACCTTATGTATCCTACCTTCCCAACTTCTCACCTACAACAGTGGTCGCCCCCATTCTCAGTAACAGCGTTTTTTTATTTTTGACCACTAAATAGAACTTATACTTTATAGTAACTAATAATACTTCGTGTTCAATTTTCGACCATATCTACCAAACAATTTAATAGTAAATATTACATAATTTCAAAATATGTATAGCTGAACTTTGCTCAGAATCGTTTTTCGTTAGCAATGTCTAACTGTCGATAATCGATATACATTAAATTCTGCTCTGTATACAACCTTTCGAACATCTCTCCCACAACAGTGACCTACTCATCGTGTGAAGTACGTCTGTCTTTTTTTCTATTATTATGAAATTAATTTCTCAATACACCGACTCGATCCAAAATACAATAATAAATTACAAAATTTAAGTATCTTTAGTTATATTTAAATTTGTTTAAGTTTCTACGTATAAGAATATAAATACTATAGATTACCGAATTCTTTCGAAATCGTATAATATGGAATCATAATTTTTGTTCAAAATATGTTTGGAAATCGAAAAAATTGCGTGTTCGGATTGTGGGCTTGGCTAACTATACTTTATAACTGATCCCCCACTAACTTACCTGTAACTATAAGAAATATTCGCTACTATTATAATATGGAAATCAAATTTGACAATTTTAAGGAATTCTTTTTGTCGTTTGTGTCACCAAGATGAGCCAGAAAATACATTTGGGTTTTATAGGACTGCAAATCAAATTTCGGCCGATCTTTAGGGGATATCTACCATAATTGGTTGAATGCCCCTTCTTAGTGCTCATATACACATTAACGAACCTCGGCACAATATTTCAAATCACTAGATCCAACGTTTTTGGGATGTACGATGATCACAGCAGTCAGATAGTCATATAATGTATTTTCAGTGTCCTCGATACTTACGTAAATTATCACTATTTACTTAAATTGTTGTCGATTTTCTAGACGCACGACTGGAAATCCATAGGAACACTTAAACTAGCTACTGCTATTGCTATAAAAAAGATTAGTACTATAGCTGAAATATTTTATTGTCTATTCAAAATGGAGGCGATTTCGGATTATTGAAAATCAGACGATTTTAACTTACAGACGTATCTATTATTTTTTTTATTATTATTATTATTTATTGTAAATAAATGTACGCAACAATTTCACGTAAATAATAAATTATACACTACATAAAATTATAGAACAATAATAATATTAAAAAAAAAAAAAAACAAGAATAGATAATTATATAATATAATATTTATGGAAAAAATCCGTCGAACAATATTCAATATAAAACACAAAATATTTTAACAAATTTAACTGATCTAAAGATTTACATTTTGAAATAACGCTCGTCACAATAACATATTAAATCACAATATATATATATATATGAATAAATCTCTGGTTTTTTGTATATGATAATATATATTATAATGTTTTTTTACGCGGTAATCTTTTCGGATAAAAATAGATTTTCTTATAAAAAAAAAAAAAAAAAAATAAAAAAACAATACGATAACGAGTGGGTAGGTGCTGTTGAAGTATTGTGCAAAAAAAAATACAAGACTGTTAAAATATACAATGTTAGCGATCTGAATCTATACAAGTAAGCGTTCAGTCCCGTGGCATGACGTGTATTTATGGCTAAGTCGCCAATAATTTCGGACGACGACGACGTGTAACAATTATTACAATCTACATGACGCGTATCTAAAACACACATAAATAATAATTAATATTGTTACCAGAGACAAAATGATAATATGTTTTCTGATTCGATAATATCATCCAGGTTTTTAAACGTATTTTTTATGATTTTAAGCGCTACGGGTCTCGACCCCGCAATATAGTAGACGAAAAACTCTAAGTATACCGTAAAGACAATATTATTTACCAAAAAAAAATGTAAACCTGCAATTAATATTCACGATGAACCGCCTAAGTAGAAACGAATACTTTGGATATTGATATTCGATACCTATGATGTCTCGTGCGCGTGTATTGAGGTGTCAAAATGACGAAATTCACGTGTGGTATCGCCCATTTATAAAAGCTATATAGCCAAAACTATCAAAGTGTAGTTAAACCAGAAGAATAAACGCTACCATTAATCTCACCCCACCCCCCTCCACAACGTTACGACGACGGTTTGCGACCGGGACACGAAAATTATGCTTTATGAAAAAACCTCTAAAATTTTATCGTACGGGACATGATGGCGGAAATAATTTACGCAGGGTGTTTTCCTCCGATCGAAATATATCCTACATTTCCGGGACGGTGGCCGGAAAACGACCCGGACGACAACTCGAAACGCGTCGTCGCGTTCGTCGCGTGTCATGTTTATTATACGTTTCACGACTCACGTTTAAGCATTAGATATTATAAAAAAAAAATAAAAAAAAAAAAAATCGAATTTCGCAACACCGACAGCATAAACGTTATTGCAGGATTCGTGTCTGGCACCGATAAACGATAATAATGATATACTGCATAACCTATAATGATATTATTTTATGCGACGTGGCCGGCGTACTCTGGTATGCGGTATTTTTATGGTCTGTAAGATTTGTAATTTTCCAATCCCCTATATCAGTGTTTCTCGACCTAGGGGCCGAGGCTATATGACTGGTGGGCAGTGAAATATTTATTTAATTTAAAATATTTTCGGTTATTTAGTTATTAAATAACAGACCATACGATTAATCATTGTCGATAAAGTCTAATGTTAAATAACTGTTATTTAATAATAATAAAATTGTATTTCTATTATATATCTTTTTAAGTGAAGATCCGGGATCCAACCATAATACATTACGATTTCATACTGACGTTAGTTGGCTATTCCGTGGTAAAGTTTTGAAAAGAGTTATAGAACTAAGTGATGAGCTCCGTATAATTCTCCGTGACATTAAACCAGATTTATTCGCACTTTTAAGGAATGACAAATGGATGTGTTTGGTATCAAATTTAGCAGATTTTTTCGATAAAGTCAATGAATTAAATCTATCTCTCCGAGGTAAAAGTACCAACATTTTAATACGTGTCTCAAAACTTCAAGCATTTAATCACAAATAGTCTTTTTGGTTAAACGCATTTAACAATGGAGATTCCTCGATGTTTACGAGTTTACATGATTTTCTTACCGTTAATAAGCTTTCAATAACAACTTCAGTTTTAAGTGTAATAACTGATCATACGTCTTCAATGCTAAACTTTTTATCTGAATATTTTTCAAATTTAAATAAAAATAATGAAAACAATTCGGTAAAATTACCATTTTCTATTTCTTTGAAATACGATCATGTTTCATAAGCCGAAAAAGAGCAATTAATTTAAATCAGAGTTGAGTAAACTATTGAAACAAAATTTAATGAAAAATAACTTACTGGAATTTTGGTTAAGACGGCAGCAAGAGTATTTAGTGATTTAAAAAGCAGCTTTACTTATATTAATGCCTTTCGCATCAACATATCTTTGTGAAACTGCATTTTCACAACTTCAAATTATAAAAAACAAACATAGATCATGCATTTGACTACAGTTTTTAGAAGCAAACTTGCGTATTTCAGTTTCAAATATCACACCGGACATATATATGTCAGCAAAAATATGCAACCCTAACCGTCACATTGATAATCATCAACATTATTACTGAATTTTTTGGTATTGTTTTATAGTTATTACAAAAATATATTGACATATACGGACATTTTTCCGGGCGGGCGAGTGAGCTTTTACAAACCTGTGGTGTTTTTTTTTTTTTTTGTCACTCCGCGACTATACCGAATATCAATAAACGGCTTTACGTAACACTATTATACCGAACAATAAAACACATATCGGCGATGGTTTTTTTCACCGGTTAATTTTGTTGCGAGTCGACCGAATAATAATATCATCTCGGGCTCGTGACGCGCGTACAAAGAAAATCGACAAAATTGTCCGTGACGAATGTTACGAATCGACCGAAAAATGCCCGTACGCAACCGCATATACGCATAGCGCGCGATAAATTTCGTAGCCGATGAAAAAACCACGTAATTTATACACGAAACTAGTGGTTTTGTGTGTATTGTGTATGTACGCGAACCGGTCGTTTCGAACGTATGAGAGTACTTGGCATATGTACTATTATACTATTATACGTACTCGTCGCGTAAAAACCGGGCGTGTGAAAATCCGGTCCGTTCTCCGTTCGAAATGTTTCGAAATTTGGATTTTTTCGCGACATGTACTCACGGTGATTCGATAACGTCTACACCGTAGGAACCGGTGGTCTCAAACACATGGCACGTGATTCGCGAACACTTCCGGTATGACCCGCAATAAACATTTATTTCGTACAAACGTTTTATCAATTTTTTTTTTCAAACCTTTAAGTTAGGTTAGATTCCTAGGAACTTAACCTAACCTTCCGTTATATGGAAATATCAGCCACGGAACATAAGTCCAGGGTATGCGCCGGTTTTTTATGTCCCTTCTGGAATTCGGAATTATGGACATGTCCTTTTTTACAATAATTGATTCATAAATACACTTACAAACACGGATGGCGCGTTATCCGTTCACCAGAGGTCGCGGTCGGAGTACAATGGCTTGTGGAACGGCAGCGCAGACAGCGCGGGATAAGGTCTGTGAAAGTCATTCAACGGGTACGCGTGGTGCACCGGTATGCCGAAATGCTTGACAACGGGCACCGGGTACGGCTGCGGAACCGGTACGGGGTACGGCCTATCCACGTGCACGGCGAATGGCTTAGCCACGGCCACCGGGTACGGCTTGGGTACGGCCACTGGGTACGGTTTGGGCACCTCGACGGGATACGGCGCGGCCACCGGGTACGGGACGTGTTTCTCGACGGTCACTGGGTACGGATGCAACACCGGCACGCTCTTCGTGATCGTGGTAGCCGTGTGGATGTGCGTGGGATAGTGGCCGTCGTTATGATGGTGATGTCCGCCTCCGAAACCTGTGCCGATGGAACTGCCCAAGCCGTAACCGCCCAGCGTGCCGTAACTGGGACCCTCGTCGTAGAGGCCGCCGGCACCGCCACCGCCATATCCCAGGCCCCACAAGCCTCGTTTCTGTTTGCTACCGCTACCGCCGGCCTTGTCCTCCACGCCGGTTTTATCCTCCACGCCAGCCACCAATGTTACCCAGATGGCACACAATATCATCTAAAAAATGTCAACAACAGTTTTATGTGAATTCCAATACTTGATTAAGGTGGTTTTAAGCACGTTGAAAACATGTGAAACTACTAGGGAGTCAAGCAGACAGGTCAGCTAAGCGTAGATGATCGGAGGTATAGGTTAGACGTTATTAAGGTAAGTAATATATTTGAGGGCATCGTGTGGAATAGATGAGAAATCGTGAACGAAAAAACAGGAGTAGCTGCCATAAATTACGTAGGATATATAGGCGAAGAGGATGGAGTGAAAAAAAATGTTTAAATAAAAACCGTTAACAGAATATTGGGTGCTTACAATAGAATATATTACATTCCAAGTTGGACGAATATTTTCCCGAATAAAAATGTACCTAAATTGCCTACGCGAAACGCCGGCTATTACGTTTCACATGACGTTTGGAAGTATATAAATGAAAAAGTAACTAATGATAACAACTCAATTAATAGAATCATATATTAGTCGTCTATCCAGGAAAAGTTCATAGCAACAGGTACAGAGGTCACGTTATTCGATGGTCAGATAAATCGACGTTTTCGTGGTGGAACCAACAAGATAAATATATTTATTTTTTTTCGGATACCTTTTTTATTTTATATATCAGAATAATATAATGTCGTTGGATTTTCTCGGTAGGCAAATTGTGTCAGACGGTGCAGCAGAAGTGTCATAGTCCACTATAGTTCAGAATAAGTATTATTTCACTGAATGTTAGCGGCGTAAATGGGTATCTTATGAAGTAGCTGCTTCATTGCTGAATCGGATGGATGGATGGATGTATGAGAGTAACTTTATCATTAGATAAGTTTACGAAAAAGGTGATGTACGATGGAACTTCTAGTTACTACAGTACCCGATTTTTCTGGGCTTGGATTGTCATGATGTTTTTTTTACTATTTTACCGCAATTGTTTCATAAAAAAAAGAACTTTACACCGCCACTGTATTGTTTCTGCTGTATGTCTTTTTCCCGGTAAATTTGGACACTTTTAAGCGAATCCCTACGGGCCAAAACAATTCAAACTCTAAAATTAGAGTTTTTTTTTTTTTTTTTTGTAGCTCTGTATACCTCCACAGACCGCCCAAAATAAAACTAGGGGAGCTGAAATTTCGTATACTAATTGTGTAAGTATTGAGGGTGTGGCTTTCGGTAGTTTTGACCTTCAACCGCTTCACCCCAATAATTTGCATAGGAAATAGCGGGTTTCAAATATCGTTACAGAATCACGAAACCGAATAATTCGGTTAAAATGTGCGTGTGATATAAATGTATAATTTTCGTCGAGTATGCGGCGATCTGACGTTTAAACGTCGAACCGACGATCCCGCCGTCCGTTTGTACGTCAGCGAAAGTCTCGAGAACCGTACTTTACCAACTCGGTTCGATTCCTCATATGGTTATGAGAAGAAAAAGAAAACGCGGAACGTGTAACGGCGACGAAATCCAGCCGGGAGGAAATTCGGCGCATTAGGTCCGGACGGTCGACCTGCACGGTAAGGAGGTGGGGGAGGGGGAGATAGATTGTGTTTATCAACATTTTTAAAATCCGGCGGCAAACGTCACCGCGCAAACGCGTAACGCGGTAACGTGACGATATTTCTCACGTGCATTGTGCGCGATAACAGCGACAATAATAATACCATAATCAATGTCGTGCGAATATAACGGCGTTGACCTCGGCCGGCGGGCATTCCGATCCCACGCGCGCTGTATTGCGTCCCGTTTGTTGTTTATACGCGAAACGCCGTCACGCGGCATTACGGCCCGGGCCTGACGGCAATAATAACAATAATGGTAATAATAATCGAATTGTTATATTACGTATCCGTAATAACATCGTAAGTGTGTCCGGGAAAGAGAAAAAAAAAATAAATATATGTATCGTAAACAAATCGACGTACCCGGACAGATATACGGTAATAATGGGCCGGGGCGGTGCCGCCCGCAATAATATGATAATAATTTGGAGAAATGAAACGGCGCGCGGAATTCACAAGCGTACTGCCGAGTGTGTGTGTGTGTGTGTGCGTGTGTGTGCGTGTGTGCGGTATCGGCAATGAATACTAATCTATACAAAAATAAACGCGCGCGTGTGTGTGTGTGTGTGTGCGCGTGTGTGTGAGTGTGTATATTATTATAAAATGTGACGTTGTGTAACCGCACGTGTGCGTGTGTTATAATATATGTGCGTAAACGAGAAATCATTCGCTGGACGCCGACCAAGTTTCACGCCCGAATTTCGTCGCGCGCCCCTCTCCCCCCCACCCCCCGTAGCGAGACGGCGCGACGCGTTCTCGGACATCGCGGGCATTCGATTAAATACGGGCGGTGACGGGCCGAAGGGCTCGGATGGTCGGGATGTTATTTCGACGCCTGTTTGTCGTTCGCCGACAATAACAGTACGGGCGTCCGATATTCTTTAACGCGGAGTGGACGCCGCGCCCGCGACCACCGTCCCGGCTGTCCAACTACCGAGCAACATGCAAAAACGATGCTTGCGCAAACCGAACCACCTTAAATTTGGACTTTAGAGCAAAATCAACCAATTTTGGAATTTATGGAGAAAAATATTTCGGAGGGAACCTCATCGGGTTTTTGTAATATTTCTAAATACACAGCTGAAAAACATGTATATTTTTTTTTTGTTTTTTATACAACTGTAATAACTTTTTTAATAATCCATAATTCAAAAAAAATTAACCGGCGAAATTCTCTCAAAAATATTTATTTCTATAAATCGCATAACGGATACTTTTACTCTAAAATCAAAATTAAGTTAGTTTTACTTAATCTGCGTGGTCTGCAGTTATTGCGAGAAAATGTAAAAGACAGACGGCCAAATGTACGCATTTATCTGTATAGTGTATAATATAAGTACACATTTAATTTTTATCATGAGCTATTCGAAGCTGTTGGAGGCTAGAATTCTATATTTAGAATCCAAAAGTTCGACCCTGAACAAAATTCAATAGTCAAAGTGCGTGTATATTTTCGAAACGATCAAATGTCAACCCTAACTATATAGTTAGTATATTCGAATGAATATTAAAACACACAATTACAATTCAAATTTACTAAACTAGATTGGACATTTATTTTTATTTTTTAATTGTTTTTCAAATTATAAATCGATTTTTTCGGTCTTTTTTTTTTTTTTTTTGTTAACAACTCGTTGTACAAAATGTATTCCATAATATAATATTTTCTGAGTTGTTTATTTTATATTATTATTTGCTACATTTGAATACCAAAGTCTCTAATTTTCGGTGCCCTGTGTTTTCTTCTCCGTACGCGATTATGCGAATACGTTTCACGTACAGTCGGTTCGGGCAATAATAGTTAAATTACAGCGCGCCAATAACCGCCGCAGTGACGTTACTCACACCCGAAAACACAATTATATCGTTTCGGTCGGTTCCCATCTCGCTCGATTTATATCGATTATTTATGTACATATTCGTACCGATAAATCGTAGAGAATTTGAATAAAAAAAAAATTTAGCAGTCTGTTATGGTACTACGTAATTTTATGAACATCTTGGAATTCTCGACTCGCACGTGTGACGGTTAATAATCAAAAGTAATAGAAGAGGTACGGTATTAGGCGCGTACACGTACAATCGCCGTAAAAACGTTGCTAGTGACCTAGCCACTATATTTTTTTGAAAACCGGTTTATGCTCGCAAGATCCACAATAAAAATAATAATAATAACAATAGTGACAATAATAACGTTTCGTGTTTACGTTATTATGTACCTATGTTGAAACCGAATAGTAATTATTACAACATAATAATTAAGCCTATACCAACCAATCGATCAATCTTCATCAATTCATCAATCGAGTTCACATATACATCATAGCCTCTCGTAAAAACGGAATTGAAAATTCTGAAAGTTTTCGAAATAAAAATGCCGAGGAGAATAATTGGACCGAGCAAAGATGCTCGGACTAGGCAATGGTGGACACGACACAATGGCGAGCTCAATAACTTTTTCAACGCCATAGTATTACAAAAACAGTTTTAGAGAAGAAGGTTGTAATCGAAAACAACCAACAACTAGAAAGCGACCACGTGGTAGATCCAGCTTAAGACGCGTGTTATTAGGGATGTATTAGGTGCGGTAGAACCTGAGTAGGTACAAAACGTACAAAATATATGCAGAAATGTTATTTCTGAAGAATGTGATGTATTAAATTCGAAAATTCGAAAATTAACAAATAAAAATCGTATTTTATGTCGTTTTTCACACGATAAAAATTTAAAAAAAAATACCTAGAAAAAGGCAAATGTCATTAAATTGTGCAGATATCGCCGGATTTCGTTGATAATGTCGTCAAGTCTAAAAAAATCAATATAAGTATTCCATGACAATATTGAAAGTCTCTACAAGTACTTTTAACTAAATTTAAAAAAAAAAAAATTATTCGAAAATAACAGAAACCGATATAGCGTAAATTTCCCCGTTATACTAACTTTTACCCCCGCTGTTTCTCTTTTTTATTAAGCTACAAGGAAAATCAAAAAACTATCTGCTAAACCCCCAATAAATTAACAACATGTTCTATAAAAAAAAGCGCCCTTGTTGATGAGAGCGATATTACAGGTAGAAAAATGATTGACAGAATATATAAAAAGCTGTCCTAGGATAATAGGGACGGGTGCAGCCACTAGCTGTTATAGATAATTTAATGTATATCTGTAAGCAACGATTAACCATTGCTAATGAAAAAATGATTTTGAGCTGAATTTGGTTGTTAGTGTTGTTTTGTCAACAATATATATATATACATAAATATATATATATATGTCATATTATGGTAAAATAATTACATGACATCCATTATATATTTTCTTTACTATTTGTTTGATATTATACCTACTTTCCCGTTTTTGCTACGTTTTTCCCATTTATTTGGAAAACTTCCAAGAAAATCAAAAAACGACCTAACCTGAGGTACCTCACCTCTCTAGTCTGATTTCCTTTTAGAAAAAGTGCTATCATTGTAAATCGGAGCAAAATTGCTGGTAAAAAGATTGTCTAAAGAAAAAAAAAACCTATACCAAAACCGAAATATTTATAAAACGGGTAAATATCGCGGAAATCACGACCACATTGAAAGAATCGGTAAAAACAATGACATTTTATCCGATAAATGAAAATTATAAAGCTTTCATACCGACGGATTTTTTTTTTCATATAATAAGGATAGACATATTTTCAGACGTGGGTAAAATATTCTGTTCTGGACACTGTTTCCCGAACAGTTTTAAAAAGCATTTTGTTCTTTCAAAAAAAAATCATTTTGTCACTTGTTTTTCTTTTTTCGCAAAACGCTTTTTCAGTTAGTAAAAATGATCCAATTTTTCACACATTAGGTGTGGATGCGAAATTTTCACTCAATTGTACTTGATTAGAAATATTTTTCAAAATTCTCTACAATTTCAAATTTAAATTTTTGGGGTTTGTTCTCGAAAATCACTTATTAGTTCCCTATATAACGATAGCACAGTTCAAGCAAATCAGCGAATCAACTCTTTATTTTTATATATTGTAATACTAAAATATTATTTTTGCTAAGTATTCGAATACGTATTTCGAATTATTATACATATTCGAATATTTATACTGAATATTTTTTTTTTTAAATATTCTAATATCCAAATAATATTACAGTATGTATAACAGTAATATTATTATATCGACTGTAATAATTTCGCAATAACATATCACTCGCTTCGATAAACAATAATATCGAACTAAATTCAATTAGCCAGAAAGATAAATTATTCTATTACATACTAGATAGGTATATCATTATGATATTATAACATTGTATCGAAAATAATACTTTCGGTTTTTTTTTACATATTATACATAGAAATATTTATAATATAGTGTAACATTTGTATAGAATATTATATGATATTATAGTATTATAATATTTTGTTGGCAAACAACATGCTAAATTTCAGTTATAATTTATCGAAACCAATAATATTATTATAATATCATTGCGTCTTCGGAGTTTTTACGCTAAATTATTTCAATTTACGCTTATAAATTGCATATCCCACGGTTTTTTAAAATTATTTTTTGCGATTATGTATACCAATATACCTAACCTATTCATAATGAATCTACACACAGTATATTATTACCTAATGTAAAAATGTGTTTTTCAATATATTCTACCCGTTTTTTCGGTGGTTCGAAAGGTTGTTAATTTAAGATTTATTGTAGTCTACCGAAAATTAACCATTAGTTTTTGTACACTTACTTGACAGACACTCATCTGGGGTCTAATTCAAAGGGGGAGCGTGATTAATTAAGTTTTTTTCTTTTTCAATTGTTCAATATTCCTCTATAATCTACAATATACAGTGTATTTAATACGCGTGCCTACCACTGAATATCTCAGCCTAATAACCTTTGAATGCAATGTGGTTTTTTGTACCCCTGTACCGAAATTTATGTTTTAAAACAAAATTACAAATGTTTAACATTACTAGAGCGCGAGTACACAATAAAACTTAATTTGTTTGAGTAGCAATACAGTTCTTATTTTTTTACACTAGATTCGAATAGTCATATTTTTTCAGGCGATTTTGATCAATACTATTTTTCCATCTCAAAAATTACTTGAGATACAGCCGTCTTATTTGAGTATAAAGATGCAAGATAAAAGGGTGTGCTACTGTCATATATGAAATTAACTGAAAATAAGCAATTTCAGAAGAAAAAAAAACCCAAAATTAAAGTTTGAAGTGTAGAGAATTTTGAAATTTGCCCGTTTTAAAAGTCATGCGTTTTAAATTTATTGAAATAACAAGAAAATTCCTATTATCAAAATTGGATTGCAGGTAAGCACTTTGCGAGATAAAAATATTATATTGACTAAACTAACTTGAAAAAATATAGAACTTATCAAATCTAGTATTATAAATAGGTTTTATTATTCAAAAAATAATAATTTGTGCACTAAAAGAATTAACGATTAAAAATTGATCGTAAAAATGTTTACTTCGATACCCCCTTTTTATTAAGTTAGTTCTATAGATTATAAAATTGTTTGACCAAACAGAAATGCTTTTAAATTTAACAGGAGGTTCATTATAAGTTCAACTTGGTGATGGAAAAAAAGTTAAGCGTAATATGGTAGTTTTTTATAAGCGTTTTAAAAAAAAAAATACGAAAATTTAAAAAATCTAAAAAAAAGGTACCTAAGTATAACTGAAATTCGCTCAAAATCGTATTTCATTAGCAAAAGTAGATCATTACTTACAGATTTAAATAACATGATCTATCTTATACCTTTCCAACTTCCCACCTACAATAGTGGCACACCCATCAGCAGTATCAACTCTATTTAATTTCATTTGCTACTATATCATCAGACATTATTAGACCAATACTATATTCTAATTGTTTATTTATTATGATAGTTAATTTCCTTGTTCAATGGAGGAACATTTTTTATGGTCTATTGACTTAATTATTATGTGTCATAATTGTAAAATTAGTTTAAAATTATTATTTTTTTTTAATTCTTAACCAATCGAGAAATATATTTGTTTAACTATTATGTATATGTTTTTTAATTTTTTTTTTTTTTTGCGATAACTGGAACAAGATTTCTAACACCAAATTTAGTTTAATTGGTGTGTAAAAGAAGTTATATTTATATGTTTTGTACTTTTTTAAAGAGTAGGGAAATACTGAAAAAAAAAGCCAAAAGAGTGGGAATATTTATATAACAACATCGAGATGACTTTTTGTTCCAAATTTACTAAAAATAATCGTAGAGAATTGACATTTTTACAGAACAAGTATCTACTAATATTATTTTTTTCTAGATATTTTTCAATATATTCTAGCTTTATTTAAGATAATTATACCTACTATATTTATTATTTATAGCTATTCAAAATGTTCGAGTATAGGTCTATACAAATATTCAAAAATGTAACCTAAAGTCCAAAGTAGGTTATATTTAGCTTAGTACTGTAGCAACTCCGTTCAGATTCGCTTTTCATTTGCAAAGATGATTAGAAGATTTACCATGATACTACAAAATCGTAATTTTTACTTTTTTTTAGTTCTTCCAAATTATTAAGAAAAATACTTTGGATATAAAAAAAAAAACGAGTTTCTCTCTAAGTGCCGAAATATTAAAAAAAAATTAACTCGTTCTTTTGTCATTTTTTGATTAAAGTAATATTTCTGGTAAAAAAACATCGTGTTTTGTCAAATTGAAAACAATGAGAAAACGGTAACGTCACGGCGCGCCGTAAATATTTGCGTTTTAGATATAATTTGTTTTCGACTTTTTCTCAATTATTTCGAAAAACCCTTAGAAAATCAAAATAATATAATGCACTAATTAGAAAAAGTTTCAGAAAAGATACTATACTCTATACATCGGAGCAAGATTTCTTTTCAAAAAATTGTTTACAAACAGAAAGAAAAAAGGCACACATCATAGTAAAATCATCAGATCCCTCGCTACTCTCCGAATCTAAAATAGTTGATACTACTAATTGATGTACCACTGTTGAAGATGGGAAATTGGGAACGCGTGATACATAAAGTTTACAATTTACGTTATAATTTGATCTTAAAAGATTTATAAAAAACGCTGCAAGTTTTTTTTCTAAACCATTAAATTCAACTCATACTGAAACACTTATTAAATTTTCAAACATTTTCATTCGAACCAAAATAAATCATTGAACCCAAATAAATCGAAAAATAATACCTACCCGATAAAACGATTTAATTGTTTTGTTTTTACAATTATGTTATATTTCAGATATTTTCTGATATTATTTAGCATTTAAATTTGAAAAGTGTCACGTTTTTAAACTATAATATATATTAGAAATAGATTTATATAATTTCGTTATCAAAATAATACGCAAAACGTTTACTATACTGAAGAGGTGCGTACTCATACATAAAAATCACACGTTTTTTATTTGATTATTGAACACTTTAAAGTAAAAGAATAATGCGTACGCCATACGAATTAGCATTGTTATACTCAATAAATATTTAGTTTCTTTTGGTTTTTTAAATATTTCTAAATATTATTAAAAAAAAACTCTCCTCCCCCCCCCGACTAAATTATTATCTACAAATCAATGCCCTTCTCGGTAAATACACGAAAACGTACGGGTCAAGAAAAACACATTTAGGCGTACAATAAAAGAGCCGATTTCAAAAAGCTACGTATGTATACAAAAAATCGTAGAAATATCGTCTCATTCGATTTTATAGTTTTTTTTTTTTTTTTTTTGATAATTTTTTATTTTTACGCCAAATCAGAAAACATAATTAGATGAATGCATACAATATAGCGTTACGGGTCGGCAGTGTAACGCTGAAATATCGCGTACCCACGACCGGTCGAAATAGCTGTACCGTTTAATTTAAATTCCGCCGATGCACTTACCGCCGCGGCGTAGCACTTCATCGTCGTCGCGGTGTTGTCTGTGTTGGACGTTGCGTTTTGCGCGTATTGACTCGGAACGTACACTCCGGGGGCGAATTCGGTAGCAAAACCGAAACCAAAAACCAGGCGCGCGTAACCCGGCAACCCTTGACGTTAAAACGGTAATCGACGAGTAAACACGGTCCGAGAGGTTTTATTTTATATACGGGCGCGCGTGGCGCGGCCCCACCACCGCGGCACGTGCGAAACTAAAAACCGATCCGGGGACACCTTGGCAGAGGCGATAGGTGCGCGCGTAGGAAACGGCACAGATAGCTGCGGCACGTATCCCACGCCTGCTGTATTACACGGATTCGATGCGTAATTCGAGCTGGCACCCGCGCGTTGGAATTTCGACTCGAAAACCACGGCAAATAACGACGGCCGTGTTATTATCGTTTTTTACGGATTTGTAATTAACAGCTTTTCTCATTTGTACACCCCCGCCCCGAACCCTATAGAATATTCGTTTTCCAACTACGGGCGCCGGCTTGACGACACGCAGGCGCCCGCAATTTTCAAAACGGTATTTTCGAGGTATCTGCAGTGGGTGGGTGGGGGAGAGGGGTGTAAAAAGTGTAAAAATAAAAAAATGTTCGATTGTAAATCTGTTGTATGCGGGTGCCAGCGCGGTGGAGCTCGTAATTCGTGTTTGAAAATTCGTATTCTCGCATTTACTATGTCTGTATACTAGCTGTCCCGCCCGGCGTTTTCCGCGCCAATATAAATACGGGAAAGACCATCTGTTTCTAGCCCGTAAAGACCGACAGTTATCATTTTTTTTTTTCATCCGCTACACCAAAGTAACCGCCGTAAATCAACGAAAATAATTCGATATCCGTACCGAAAGCTACCGAAAACCATATGTCAACCATCCTCCTTTATTGCTTAAATGAGTGGTGTAGTCGAGAATATACGGGGTGTAACAACTTCGTAATTTTTTGATTGGTCCGCATCACTATTGTGTAATGTGCGATACGCTGATGTACGCATATATAGCGCCGTACCTATATCAATTGCGCATCACTAATCGTACTGTTCGGCCTTTTCCGTAAGACATTTGCGCACCGTTAAATGGCTAGGTCGTAAATCATTTGCGCGTCAAAATGTTTAACTATAGAAGGGTTGATAGTGTTCAAGAGTACCCGATGTTTCCGCAACTTTTGACTTAATATGACCAGCATAGGTATTATAGACGTATAAAGTGTATTTCTGTTTCAATAATCAGTAAACACCACGTACATATATTATATAATACTTGTTATGGCGATAACCCCGGATGAGTTATACGAACGACACGGTGAACAATCATAACTCGTGCAACGACCCAATCGAATCGGATGTTATCAAATAATATATCTAGTTAACATGCCAAAAGACATGTTTTTAAAGTAACGGTTATAGTACTAGATAACTAAGACCAATGCTATTATAAATGACACACGCTATTTGTATACTTTTCGATAATAGATTCGAAACGTAGCGAGGGATCTATTGGTTTTACTATGATGTGTGTGTGTGTGTGTGTATTTTTTTGTCCGTGAACAACTGTTCTACCTGAAAACTTGCTCCGAAGTATAAGACTATAGCATTTTTTCTGAAACGTAATTTTCTTTCATTGGTAAATTGAGGCGGTCACTTTTTTATTTTTCAAGAGGTTTTTGAAATAATCGAGAAAAACCCGAAAGAAAATTATATATAAAACGACAAATATTTACGTCACGGCTTTACCGTTTTCATTTTTTTTTTTTTTGTTATGCTAACACGATGTTTTCAACCAGAAATATTACTCCGATCAAAAAATGACAAGATATCGATTTTATTTCTTTTAAAACATAGCCATTGACAGAAAAGTCGTTTATCGATAATTTTGTTTTTTTAATGTGATTCAGTTTAAAATATTCGTAGAGACTTAAAATATTGATAGAAAATTATATTTACCTTTTCTAGACGTAGAAAAAATGTTAAAATTAACTATTTAAAGACATTTTAATTTTGCAAGATTTTACGTAATTTTTATTTGGAAGATACTCTGAAGATAAATTGTCTGACTTAACAGAAATATGATGGAGGTACATTATAAGTTGTACTTTGTGGTAAAAAATAAAAAATTTAATTTAATGAAGTATTTTTTTTTTTTTTAAATCAAATTTTGACGACAATCTTAAATATTACGACCTTTAAAAGTATTCATTAACGAACTTTGTTCCGAATCGTTTTTCATTAACAACGGTTTATCGTTAATTACAGGTATACATTAAATAACTTTATGATGTATCCCCCCGTCCTCACTACCCATCTACAACAGTAGCCAATCCCGTCCTCAGTATCTACTCTTTTTTTTATTATTATTGTTATTACGTTTTACTTATCGTTTAATTTATTGGTGCCCAAATGATGTAGAATATTGTGTTGATGCCAGGTAAATGGACGGTGCGCCAATGATAACCACTGACGCATAGGCATGATATATTTCGAGTCTACGTAATTTTGACGCGAGACATTTGGGCGCATGGCACATTTTGAAACAATTGCATTGCGACGCATTTTTTTTTTTTTTTTTTTTGTTTAATTATTATTAATGATTTATTTTTCAAAATAAATGTATATATGTAATAATATCTTAGATATTTCTATTGATTGTATATTTTATATTTGATAAAAATGTATTTTATTTTTATTTTATACATACATTTATTTTGAAAAATAACAGGGATTAATAATATTAACAGGGATTGCGCGCAATTTAAAATTGTATATATAAGAATTACATGTTTCATTTATTAAGTATATTTTTTTTATACATACATTTATTTTGATAAATAAATCGACAGTAATAATTTTGGAAAAATGCTTCGAAATGTGCCATGCGCCAAATTTTCTTGCGTCAAAATGACCGCGTCAAAATAACGCGACATCATATATTTTTATACTTATGTTTATACTTATGCGTATACCTATGTGTACTATACTCCGTCTCGTGGAAAAACAATACCGTTTCTGCCTTCATTGACCATAATCCGTGAGTTCAACTTGAAAGTTTTAATGCAAGCGATGGGTATTTCATTATCTATAAGATGACTTACTTACATAATATTATTTATTTAATTATATTACGCTAAGATTTAATAATAATAATAACTATAGAGATATACGATTAAGTATATTTTTAAGATTGTAGCAATCAATATAAATTTGGATTTTTGAATCCAAAAATAAAAAATATTTTGGTTAGAGGGGGGTGATGGTTGACCTAAACATCGTTTTGTGTTCTCTCTATTTAGGTGTCGTCCATTAGGTCAATGATTCTCCCCCTATATACGTCTGATAAGGAAAAATTCCTTGAACATAACCACAAATATTTCATATATCTGTTGCTTCGTCCGAGGCATTCGGCCGTCAGGCCATTCGCGATCGATTGTTGAAAATAACCGCCGATTCGTTATGCAAAACCGCGGTGAGTAGGTTCTCCCTGTGATCACAGGGAGAGGCGCGATTTCATTTCTTCCTTACAGATGTCTGCTATTCTTTTATATCACGAGGGGGGGGGGAAACTGTCCGAGCTTCTATTTTACTCGACAAACTTTGAAAAGCCGTCGAAACTACTAATATTTTTTCCGCCTAAAATAACCATATGGGTCGTGTCCGAGCTCGTTTTCAAGCACATTTGAGCGCGGGTACCTGTTTTATCATAAAACTACTACAGGCTACAAACGATAACATGCGCCGTATACATCTACGCAATGCAGTATCCGTCCCGGAATGCGATTCCTTGTTAAGGAAAGCCGACCTCAAACATCGGGTGATTTTAAGTAAATTACAGCGGACAACCATGTGGTGCGGATCTAGCGAATCCGAAGGAAAAAATTGATCCTTTTTATGAAAAAAAAAAAAAAAAAGGGCTCTCGAATCGAAACAGTCCGCGTCGTCCCGTCAAGAGTTTTCTAAATGGTTCGCGCGGTCAAAAAACGGTCGGGCAACGTCGAGGCGTATTGTATAAAATCCGCAGACCGGCGGGGACGCTGTCCGGAACTTGAGTCGGATTCGCGGCGAAAACGCGTAAATTTACGTTTCGACGTGCGCCGTCGAATTATATCGCGTAAACGTAATATTTGTGCAATTGTTTGTGACGCACTTGATACGATGATGTGCCCGAACGACACGGTCGAGCATCGCGCGCGTTCGCCGCAACGGGTCGTAACCGTGTAATTATCGTTACTCCGCGGGTCGTCGTCGCTCGGACGTCCATATCATTAAAAAAAAAAAAATTTACAAATAACAATTCCCGAGAATAGCGAAACGGCCGACACCGTGCGGCGGATTTTCTCAAACGCGGTTTACACGCGCGTATAACGACAACGGCGCGGACGGTTTCAAAACCGGACAAGGGCGACCCGCGGCCGTTACACAACAACGCCGCATCGCGCCGCCTTATTATCATAATGCGTTTCGCACTCTTCTCCGCTATATTAGTGCACGCGACGATAATATTATTATAATTGGGCGTACCGGTTCACTCGGTTTTCTTCGCGTGTGCCGTGCGGACAGTCGGTCACGGTCCCCGCGGCCGGACCGACCGTCCCGCGAACGACGGACGAGTGCCGACGTTTATAATAATAGCGATCCGTCGTCGAGTCGGCCGTATTCCGCACGGCGGACGTTTGGGTTCGGTTCGATTGGCCTGATCGCGGTGGCCGCGTTGAATCGGTGGTTTTCAACGTATTACGGCGTCCGCGAGTCCCGGATTTTTTTTTATTTTTTTTTTTTTTTTTTCACGACCCTTTAAAAAATCGTTCGCTGGAGAAGTTGAATAACGCGGTACGCTGCATTATGAATGGCGCTCGCGGTTTTCGGCCACCCTCTAGTTATCGGTCGCGATTCCCCAGTGTAAAACCGTTGCGTTAAACGGCTCTTGTGCGGCGGGGCGATTGTATTTTTATCGTCAATCAGCCATTAATATAACATTGTAACATTATCGAAACGAATTTTATTTCCGATTTCCCCCGGTCCCCCCCGTAATTAAATTGTTTACAAGGTTTGTCCGTACACAAAATATTACCTCTAATTCCGTGTATTACACTCAGATAAGCGTTTGAGAGGGTGGTTCGGTTTTTCCGGAAAAAAAATTAAAAAATAAACTAATCAAAATGACTTTCCTGACTCACCACCTAGATAACAATTTTTACTAGAGACCTCCCTTAAATTGATGATTTCTGGTTGAAAAACGGTTCACAAACAAAAACATTTAAAAAAAAAAAAACAACTACACAATAGTTAATTATGAGGGAATACTGTTCAAAAAAAAAATTAATTGACTTCGCCCGTAGATAAGGTCTTACGTGATACGTGCCTGACTGTAAACACCATATAGTATCGACACATCAACTTTCGATTAAATTACATGTTTAGATTATACAAGAATCACTCTGTATAGTGCACGTTCACGCTCCGCCTTATATTACCGGCAGTGACGTTGAGCGAGATCATTTATAATCGTAAATTTGAAAAAAATCAAAAAAAAAATCAATAGAATCCACGGACGGATTAGGATAAAAACGTGACTTAATAATAATATAACTCGTAATAATTAACGTCCTTGCAATAGATCCAATGAAAGGCCATCTGTCCGAATACCTATAATATTATAAATCGAGGAAATGTTTTGTTGGCCAGGCCCAACGAAAAATTGCAATTCGTCCGATCGTCTGACAATAATATCGAAAACGTATAACTTGCCAAAGGACCGAAATAACTTACTCTCGCTTGGTCATTGCGAGTTTCCTTTTCACATAAATTTCAATACCTATCTCATTTCAAGACGACTCAAATTACTGTTTGCCACAGTCAGGTATAAGTCACCTCCAGAAATGTAAGAGCTTTCTTGATTTATGGCAACAAAAAAAAAAAAAAAACACTTTTTTATGTAGGTTGGTTATATATCACCATCCAATTTGTATATTGTTTTCTCTGCATTATTTTCATTGATACTGTGTATTATGAATATTATATTATAAATAACTATTACTCGTAAACCAAACTCAAAATGTAAATTTAAAATTGCCGAATGGCGTTTATAAATAAATAAATAAACACCTTTTTTATTTAGTTAAGTAATTCGATTATGACAATATTCGTGATAATAGCAGGTGTATAAAATCTAAACCAGAATTTGGATACGTTTTTTCTACGAATCGTAAACCCCTCATGAACATTTTACCGATTTTATTCGTACCCGTTTCCTCGCTTGTCATGTCTTCGATAATATCTGCTCTTGTGTCAATAGGAGAGATTAAAATACACGAGATCCATTACAAGAAGATTAGAACTAATTCCTAGACTAGTTCTTATTTCCACGATGGTTTAATATTCTTACTCATAACAAATATTTGAATTTAATCCATTGGTGCATATTTTTAAGTGTACATTCAATTCGTAATAATTGTACATGACTTGTAACTATACTCGGACACAATATTATTGTAGGAAAGCAATAGCCGTAATAAGATACAAATATAATCACACACAATAAGAACGACGTAAACGTCGTATATGTGGAACAGGGTCGGCTAATGTTTTTATAAGTATAAACTGCAATATAAGTATATTTGATTTTCGCATGACCTCCAAAGTACGCGAGAAATTATGTACACACCAAACACCGAACGGCGTCTACGGAATCGGTTCCCGATAAAAATTGCATAGCATCGTATAATTTATGCCCAAGTTGGTTCCCGTACGTAAAAACAGATTTAATTAAAAGTTGTTTTCTCACCACGAGAAAAAATACAAACAGTAGAAATCGCTTATACTGACGCCGGTTGTAGTGACGTATCGGGTTTAATGTTCTAAAAGTAAAGGTCCCGTCAAAAATCCTAGGTATCTTCTACGTGTTTAATTGTATCGGTTGTTATGACTATCGGTTAATATTACCTTAATTAATTAATTAATTTTTCCTTGGTCCTTGAACGTCATCATAAATTATTTCTATTTCATATAGTATACTATCGTATTATTAATATGTATTTAGGTTTTACACTAATTAGTAGGGTACGGATTTCAATGCAAAATGCATCTTTTTTTCATTGGGCAATGCTTCCAAGCACATAATTCGATTCGGGTAACAGAGACATTAAGCGTAAAATGTTTTGTCTCTTTTGCATTTTCAATGTTTTTTCATCACCAGAGAATTTTAGATTCTGAGTGGAACGAAGAAGCTTATGGTTTTACAAATATGTTTATTTTTATTTTTTTTTTCTTTGTGGACAACTTTTCTACCAGAGAACTTGCTCCAACTTGTAACGATAGTAATTTTTGCTAAAAGGAAATTTCACTGGGGAGGTACTTTATAGAGGTCGTGTTCTGATTTTCTCCGGAGTTTCTCGAAAAATGTGAAAAAACGAAAAAAAAAAACGGGAGAATCGATACATCAAACAAATATTATTAAAGATAATATATAATGCCTATTTGATTATGTTACTATATAATATAACATATATACCGTTGACAAAGCATCACTATCAACTGAACTCTGGTCAGAATCGTTGTTTCGTTAGCAATAATTAATCGTTGCTAACGGATATACATTAAATTACCTATAACAGTGGCTGCACCCGTTTATTTGTTCGTTTTATTGCATATCAATTGTACAATATAGGAGTATAATATTATATGGTATTCGTACATAATACGACCGTCGATTAAATATACTTAATAATAATAACTTATTAATGGGGGTCAGTTCACTACAATGTTAAAAATAAACGGCACATCGTTCGTCCTACCGTACGCAAATTTGAAAATGTCATATATTTTCAAAACCGCAGAGACGGTAGATGCGGGTGTGGAAAAAACTCTGGGTGGTTGATTCCTGGGCGGTTTTAAGTCCGGAATTCCAGACAGTCCTAAGTCTGTATAAAACGGAAAGGAAATAGTTGTTGGTTTTTAATTCTGTTTTATTATGAAAATTACTACCCATTCAATTGGAACCAATTCATACTTACGAGCATGTTATACCTGTAGACTGCACGGGAACCAATTCGTATGTATGCCTGTAAACTACCCGGGAACTAATTCGGTAATTAGGAGCCAAATCGTGGGCGTATCATTGGGCGTATAATTTATGTTATAATAATACCATAACGATGTAGTTTATTATTTCATTTTTATGTAGTTACAAGGTACGGACACTCGCACGTAATTGGATTTGTTCGGTTTTTATATGCGGGAGAATGTGCAAAATGAATTCGATAGACGAAAATGCAGTGTACCTATATAATATATTATGGTCATGCGTATACACTACATATTTGTTTTATTTATTTTTTTTTTTTATTAATCATCATTAAACATTTGCATAGGTAGTGATTCATTTATATAATTATTATTGAATATCTATCTCTTTTAAGTAACCTTGTGATAGAGATAGAGAGTGATACAATATTGATTAATTTAAAACAAACGAATAAGAAAAAAATACAGATAGGTACATGCGAAATAAAATATAAGAAAACATATTATTGATTAAAACTAAGATGAATAAACAAAATAAAATAAATAAAAACAAGCAGATACTAATTAATAGAACTTGAACATGTGATTATCAATAAAAACACAAAAAGATTTAGCTCAAATCTAAAAACAACCATTTATATAATATTTTTTTAGCAATACTTTGCATAACGCAGATGTTTTTTTTTTTTTTTTATACAAAGAATATGCGTTATTATAAATTGGAATATTATAATTTTAAATTTTGTTATACTGCAGACGATTGTGACGGCGACATAACGCCGCCGTATAAGGCGACTACACAGCACGCTGCAGATGATGTGCGAAACTTGAAATCCGTCCCATTTGCATATAATAAATACTTATAATTTAAACGGCATATTCGGGGACAGGGGCAACGGAATCATTTAGTCCCCCAAACATCGTAGTGGATTAGTATGGTTTGCTTCATATGGTATTTTATGTTAATACTTTTAACACTATATTAGCACACTTGCTCCACCAAAATTGTGTGCTCTGGATCCGCCCCTGAGGGTTATTAATTATAAAATTTGATTATGAAATAAAATCAGTATTTATAATCGAATATAAATCAGAAAATTAAACGCCGAGTAATTTAAGTTGGGCGCATACGTCTATACGTGTGTGTTTTATTAAAATTTATTTTTGAAAAAATTACAGCAAAAACCGTGTTATTATATACTATAAATTATATAATATAGAGACTAGTTGGCTCATGCGAATTCCCAGCATTTTCAAAACAAACTAAACAGCAAATATATTATGAAAACTAACGCGGTTACATTTCCGTAGCTATAGCAATGGAGTTGAGTTGAATTTTCCTACGACAATTACATATCGACGTTTCGTCAAAAGGGGAGAAATTCGTTTATCGATTTTGGTCAAGTCCCGACGAAGGGAGAAAAACGGTTTGATCTCTCAAGTTTTGGAGAATAACTTTTTAAAAAAACTGGGCTCATTGTTTCCCCCGTACATTCTGACCGGCACCCGTTCTAATTCCTTTCTCATAATCTCGTTTTCAACACGAATATTTGATCGTTTAAAGTTTAAATTGAAACTCCTCGAATTCTATGGTATGTCTTTTTTTATCCATTCCTGTGAACACTGGGGGTAAATTTAGGACATTTATATAGGCCCATATATAGATCAGTCTTATTACAGAGTCATAATCGGAGCGGCTAAGACGTCTATAGCCTCCCCCTTAAACGGCGATTCCTTGTTCTGCGTACAGTATGCAAATACTCGTACTATTATACGATATGAGGGTTTCCAGATAGTTCTTCCACTCCTGAAAAAAAGTTTTTCACTGAACCGTATAAAAACAGTTTAAGGAGGCACACTAGGCCACAAATTACACTCGATTAACCCGGAATCCATGAATAATATAAATAAACAAAAAAGACATTAAAGAAAATTATGTAATTAAAGGTAATTAATTCCTTTGCTCAAAATTCCCCTAGGAGGATTCAGCTGTTGGGGGGGGGGCTGTATGTTCTATATAATAACTATAGTAGCTATAATAAATTATAAGAATACAATATTTCATATTATATTCTCGTTTCATTATTAAGTATTTTCTGTCAATACTTTTCGTTTAAAGTATTACATTAAAACGCGTATTGAAGAAAACCCATTATTATTTATTTTCTTTTTTTTTTCGCAGAGCGATCAATTCGATCCCATTCGACCGATCTCTTGGGCCCGCAGCTGTAAAGGGCCCGGACTTATGTACACAATGTGTTCGTTTAAAATTTCATTTAGTACAATGGATGGCCGATTTTCATTTTCGGGTTTTCCAAGTTCGGCCCCGGCCCCCGCAGGGTCCTTAATTCGAATTTGATAAGCGCTGAACGTATATTATCTACATAGCCAATGATGAGCAATCGGAATATTTGGCGTCGAAATCGAAATAGCGACTATTATTTGTGACAAAAAAAAAAAAATCAAAAATCGACGTCCGAGTATATTACGAAAACAATAGGTATGTATTATATAGTTTGTTTTCACTTTCACGCGATTCGCCGGGATTACAAGCGAATTATCGTAATAATAATAATAAAATACAATGCGATGATATAGACACGATGAATTATCGTCGTATATTTTTATTTTTATTTTTTTTATTTTTTGGCACTCAGTCTTATTACGATTATTATCTTACGTCCGCGCGATCCTCGATCGGAAACGCGTATTATCGATTCATGCGGCGGCTCGTCTTCGTGATATAACGAGCGTCACCACGCCGCCGCCACCGCCGTCCCGATTCGATTAACTACAATATAGCAACATTTTATTATTATATCCTCTTCTTCCTGTGTGCGCCGCGAACTTCATTTCCGATTCACGGCCCGTACTTGAGCCGCGGAACTTTCCATATGTCTCGAAAATATCATCGTGTGTGTGTGTGTGTGTGTGTGTGCAATCCAGTGAAAGCAATCGATGGCCGAACACGGTGTGCCCATATAAAAACCGAAACACCGGACATCCTGTCATCATTCGTTCGGTCTCGTCCTCCGCAAGCTCGAAAATCGTATACGTCGTCGAAAATCAAAACAAACGAAAAAAAACGGCAATACCTGCTCATCGTATCATCGACTGTCGTAAACCCACACGGACCGCCATCATGGGATCGTTTTCGGTAAGCACAATACCGAAACCTAACGTACCCGCGTACATCGGTTTTACTAAATGATGTGTTTAGTATTTTTAGTCTTTTTTTTTTTTGTATGTCTGTAGATTTCTACCAGAAATCGCGCTCCGGACAAAAATTCTATAAAGACTTTTCTTATAGACGCAGTCGGGCGCGTCGAGGAGACAATCCTCGCGGTTTTCTTAACAAATTATGAGAGAAACTGACAATTTGTTTGTATAATTTTTGTTGATTTCTGGATTACTTTGGCAACAAGGGAAAAAATACGGTTGATACTATTCTGTTCAAAATCGCTTTTCGTTTAGCAATGGTTTATCGTCGCGCACATATTATACATAAATTAAACCACTCTACGAATTCTTCTTTCAAAAAAAAAAAAAAAACATTGGTACAATCATTAGCTTTTTCAACGGCACTTTTCGATATTTATCGACTTTCGAGGGAACGGCAATATCATTGTGGCCGTCCAATATATTTAAAAATGAAATTGAATTGATATTTAATTGGACATTTGGACTGCATATGATTATTTTTGTCTTCCGTGAATTATAATAATGTCGATGCGACTGTATAATAGTTTAGTTTTCATTGCGGGTATAAACTCGACTATTTAAATTTGAAATTCGCATAACACGCATCGAGTTGATTTAACGGGTTGAACTCGCGATTGCATTCGATGTCAGTCATTCACTCGGTTTGTTAACGTTTGAGTAACTCTCAACGAAGATATCAGACGTCGAAACGTTCGGTTTACACGTCTAAACATTTTCAAATTTTCTAAATTAATCACCGGTTTCGATTTCAATGCGTTTGAGATTTTTCATAGTTCGGTTGTTTTTTTTTTTTTCTTTATTTTGAAGACAAACAATACACATTAAACTGGGCTGGACGTTTCAAATGTAAATCGTTAACTTATTGTAAAATATAATCTTAAAACGGTTTTTAGATTCAGAGGTAAGCAAGGAATGTATTGGTTTTACAGTTTTATACTGAGATTTGTTGTGTGCTTTTTTTCGTTACTTTTTTACTCTCTGTAAACAAATTTTCTACCAGAAATCTTGCTCCAGTATTATGGGTGATTTCTGAAACCAAATTTTGTCTCATTGTTACATTTTGGAGATTATTTTTTGATTTTCCTTATAGTTTTCATAATAATTGACAAAACTCAAAAACACCCATAGACCCTCTCAAATTATTAAAAATAAATAAACAATTATTCTAGACCCCCTACAAAAAAAATTTACATTGACCTCTAAATTAAAACGACCTTTTGTGGTTAATTACGTTCTTACCATTACGTTTGCTCATCACTGAAATAACCACCTCCCATGTAATTCAATCAAATCTCCGTCTATGAATAAGAGGCGTAATATCGAACAAATTGTATTTTAACATTTTACAGAACATTTATGTTTGAAGTTTTTTTTGTTAGGACACCAAAGTCGTTTGCGTGTACTATATTATCGAACCGACAATAAACGACGCGAAAAAAAAGAAAAAAAAACGTCCACGCAGTGAATCACGCAACAGGCGGAATTTATCGAATTTCTATACCGCCGTGCGTTTTTCACGCTCGTACACGTTCCGAGTCCGAAACGTACACGCGAGACCCGCCGCAGTTACACCGTCGTCTGTGTTATAGTTTCTCGTTCTCGCTGCGGACGTCCCGTTCAAACGTCGCGGGTATAACGTTATAAACTGCATTTAAAGACGCGTAATAGTAATGTGTTTATTTTTCTATTTTTTTTTTTTTTTTTTTTTCCCCGTGTCTAATACGCTTTTTCTCTGTTTCGCACCTGTCCGGACGGTCTTCGGCGACACATCGCGCGCACGTCTACCGTACGCGCGGCGAGCGAAACATCATAAACACCGTTAAAACCTTGAAACTGTTATTTCCAAAAACCGTTCCACATTATTTATGGTATTTTTTTTTTTTTTTTTAACGCCATCGCGGTTTTTTAGGTGTTTTTTTACGCGGCGTGCTTGACGACCGCGTTCGCTATCGGTTCGGCGAGCTGCGAACCAAAGAACGAAGCCGGCACGTCGGCCGACAAACACCAAGCCAACCGGAGGAGTTACGGTGAGTACCATCAGTACGGTCTGCCGTACGCTCCGTCGTATCACTCGCATTACGGACCGGCCGCGGCCACCACGTATCACGGCCACTACGCGCCCGCACACCACTACCATCACGGCGGCCACCATCTGCATGGTTACGCGGCCGCGGCCACCCCGACGTACTACCACGCCCATCAAGGCTACGCCCCGGGCCACTACAACGGCCAATACTACAACCACGAGACCACCGTTCACAGTTACAACAAACACCATCCGGTCGTCTACCAGTCGGTGGTGAACACGTACCCGACGGCCACCACGGTCGTTCACAAACCCGTGCCCGTGCCCGTGGCGCAACCCGTCCCGGTACCCGTCGCCCGTCCCGTGGCCGTCGAAGTACCGCGCCCGTACCCGGTGCCCGTCGCCCGACCGTACCCGGTGCACGTCATCAGACCCGTAGCCGTGCCCGTAGCTCAGCCGTATCCGGTGACCGTCTACAGACCGTACGCGGTGCCGGTGTACCGTCCGGTCCCCGTGGCCGTCAGGCCGGTCGTACATCATCATTACGCCGCTGCCGCTAGAGTGCCGACCGCGGTCCGTGTACCGCTCACCGTCAGATATCCGGCCGCGGTACAACCGTCATACCTTCATCATGCGCATCACGCGCAGTACGCCCCGCAGTACGCACCGCAGTACGCACCGCAGTACGCCCCGCAGTACCCCGCGACCGTGGCCACGCCGGCCAGTTATCTCCAACAGTTGGCGGTACTTAGGGCCGCGGCGGCGACCGCCGCCGCTGGAGGCGAGTACGCCGTAAACGAGGTGGGGGCGCAACAAACGCTCCAGGACGAATACACGTACCTGCAGGATCAACAGGACGTTTCCGTCACCACGGACGTCCATCACCACGACGACGACGACGTCCATCATCACGACCACATTAACCATCACCATCACGTGCACACGGCCGTCGACCAGGACGGCGGCATCGGCGGTTACCCGTCGCTGACCGCCGACGACACGTTCAAGACCAGCCTGGGAGTGCCGAACACCGACTACACCGGCAAGAAGAAATAATAGTCGAACGACGCGGCGTCCGCGAGGACATTCCCAAAGACTGTTGCAGGAGCCGGTGATGCGATAAATGTTATTATATTGTTATTTTACTATTAACATTATTATTATTATTATTATTACTATTATTATTATTATTATTATATTATATTATGGACTCCGAAGGCGATTATTCGTCCTTTTGCTGAAATAAATTTAAAATTATTACACGTTTTGTGAAGACCGTTTATGCGGTTTGCCGCGAACAATTACTTTCCCGCCGTGTAATCTCGTACACAGCGAACAACGATACGCATCATTGTTTACCACAGCGGTTACGAGCGGTTTTAAGCCGCGCACTGTATCGTATTCGGGATTCGATAGTACCGTAACCGGTACAGGGCTCACGGGCTTCTCAAGCCCTTTCACCGAAATATCTCGACGACAGTAATGTTTGTTCGAGTGATTTTAAAAAAAAAAAAAAAAAAAAAACGTTAATCCGTGTGACGCCGTAATAGCCTGACGCCCGCTGCTCTACGGAGAACAGCGGAGAAATTTGTTGGTAAAACTCTTGTAAAAAAAATATCACATTAAACTAAATTTTTTTTCGTTAATCACTGAGTATAAAAAAAAAAAAAAATACGTAAAAATCAAATCGCTACGAATATTTTTAACTGAATTACAAACAAAAAAACAAAATTGAAAATAACGAAAGCATTATTTTCGCGAATTACCCAGTTTTTCTATAATTTTTTTTTGTTTTGTTTTACTCGATTATTATGAAAACTTTTTGGAAAACCAAAAGAACAGATTACTCACTCACCGACTAAATTGAAAATCTTGTCATCGTGTCCAATGCATCAGCCAGATAAAATATCCTTTCAGAAAAAGTGCTGCACTTGGTACATCGGAACAAGTTTTCTTTTCGAGAAGCAGAAAAAAAAAACCACATCGCATTCGTCGCTGCGCTCATAGTCTGCAATTATTTTACCAAATTAAAGACGACAGCGTCATGCGCTCACTAAACTCGCACTGGAGAACTTTAATTTTCGGGTGGTTTTTTTCGCTGCAGTTCGGTTATAAATACACGTAGAGGATTGAAACTTGGTAATAACACCTATATTGGACTTACCTGGACGTGATAAAATGTCCAAAATCGTCAGACACTTCTTTCTTTTCTTTTAATAAGAGTTTTTGAAATCAAATCTAAACGAAAATCCCAAAAAGAACTACGGCACTTCAAATTACGCATTACCGAACTGCGCTCGGAATCGCCTCTCGTCAGCAATGGTGTTTACCCATTCCCAATCAACTCCAACTACCAATTCCGGCATCGACTCTTTTTTTATTTTTATTTTTTAGTCGCGCGTTACCTTGGCGATACGGATGAAACGAAAACAAATAATAAACCGCGCCGGGCAATGCCGGACGGGCGTTTCTCTCCGTTCGTGTATTGTTGTAACATTGCCGTCGATTCGCATCGGGAATATTCCCGATTACCACGGTTCGCTCCGATATTGTCCGTCGGGAAATTAAAAGAAAAACCATCACGGTGTACAAATCGGCCGGCATGTTCGCTTTCGCGGTCTTGGTCGGCGCGATGTTTGCGTCGGAATCCGTCTGCACGCGGGACGTCAACTCGGCCATGTACATGTACTTGGCCAACCATTTGACTCCGCAAGAGTGTCCGAAACTCGCTGCTCATTTGTATGCCGCGGGCCTTGAATCGCCCGCAGCCAAAGAACTCGGTAAATTATATAACATAAACGGCCGTCGCCGTTCGTGAACACCAACTGCGGCAGATTTCACGCACGGTCGTTCGAATACTAATCGGCCACTTTACGAATGGTATAGGAGCGGCACGGTACGATCTCACGCTCTGAACGATTTTAATTGCATAGTTTACATGATATTAGCCGATAGTTTTTTTTTTTTTTTTTTTTTCTCCCCTTTTACAATTTAATCGGATTCCGTCCGTATTCCGCGTGTGCAATTGGTACCGTCGTATTATAATTGTATAGGATTATCGTTGCGTTTCACGAACCGACAGTTGTGCATACGCACGGACGGTTTTGTTGTCGATTAATAAATCCTAAACCCCGAACGGAACGGGGAATGTATTAGTTTTACAACGGTGTTTTTTTTTTCTCTCCGTTTTTCTATACTGCGTACGAAAATTTTACCAGAAATATAAATAATACGATTTTCTGTACGTTCGCCGTTTAGACGAAAACTGAAACGTGCATTCACACGCAATACCTACCTGCCGTTTTAAATCGCGATTCCCTGAACTTGCATAGTGGGAAAAAATTGATATTTTGTCCAAACCACAACAGTTTACAAATCACTGGTGAAATACTAAAATCAATTATTCCGGGAAACTCCGGGGAAGCACCTCCCAGCAAACCCCCCCCCACGGACAGAAGGCATTGGACGATTGAAATACTGAGCTCGGTTCATAAGGCATGCAAACGGATCGTGCGCGTTTTACGAGAAATATTTTGTTCGACACAATTACAATTGGGTATTAATTTTTGTTTTTTTGACATACCAATTTAATATGTTTTTGAGGGCTGGGTGTAACTTTGTAAACATGTTTACGCGTTACCACGACGACAACAGAGACCGATAGAGATTCCGCTCGGGCCGTAGACTTATACACCGCATTTTATCGCGTATACTAGCCCTACACCGCCCTTACGACCACCCAAACAGCCCAAACACGCCATCTAACCGTGGAGAATGGAGGTAAAGTGGAAATGAAAGCAGTCGAACGGCGGGGGACTGGTGAACATAGCGACGGTGCTGTAACCCACGTGATACTAATTACGGCCACGAATTAACGTATACGTCTTAATTCGCGATTACGGCATTACGCGCGATGAGTAAGCGATAAGAGATAATTCTATTATTCGTCCGTTAGACTGACATTATTATTCATCACGCCGTCGCCAGAGACCCCAAAGGGCAAAAACACGCAATAAAATTTACGATTTTTGTTTTCAATTCACGTTAAAAATGTATAAATAATTTAATAACACATATTTTTTAAGGATTCGCAATTTATTAAAAACATCGTTTTAAAAGTTATACATATTGAAAAAACGTATACATTACTATTAACTTACGGACTATTAGTGTGAAACGGACAATTTATTAGTAATCTTTTGTCGAGTCAACGAATCGAGCAATTCGCCCGGCCGTTTCACGAAAATGGCAAAAAAATTATAAGTTTCATAAATTGGACAAATTCACGAATTCTAGGGTTATCAGTATTCGGGAAGGAACTAAGTTTGGAACGCGTTCTTTTTCAAACACAGGAACGTGAATTTCCGTAAATCGATATGTGCACTTATATTGAAACAAAAAAAATTAAAAAAAAAAAAAAAAACCCGTCGATATTTTAACGAGTTGTAAAAATTGTCAATTTCCGCGTACATAGAACGAGACTTGCCTACGGACGAGCCGTGTTTGTCGTTACTGACCACGTGGAACGATAGCGCCGGTAAAGAGAAAAGCTTTATAGCCGTGACGGACGGCCTGAGGAAGATCGGGCGCGAAAAATTGGCCGAGTGGTTGTCGGACACGATATTCACGCAGTTGTCTGTGGAATTGGATAATTATTTTCTTGTTAGGGACGTGAGGACAGCGGCGAAACCGCCGTCCACAACAATTCGTTCGAAATCGAATCAAAAGTGAGTTGAAAAAGGAGATTAAATACGACGAAAACGCACGAGATAAACCGTCTGTACTAAAGACTTGACTTTAAACTACTTGAAAAATCGTCAAAAGTAAATAACAAACGACGATTAATTTAAATTTGTTATTATTATTTTGACAGAATCGAAAGTTGTTTGTTCGAAAAATCATTTTTATTTTTATTATTCGATACGTTCTGTATGTATTTCATTTTGATGACAATCGCTGTATTAGTATTCTATTCATTGACCTGGTCGGTTCGCATCGTAAAAGAAAGCAAAAACACTCAAAGCAAGTATAAGTAAACATTTGTAGAAACTCAAAATAGTACCTATCTAATATGTATTATGTAATATATAATTAATAATAGTAACAAGATACCTGATAAATAATTATCAATCATTATTTAATGTATTACAATATTTTAATACTTAAAATATTTTAATAAATATGAATGTAGGTAAGTTAAGTAGATATATGATTATTAAAATTTAAAAGTACAATTTTTAGGTATTTTAGAGATTTTAATTTATTTTATTTTAACCTCATGTTTAAATAATTTTATTCAAAATCAAAAACCATACTATCTAAAAAGTGAACAAAATGTATAGAAATAATTATGAGACGTCCACCTTTTTCCCCCCAATTTAACAAATAGCAATGGAGAATCTGTTTTAATTCTCTACTGCTTCCTTTGTTAACTTATAATTAATTGTTAATAAAAATCTTGATTTTCCTTTGACAGAACAGGCTCACATAAATACAATAAATAAATCAAATACTACAATCCTATAAGGATGACATCCCACAGCATCCATAACAGAAATCTAGCTTATTTAATTTGATAAGTCACATAAGTCACATTGATTCAGGAGTTTAGGAGGTATGATAGAATAAACATTCAAATTTTATATAAAATCAAAACACTTCACCCTTTTTGAAATCGGGTAATAAGAGTACAAATAAATAGTAAAAGATTTAAGAATTATGGCATTTTACAAATTGTTCACTCACAATTATTAACAAATAGTTCAATCAGTTTTAATTTCTATCTTGAGGACTGTGGGACCTGCCCATGACTGGTTTACAAAAAAAAATACCATGCCTCAGATTTTTTTTTTTAATTTTTTTTTTTATGATGGTTTCTTTATGCATTGGAGATAGCACTTTGATTTTCAAATATGTAACCTGAAACTATAAAAAAAAAAATGCATTAAAAATAATTATGCAAATTGGACATATTCAAGTTCTAAATTATAGTGTTTAGCAAATATAATGTTCAAAATACAATGTACCCCTTGTTAAGTTTTTCTTTAACCAAAAAAAAAAAAAAATAAAATAATCAAAATCAGTTAACAGTTTTACATTAGTTTTTACTGTAGTGAATGTTTTTGAGGGAAAAAACAGGTCAAGCTCAGACCATAATATAATTATTCATCATAAAGCAGATATTATTAATAATACAAATTTATTTTATATCATTTTAATTTTTCAGTGCCTAAGAGGAAATACAAGATTCTAGAAGTTGGCAATCTGCCCCAAGATTTAGAGTCTGATGACGACATTTTGGATTTGTTTTGTTAAATGGTTACTAAAATGTTACTAATTATTATAGCAGTTAATAATTATTGCCTATAATGATAACATACATAATAAAATTAATTTAGGAATATTATAAAATATACACAATGTTTATATAGCATTAAATATGTTCAATATGACTTCGGTCAATTGTTTTTATTTTTATTTTTTTGTTTTACGTGTAATCATGTGTATAAAACAATTAGTAAAAACTTGTATAAAACAAAGTATATTGTTGTCACGTCTTATAAACATCATTTGTGCACACAAGTGTTACATTGCAGCAAAATCATTAAGCATGAAAAAAAATGCACATCATAGTAATATCAATACATTTTTTGTTTCATTCTGAATCTCAAATCAATAATTGAAAATGTAATATATATATATATGTATGTATGAATATGGCAATATTGATATTTCTAGAAAATATCATATATGATAGATCTGCAATCAGTATGAAATTATCAGTAATTTTACTCTACAATTATAAATTTACTAATAATAAAAATTAGTTTTCTTATATTTAATAATTGAAATTACAACATTCTGTAATTTTAGATTCCAAGCGTAGCGAGATAGCTATTGGTTTTACTAAGGAAACATCTGTAGCAGCTTTTTCTGGAAATGAAAATAAATATCTAATAAAAACCCAATTTTCCATATAACTTGGAGTGAATAGGTTATGTTCTGACTATGATGTGAAAACAGAAAAGCCTAAAACACAACAGAAAAAAAGTAAGGCATATCATACTGAGGAATTAGTAGTGAAAAAAAAAACATCGCTTTTCAAACTCAAATTGCAACCATTCTGAATGGAATTTTTTTAAATTCAAATACAATATGTTGGTACTTGGACTGCGGAGCATCAGGCTACATAGTGAATAGTAAAAAATATTTTATAGAAATTCAAGTATTGGAACACCTATAAAAAATTATTTTTAAAAGTGTACTCTTTGTACCCCACTTATTAAATAATTTATTTTTTGTACAAAAAACTGAAGAGGAGGGAATAAAAATTACATTTTACAATGCTAAGGTTTTAATACAACAGGATAATAATTGAGTTGCCATAGAAGAAAGAAATGACAAAATATATCGGATTAAATTTAATGTGTATGCATGATTCAGCTAATACTAATTTAGTTATTGAGGGAAATGCAGACTTATGGCATTAAAGGCTTGGTCATTTATGTAAATCAAACTTGTCTAGACTAATCAAAGAAAAAATGATTAATGGAATTAACATTTCTACCAAGGATATAGATGAACTTGATATTGTATGTAAATCGTGTGTATGAGATAAACAAACAAGACGTATTCAGTTTAAAATAACTGATGGTGGTGAATTGAATTTCTTTCTTGGTATTCACATTGAAAGAAATCATGACACACTAAAACTTGACCAAATACGGTACTTGAACAATTTACTAAAAAAATTTAATATGGAAAATAGCCATCAAATATTAACTCCTATAGAACACAAATTAAATCTAGCTTTTGATAAAAATGATAAAACTTGTGATAAATCATATAAACAATAAACTGGTTGTTTAATTAATGCAATACTTAGTACAAGACAGGATATGTGCCACACTGTTAGTTACTTTAGCAGGTATCGATTTCATCTGACTGAACAACATTGGATACATCTGAAACGTGATCTATGTTATATCAAAGGAAGTCTTAATTATAAACTTTGTTATAAGAAAAACATAAATATACTTCGTTTTATCTGCTTATGATGATGCTAACTGGGGTAATGACATCTGTAACAGGATATCTGATTAAGTTCTATGGTTCTACAATATCATAGTGTTCTAGAAAATAATGGTCACAATCTCCTTAACAGAATCTGAATACATGGTTGTGAGTGATGCTATATGTGAATGTATGAAGATACACAAAGCTGCATAAAACTAGCATCAAACCATGAATACCATAAATGTACCAAACATATTAATATAAAACATCATTTTATTTGAGAAAAAATTCAAGGAACAATGCAGTGCAATTAAAATATATTCATACAACTGATCAAGAAGCTGATATGTCGACAAAGTCCCTGCCTACAAGTAAATTTAAGGATAATTTGTTAAAAATTGATTTACATTTTTAGTTTTTATTTTTTTGTTTATTAGTTGTTTGTATATAATTATGTAAATACATAATTGTTTGATACAGAAATTGAAAGAGAGTGTTGAGTGTATACACAATACCTTTTATTTTTACCTCCTAGGCACTTAAAACAAAATATTCTGTACCTTGTTTTTTATTTAAAACATTGTAATCGTGTAGTTCTAAGTTTTTCTTTCTTTTCTTGTATTATACATTATATATTAAACTTTTATTTAATTTCATTGCATGTATTTTTAATACAATAAAGTCTTTGCATTATAGTTATAATAAATAAATGGATTTTTCTTTTTAAATCATTAATTAGCTGGTTAGTTGTGTTCCTCCAAACTCATATTCTATATACTCTATTTCACTTATACTTATCTTCAACCCCTTTCTTTTAATAAAAATACAATTTTAAAATTATTAAATATTTTCGCCTTTTTTGTTATCAACTAATCAATGACATTTTACCAACTTTTTCTAACTCAATTAACTTAGTTTTTTGGGACTTCAAAATTATTTTCATTTTTTTTTCGTGTTTACTCATTTTTATTTTTTTTAACTATAATTTACAATGTGACTTAACATCAAAAAATACAGAGTTATAATAATAGTTTTAAAAAAACTTTATGTATTTTGCCTTCTCAATTTCCAACCTACAACTGTGGCTGCACCCATCCACATATAAGCAAAGTGTACATTGTTAGAGAGCCCTATCAAAATCCTGTTCTCTGATTGGCTCTATCCCCAATGAGATAAAAATGTCTTTATCAGTTATGATTTTTAAATGTTTTTAAGTTTGTAAAAATTTAAAAAATTTTTGTTTTATTAAAATGTAAAATACCATTTATATTAAATCAATTATAACATTTATGGAAGGAATTTTTTTAGGTACGTAGGTTAGGTAAATATTAAATTTAATATCAAATTACTATTTCAGGACAGTAGCAGAAGTTGGGAAAGTAGAATATAGAGGAGAATTTAACTTATATCTGTATGCAACAATTAACCATAGCTAACGAAAAATGAATCTGAGCAGAACTTGGTCAACAGTAATGCTTTTTCAACAATGTGTTTTCACGACAACTTGTTTAAATAAGATTAATAGATTAAAATAATAAAAACTTAACAACAAAAACTAAATAAAAACTGTTGCCAACAATAACCTTATTTTAATTTTTAATCATTTTTATCCAAAGAAAAAATAGTCCTCATTAACTTGAATATTAATGAAAATTACAAAAAATAACCTTTCAAAAGTATCAATTAAAGCCAAAATACAATAAAAAAGGTTTTTTCTTGTTTTGATTGGAGTAAGATTTATAGGAGAACATTTGTACTTGGTGTATGAAAAAATAAACATCATTGTAAAATCAAAACATACCTCGCTTTACTCAAAATGTAGGGATATTCACTTACCCATCATATTAGAAGTGAACATTTATTTTTGATTCTCTCTTTATTCACAATTGACTTTATTTTATCAACTTTATTATCCACTTCTTGGAAAAGTTTGATTAGTTCAATTTTGAAACTAGATCAGACTTTATTTTCAATTTTTCTGAAAATTTTAATAATTTACTTTGACTACATATTTTATGACAATAAAATCAAAATTATTATTTTTTTGAAAAAAAAAATTAACCTCTTTTTACTTGATGGTTTAGAAGGTCCAGCTGGACGAGGTGTTAAACGTTTTGATTCTTCTGGGTGATGTCCATAGTCTTTTCCTTGAATCCATTTATCATACTTTTCAGGCTGCAGTCGTTTAATAAATATATCCATACTGAACTTTACCTTGTCCCCTTTACATTTACACTGCATCGCACGTTTACCATATTCTACCCAACGATTTGTTGCAAAATTAATAGCTTCAGCAATATTAAACCCATGGTTAAACCCTGAGTGAAAACCATATGGAAAGGTTATTATTATTTCCCCCGGCTCTTGTGTTATCTGAAACAAATTAATATTTGTTTAAAAAGGTAGTGAACTTACTAATATTATTAATATAATACTAATGTTTATAATATTATATATTGGCTAGTATACTGTGATGCAGGGTAGCCCAAAAATGGGTTTGTTTTGTATTTTTCAATTAAGTTATTTATTTATTAATAATATATTTATTAACAAATAAATATATAATTAATTTATACACCTTAATTTTACTAGTATTAATAACACTAATACTTATAACAGTGTTTAATTTTTTAATAAACAAATTTATTAATATCTAATCTCTTACTTTATCCCATGGTATTGAAGAATCATTCAATGAATTAGGAGATATAAAACACATTTTATGCCGAATGAACGCTGAACAAACACTATAATCCATTGAAAACTTAGCTGCAGCTAATCTTTCAAATTGACGACCGTATTCTGGTGGAATTGCATACCTGAAATTAAGAACAGCCCAAAGAGGTATTTATGTTATAAATATGTTTCAAATTGAATAATGTATAAAAAATCATAAAAACCATGTTTTTGGACTCCCGAAATGAAGATAGTTTATACTATACAAGTCCATATCTTCAGTGTGCCATGGAAATGCTGATTTCCACATACCAATGTACAAGTATGGGGTATTAACACCATCAATTTTAACACCATAATCGTCATTCAGATAGTCGAGGATTGTACCCAGTTTGTTTATATTCCAAATCTTTTTAAGACAAAAAAAAATTGTTTGCATAAATTATTTCTATGATATTTTTAATTGTTTACCAACATACTTCACAATCAGCATCAAACACAGTTGCAGAAACATCTGCTCCATAAATTGGAGGATTATACGTAATGTTCTTCCAAAATTTTCTTTCAAGATCATCGTAATCAATATGAACGGGTGTTTTGTATTTATTTGTTTCTGATAAACATTTAAAACTGGATAATGACATGGCTTTCATTTTTAAAGTATTATGTATATATGACCCTCCTTTTCCAGTAATTTTCTAAATGAACAATGCAATTAATATTTAATACAGTAAAAATAAAAGCTAACTTAAAAAAAACACATTTTAAATAAAGTAAATAAATAAATGAATTAATATGTTGCCTAAAGAATTACGATAAGTGTATTATATAACCGGTTTTAAATTATACACTTTTCATAATTCTTTAGGCAACATATTAATTCATTTATTTATTTTATTTTTATATATACATTTTTTATTTATATATTTATTTATTATAATTATTTACTTTATTTATTTATTATAATTATTTACTTTATTTATTTATTATAATTATTTACTTTATTTATTTACGAGTATTAACCATTTTAATGATTTTGTTTTTACTTTATTATTTAATTACAAATTTTAAATTATTTACTTGAGTTATAGGAGTTGGAATTTGTATTCCCAAAACATCATCTTCAATATAGCTCAGTTTTCTTGGTTTCCATTCTTTAGGGGGTATAATCTGAAAAATAAAAAAAATTGAAAATAAAACAATAAATACAGCAGGTAGATATGTGTGATAAATGAAAAATATGTCAATATAAAATATTTACCTTCGCGATTCCGGCTTTATGTGCTTCTTGAGATTCTATGTACTGAATATAGTTGTTAAAATCTTTAAATTCATCCCAGGTAGGTCTGAAGACCATAATTTTTGGAAGCGCGTCATTTGAGACATTTGTATGCATTGTAGCTGAAATGAAAAAGTAAATTATCAACAGTTTTAAACAAGTTATCTACCTAATTATTTATAATAAGTACGTTTTTTTAGCTTTCAAATCTCAAAAATCCATGTAAAACAAACAGTGCTTATCAATTATTCGTCAGTCAGTAAATACATCATATAGGGACAATATATTATGGTCAATAGTATCCTTGTCCCTTGATGAGAACTGACGTTGCCTAAAGTCCTTTGTACCTACTGATAAAACCAATATTTAAATTCACTTTTTATTATTTTTAAATTTTGAACGTAGCACAGAATGTATTGATGAAAAATAAAATGTGTTTTTAGTGTCTTAGTATGTTTGCTTTTTAAATTGTATTTTATGTAAAGCAAATAAACAATTTGTCTACAAGTAATCGATCATTAGCTTCAGAGTTCGGGGGTGTTTTCTAGTCACAAATTAGAGTTGCCAACATCAAAAAAATAATAACTACCGGCCAATGGGAGCGAGTAAAATAACGGAAGATAAATCAGTTGAACCCACGGACTAATAATTGAACCGTACTGCAGTCGACAAATATTTTAGCTGAAAAATAAATTGGAAGAAAATTATTTAACATGAACGTACATTATCGGAAATTAATTTTTCTCAAAACATGGCCGCACAAATAAGTGAAATATTAACTGATTAACACCTTAGATAACAATACGACAGCGACGATAAACATTAGTAAGGTACGAAAAAAAAAAAGATTGATAAGGTATTAGAAAAAAACAATGTTCGTCTATTTAAATGTGAATAAATTTTGAATATAATAGTCTTCAGAGCTGTCGATCCGTTGGTAAATTCGTACGGACATTAATTTCAAACTTTAATAGTTGTTACCTTTTCTGATTGAGGTTATGTTTCTTATCTGAAATTAAATGAGTGTATTCCGACGAATCTCGAAAAACTAAAATATAAAATCACACTCTATTCCAAGTATTAACTTTTCCCGGAATTTGATTTCTAGAACATTTAAGAAATCAGCTGCTCTACATTTTTATGTTTATGTTATTTTTTGTCACCCCTATTTTTAGGGGTAAAACCACTACTTACTTTTGATTTTCAAATAGCAACCTATATTAAAAATTTCATAAACAAATGGAGTAGTAGTTGAAAACAATTTTAGTGTTAACTTATTTGACTTCTGTCAATGCGTTAACGAGATATTCTTCTTTTAAGTTTGGGTTGGAAAAGAATGGTGGAGTATCATTTGTGTGGTGGTACGACGTGCGGCGTATTAATAATGCATTACTCTCCTCCAACTTAAACTTGAAAGGAAAATATCTCGTCGACGGATTGACGCAGATCAAAAATTTCAATACCAAAATTTATTTTTTAATATAGGTTGCCATTTGAAAATCAAAAGTAGTTAGTGGTTTTATCCCCACAAATAAAGGTGAAAAATTAATAACATAAATATAAAATTGTAGAACAGCTTGTTTCTTAGATGTTTTAGAAAACAAAGTCTGAAAAATGTTAATTACTTTCCGAGATAACGAGTGTATCAATTTAGAAAAACGGATCACTTCGTATATTAGTGAAGGTCCCGCACAGGTACGTTGAAAAAACTACCGAGTTGTGGTGCTTAAATGCTCTAGGAATTTAATACCTCGGGGAAGGTATGGCAAATTGAGGGGGTATATATAAATACTAGAATTGATTATGGTACCGAGGAGTATGCTAGGATAATTATACCCCGGCAAACGAATTCAGAGGTGTATGTATATGCTAGGATTAGGCTACCAGCGGGGTATGAAAATCCTGGCATAATCGTACCGAGGGGGGGGGGAGAGGAGTAGAGGGATACGATTTCCTCGGTACGAAATGACTGACGGCAAATGCTGTTGTCAACCTACCAACCCAAACGACAAATGTACCGAGTGTGAGCTGTATTCCCACAACACTCCCCACTACGCGTACCGTACGTGCCTACATAACCGTGATACATGAACGGCCGTTAATTTTTGTATAGCATATTTTAATGACAGCGTAATATTTAATTCTAAGCTGTTGTTATTTGCACTATATAGCCGCGTATAATTGCGAACGTGCAACAATTATTGTTATTATGACCGATCGGCTGTATACACGGCGGCGCTGCAGTGGCCGCCCGTCCGAACGCGTCGAGAAAACATACGATGTTGCGAGCTACAGCCAATCACAGAGTTTGTTGGTATTTATGCGTGCGTGAGTGTTTTAATCATGGAATAGACTGATAGAGTATAGAACAACTAAAATCAACGAACAATCTCGCACCTATCCGACAACGGGATCGTTGGGATCAGTTCTTCCGAAAAATTGCATCATTGACATAGTTCTCAATATCCACGTAATCGCATATTTATTCACAAATAATACAAGTTTAAAACCGGAGACAAATATTATTTCTCGTCGCTTATCTAGAAATCAAATTCGTGTATTGACGAATTATCTGTAAAAACAACGATAAATGTATATTTTTAATATAAAAAAAAAAAAAAAAAAAAAAAAACGATTCAGATCGGCAATGGCTATCAGATTTACATTAAACATTCGGATGAAACCGACCGTCTGGCCGCCGTAGCCATAATCATTTCACCGGTACATCTTTCTTTTAATCCCTTCAGAATCGTTTATTCTTATTAGGCGAATATATTCAGAGAAAACTGTTGCCCTTTCTTACTCCTCCACTATACGTTTGACAAATGGATCTGGCTATCAATCATTATTGGGTACTCACGGAAAAACGCCGTGTACGGACAATCTGCCGCCGTCATAATTTTTTACACGGACATTTTAATGTACCTACCTTTTCGGCTACTTAGATGAGTCCTGGCTGGCATGTATGTGAACATAACTCCATTATAGCTGGCTCGTATACCACTGATGTGAAAAAGTGGTTACTGTCATGTCCAATATGTTGGACAGAATAATGCAGGGGTAAATTAAGATATTTCTAAACAAATTCCTAATAAATAGATTATATAATATGATAAACACTAAAATATTTTTTCCAGATATTATTCATCAAGATTGATATAGGAAAAAAAATGATTGTAAAGTTTATAGAAGTACATAGAATAGCTGACATAAAAGAGTCTTTATTCAAAAAAAAAAAAAAAACACAAATTTACCTACAAAAGTAATACGTTTTACATTTATTCGGCAAGTAGAATCTACTAAAGAAGTTACTGCAACTGCGATTTCTGATTAATAAAATTACTAATTAAACATTGGAAAAACGTATACGAATTAATTATAAGTTTAACGTTGCTCTAGTAGTCAAATGGAAGAAATGTCAATTACCAACCAATAATTTTAACCTAACCACTCAGTAAATATGCTTGTATAAGTAGTTGTGTGTTAACCATTGGTATATATAGGAAAGGGTAGGTGTTTTACTTTTGAAATGGGCGTAATTTTGAAATTTTCCCCGGAAGTAAAAAGGCCTAGTTCCGCCTCTGATTGTATCATTTGAAAAAGTAGTTAAACACACTTTCTTATACCGCAACATCACCAGAACATGTCTTTATTCATGTGAAAATATAACAACAGGTACATGTAAATTAATATAACCTATTATTATAACATTATGAATGTAGACATGTAGACAGTGAAGTAAAAGTACAAATAAATAAAAAATAATTGTTCATTTCATGTTAAAGAAAAAAAAAATGTATGTACCCAGTATATACTATGTACAAGGTTAAATAATGCCCAACTTAATGTAAGCTTCGAAACTTTTTTTTTTTTGATCATTTTTCTTTTTTGGTTTCACCATTACATTTCGCGTTCACACATTAATTAAATACTAAATGGCAAAAGCAATTATTTCTCTGTCTCGTCATGCTTAGTTTATTTAATATTAATATAATATTAAATTGTTAATATTAATATAGTTCGAATTCAGGCGCGTACCGGCCCACCGGGATACCGCGAAAATCCCGGTAGGCCCTTTGAAACATTTTAAGACAGGGCCCCCTAGCAAATAGGTACCAGTTATCAGTAATTTTATTATTATTATCTTAATTATTGAATTGAATAATTGAAAAGAGAGAATTACATTTGCACTATGGACAAATAACGAATTTCGTTAGTAAGTTACTGATAATGCAATTTTCGGTGTACAAGCTTATTCTACGTATATTCATTGAACATTTTTCTTTATACTGTTTTCCGGATACAAACGAACCGGGCGACGGACTAAAATCGGTTTCTCCGGCGATCATTCGGATATGCGTGACGGTGGGATCTGATTCTGAAAATAGTACAGAATTCTTATGACTATGACGAGACGATGGCAGCACGCGAGGACATGGTGCGCACCAATTGTTTCTGTTTATAATACAATGGTGTTCATAAATTGCTTGGATTAATAATAATTATCGACGATAATACCAATTATAAGTATAGCATTTCATTTATTTGAATTTCATCGTCACGTTTAGTTGTCGTTCCTACAATTTCAACAGTCAGTCTTGATTTTCATACAGCCCCAACAGGTAAAGTTTCTGTTTTTTTTTTTTTTTAAATTTCTTTAGAAAAATCAATATAAAAGTCACCAACAACTATTTTGAATTTTTAAATAACTATTATTACGCACTCTTGGTCGTATCTCATAAGTAACCTATTGTGTTTGGCGTAATTATGTATAATTATTAATTAAAAACTATTACTAACAGTCCATTATTTATTTGTTTAGCATTGATCATAAATAATATGATAAGACGTCCGTCGTCGGCTAGATGGTATGCGCAATATCCGTCGTTTGTACCGTTGTCTTTAATATTTGTAAAAAATATCCAGTGACATTACATACAAACAATCCGCCACAATTGGGTGCGTGCGGCCGATATTGTTTACTTATAAAAAAAACGTAACTCATGTTTATCATGCGTAACGAACGTTATTTATGAGTTTAATATGCATTCTTTAGAGTATAATGAATTATTTGAAGTTTTTGTTCCTACACATTGTTAACTAATAAATCTGTATAGTTAAACATGTTTAAATCTATAAATAAATATAAAAAAATCTTAAATGTTAAAAAAAAAATGTAAAATAATAATAATTGTGTGTACTATACGAACACGTACGTTGGTATAGACAACAAATTATTTAAAAAAAAAAAAAAAGAAACCGACATACTTCGCACGATGGGTGAGCCACTGTTGTAGGTGAGACGTGGGGAAAGTAGAATTTAGAAAGGAATTTAATGCATGTCTGTACACGGTGATAAATCATTGCTAACGAAAAACAATTCTGAGCAGAGTTCGGTTATACGTGTTTTAAACGGCCGTAATACTTGGTTTTTTCGATTTTTCTATGAAGACCCCTGAGGAAATCGAAAAATGGCCTGCATAATATACCACCCCAAGGTAATTTAGTTTCAGAAAAAAAGCTGCAATTGAAAATCGTAGCAATATTTCCGGTTGAAAAATTGTTCAGGGAAAAAAAATAAAAAAAAAATATATCATTGTTAAACCAATACATTTCTCGCTTCGCTCAGAATCCTTTTAAATTGTAAAAAAAAATTATGTTTTAATGTTGATTAAAAAATATAGTATAAAAGTAAATTTAAAAAAAAAAAATAGCTCCCCCGATACGCTCGGAATCTAAAATGTACAAAATATAATTATAGTTGAAATAAGTAGATATTTGCCCTTTGGTAGGTACAACACTTATTAATTCCTTACTAATTACATATGTATTTAATACATTATTATAATAGACTACTGTTTTTTTTTTTTTTTATAAAAGTGTATTTATTAATTTACTTACTATTGTTTGGTCAGTTTTGCCGAATATGCCCAAACCGCACCGTAAGCACGACACGCCGTAAGGGTGGCCTGCTTCTGGCTCGTGGCCAACCCATAGTTATTATTGGTGGTCATGGTTTATATATTCAGATCTGGCCAATTGAACAATTTCAATATTGTTTTGGTCCATTTCCACAGCCGATTCAAGAGCATCAGAGCAGATGCTCATTAACGCTCCGGGGACTCGTGTGAATGTTGGTAATCCCCGTCCGCCACGACCTAGTTGGCGTCCACGTGCACGACGCCGCCATGATTGCCCGATCGGGCTGTCGTTTCGGACGTTATATTTTTTCGCGAAAAAATAAATTAAAATCTGATCAAATTACTAACCTTCAATAGCAGTTTTTCCGGTCGGAATATTTTTAAACCGTTAGTTTCGGACAGTCCTTTTTACAACGTCTTCAACTGGAATTCGAGGTTTACATGAAGACGAAAGTGAATTAATTCCTTCTGCGTAGATTTCAACTGGATTTACTTGGGTTGATTGAGTTTTTTCCTTAATTTTTAATAAACATTTTGAAACTTGAATATCATCTTCATTCGGCCCGTGGTTGTGTACGATCCCTGCATTAGGATCTAAATTATTCAAATTGGAGTACATTGTTCCGGGGAATTTTAATGACGAAAATTTATAACGTTTCCAACGTATCACTGCCGTAGATTTAACATTATTATCGTTTAGATCAGCGGTTCTCAAACTTTTTATTCAAGGCTCCCTAATAATAAACAAATTTCTCTTCGCTACGCCACTGCTGTTAATTGGCCACATACAAGCAATGCATGCACACAAATGGAAATTGTGTACAACTAATTTCATTTAGGTTTCATTCAACGGATACCTGCCAATTATTCTATCAACCGTGAAGTAAGTGGCCATGTAGGTATAAAAATGTAGGTTCAGTCATTAGCAAGGGCTATTCCACTTTTAAGTTTGGGTTGAAGGAGAGTAGTGGACTATCATTTGTGTGGCAGCATGTGGCGCGCGGCGTGTTAATAATGTACCACTATTCTCCTCCAACCCAAAATTAAAAGTGGAATATCTCGTTAACGGCTCGACGCAAAACAACGGAAATCGTTTACAAGTCATCGGGAAAATTATTTTATAATAGCCAACTATTCAAATTAATTGGACATTTTCATTTAGACATTTAGTATCCAAGATGTAAATCATGATTGTGCATCAATGTGCGACGAATTCAAATAAATTTGGATAAATATATATTTCCATACAGTCCAAAAGTGGGTTTTTTTTTTTGGGAGATTCATCGGTTTTGAGTTTTCTCCCATCAGTTGTGAAGAGATTTTATAGTGTGTACCGTGTGCTGTCGTACGGTAAAAGAACGATCTCTTAATCTCAAAAACCCCTCGGAGTTATGATTTGTTTAAAATTATGCGGGCAAGAGGTTATATTTGTTTTTAAACATAATTTTCCCATAATATAGTGGACAAATAATGTTTAAATGCCACATATTATGTAGGTAGGTTGTCGATAAAATGTTTTGACCTTTACTAGTCGGTGGCTTACGTGACTAAATACAAATTTTCATATTCCGTGATAACTACTTAATATAATTTTAGCAATAAAGATAAATATCTAACAATAAAATCTTTATCTGTAATTGGCGGGTTTCGTGTTGACGTTAACATTTGGCTTTTATATGGTTTTCCTGATGATTTTTAGAACAAATCTGTTTATAATAGAACCATAGGAATCGCATAATATTTGAATAAATGGTTCTCAAAATAATTATTTGATCAACAAAATATTAAAAGTTGAAATTATTTTGCATAAGAACGGGTTTAAAAATTACAATATTATCTATAAAATCCTTTTCTGCACATCGCGTTGGCGGTCGTTGAAGCGTTTTCCTTAGGGATTCTTATGCATTCGCAGCTTGCTTTTCAAATAATATTAAAACAAATGGTTCTCAAAATAATAAGATTTAACAATAAACGAAATTTTGATTCAGATTTCAGAACAAATGATAACTGATAGGTATGACATAGTATAAAAATATAACACAATTATATTTCATGTAATTTTATACGTAAAATGTGTGATTTTTAATGCTTAATCCATTGGTATAATCAAAATTTACCTATCATACTTACTTTTGAAGTCATTGTACATAAACCTTGAAAAATAGCATTTTGAGTACACCTAGAGACCTAGCAAGGTCACTAGGGTTTGAACGTTTGTAACTCTAAATCTAAGCCAGATAGACTTATTCTGACTATAAAAACTTTGCTATCAAAATTTCAATAAACATAAAATCATAATAATAAAAATGACCACATTTTGGCTATTTCAAGGTTTATGTACAATAATTATAAAAGTATGATCCGTAAATTTTGATTATACCAATGGATTAAGCATTAAAAATCCCTCATTTTGGGGAAAAAAAAAATTTTAAATGTTTGATTTTCAATAAGAAATATGCAAAACGGAAAACCTAAACTTCGTGAAGTTATCTCCCATAACTTCCAAATGAAATTCGTCAGACTTTTTTTTTAAAATAAAAAATAAACTTTTGTTGTAAACTAGATTTATACCTTTTTTTTGTAAGTTTGAATATCTTAAACCTTAAACTTAAATTACATCAAATGATAATATTCATGAATTAGTTAATGGATTTACTTCAATCATTCATAAAGTGGCCAGGGCATATCAATCTAATCCAAACAACTGCTCCGGTTCAATTAATCCCTTACTGATGCACTTTCTCTTGTTCACCTCTCATAAAGCACTTTACAACAAATTGGTCAATTCTCTAACAAAATAACTTGCCATATACAAATCAGATATTTTTGAATATTAATTATTTAATTCCTCTTCTGATTGCAGTCTGTGGAGAGAAATAAATAAATTACCTATTACGTTACAGGTCTAACTTACCTCCTTAACTTAAGTAAGTCAGTACATATAACATTCACCTTATGTAATTTATTTTGTCCTAGTGTCTCTCTGCATAATGTTCCCATTCCAATATCTAACTCAGTTAGATATTTAGGACTCGGACAAACACCTCACTTGGAATAGCCATATACGTAAAAAAAGACTTGCCTTAAATGTTTGAATATTTGTCTTTTTATCAAAGCAAACATTTTTAACAATGTAGTTAAGTACATAGGCACATCAGATCATCCTATCCAGATCTACCTATCACATCATAGTGATAGGTACATTAGTTATCATAATTCATAAAAATTCACTAAAATTTAAATTTTTTGGTTTATTGTAGATTTCAAAGAGATCCCTATACATAATCTATCGGTCAAAGCAATTGCTCGAAAGAGGTTTACACCTAGCAAATATAGTAAAATATGTAGTGCTCATTTTGAAAAAAAAAGATTATTATGAAAATCATGGAGGCAGTTATTTACCCAAATTAAAATCAGATGCAGTTCCTTCAAAACTTCTTACTTATCCTTCCAGTAATAGGTATGAGTCTAAAGTTAAAGTATCTAAGTCAGAATTTCACATTAATACATCAATGGTACATAATGTTGTAGTACCTTTACTATCTTACAACCGTGATTTATTCAGTATCAAAACAGATAATAATACACAATTTGAATCAAATGTACTAGTTGAAATACCCATTACAGAACAAGTAACATCTTTAAAAAAAAATCCTGTGTCTCCCATATTTATTACACCATCAAAAAACATTAGAACAAAAGTAGTTGTTACTTCTTCTTCACGATTAAAAAGTCCTTCAAAAATAAGTATTGAGAAAAAAATATAATTACTTCAGCCAAAAGTAAGAAGAAAAAATATTAAAATAAATAATCTCAAAGATTTTTCAAGTGACTTAAAGAATACAAATCTCATTGATGGAGGAAATAAATTATAATACTTCAGAAATTAATAAAATTAAAATTTAAAATTCACATTATGAATTGATGAATACTTTATATTTTTTTATTATAGGGTATCACAATATGTGATAACAGATTTAAACAAGTCCCATATCTAGTAGTTTTATGTATCTATGAGAGAAACAAATGTTCAGCGGTTAACAGATGATAAAAGATAACAGTGTTATCACCTTTATACGTATTTTCTACCCAAAACACGGTTCTAACAAAATATTTCCGTATCAAATATTATTTTGATTTTCTGAACAAATTTTTCTTTTAAAATACGGTTCGACGTAAATATTTTTTGACAGTTTATTTGTTTGATAAAATATCATCTAACAAAATATATTCGTACTTTATATGCGTCCCCAATTTTCATATGGGGTCTTGTGGTTTTTGAAGGACAGATGATACGGTGCTTTTTAAGCTTATATACAAAAACTGTTATAATAATAATAATAACATAGATAATTTCTATGAATAACAATAACATGTATATTATCCGTTATTAGTATGCCTATTGCCTTTTGACATTTTTAAATTTTATTTGGAATACTCAAATATTACTCTATACTCAATCATGATCCATCGGTGTATTTTATGTTTAGAAGATCTTGTGCTAGATAATACCACGATTCTGTATTATCTATATAAATAAATAATGATAACATTACATACATATATGACTCATTCATTAATCTCTATTCTTTATATATTTTTTGTACGCTTATAAAAGTATCTATAGTAGTATAGTGAAAGTTTCCTCGTATTTCATAATAGATTTTTAATTGTTTAGTTGTATTATTTTATTATTTTACGATTTGTGATGTTTTCTTCAGACCCAAATTATACAAAACTCAAGACTAACTTGAGATTAGCTTTAAATCGTCTAAAATTATTAGAAAAAAAAAAGACTGAATTAGCTCAAAAAGCGCGTAAAGAAATTGCAGATATGGTAGCAGCAGGCAAAAGTGAACGTGCTAAAATAAGAGTTGAACATATTATACGGGAAGATTACTTTGTTGAAGCGCTAGAAATTGTTGAAATGTTGTGTGATGCCCTGTTGTCCAGATTTGGTTTATTACAACAATCCAAGTAAATTATACTACATAATTATTGTATGATATATAATACTAAATGTATTTAATTTTTTGACATAATAACTGCTATGAATTATAAATTGGTTATTTATGTGTTGCTTCATATTTTAATGCTACTTCAATATGGGAGCTACTAGTATGTTTCTAATTTGATATTCGATATACCGATATATTTTTTATTATTAAGAATTATAGGGTTATACCAATTCAAAGTTTGCAGGGGTATTTAAAGATGTGATGTTCAATTGCTCTATTCGTCAGCTCATGTGATGAGTGACACTTTATTTCTTTCAGTGTAATATAGACCTACTGATTTGTAGGCCAAAACGTAATACTGGTATAAAGTAGTTAATGCCCTAAGTGTAAACCTAAACCTTGTTATGCAAGGTCAGGTTTGCGGTGTGAAATATGGATGTGAAATAAATCATTATCATTATCAATATTTGTATAGGTATTTATTAATGAATTTTGCAGTATGTAGATATTCTAACATCACTCGGACGAGGAAGACCATATATTAAAGTAACACTCATATTATTTTAACTAGGTAATAATATGATGGTCCCTTAATAATTTTATAAGCAAATGAATGTTGTCTTCAAATATCAAATGATTTATCAAATAAGAAATATAAACTGATTATAAGATGATAAATTGTTGTTTATAATTATAATTGATTAGCTATATTATTATATATCATTAATATATATATATATTTTTTTTTTTTTGACAAAACCAGGTTTAACAGTTTTTACTCTACTAGGAACTGCACCTTTAATTATATATTTTTTAAAATTGGAATTATTTTCATTATTCTTTAGTTGTATTAAACTGAAAAAAAAACTTATCATAATTTAGCCACATCTGTTTTCAATTGCTTAAATTTAAAATTGTTCATTAAGTTGTAAAATAATATATTTTAAATTTGTTTGGTAGGCACCTACTTAAATAGATGTTAAACTATAGTTTTATTACTGCAATCAACTTTACTACTGCTTGAGGCACCAGTAGTTTGCAGTTGACTACATCAGCATCTGGTATGTACTGTCACAACTGCCTACAGTAATAAAACAAAAGATTTAGGTTTAAAGAAATCCAATCATTGTTTCAATTTTTAGCTTTCTTACTGCATTCTAATTTAAAAGAACTGAATAAAATATGCATTATTTATTAACTAATTATAACTAGGTATAAGTACACTTATTTAGGTATAAATATTTCTATTTAATATTTAGCATATTTAAGAAAACTACTTTTATTACAAATAGATTTTTTAGTGTAACAATTTCAGATCAATAATTTATTGGTGTTACAATATTCTTAATATTACCATGATTTTAATTTAGAATTCTAATACATTTTTAGAATGTTGGACCCTACCTTAGCAGAATCAGTATCCAGTTTATTATGGGTAGCTCCTCATATTCAAGCTGATGTTAGTGAAATGAAAGTTATTTCTGATCAATTAACTCAAAAATTTGGTAAAAAATACACAGAGGTAATATATTGAAATATACTATTTTGTTGTATTTAGCATTGAACTATGATTAAACTATACCATAATTTTACGTTTAAAAAAATATTATCCCCTTTGAAAAAAAACTGGTAGTATAGATGTACAAAATGTTGTTATAATTATGTATTTTATGTTATTTAATAATATATTTTAATATTATATAGGCATGCAGAACCGAAAACATGGACACGGTTTCACAGAAACTTAAACATAAGTTGAGTTTAAGACCTCCACCAAAAATACTTGTTGAGAAATATCTAATTGCTATTTCAAAAAATTATAATGTTCCTTATGAACCAGATTTACAAGTAAGAAAAAAAAATTATATTTTGTAATAATAATTTATTGATTGTTTGTAATAAATAAATAATATATGGGTACTTATTTTTTAAAGTAATAATTGTAATTTTTAATACTAAAACTTTTATTTTTAATTAATATTAATAAATAAAATAATAGTAATATATCAATATACTATTGTAAACGGTATTCATTGGCATTAATAACAAAAACATAATACAACAAATTTAAACACTATTAAAGCAATATTCATTCTTTTTATTGGTAATTAATTACGTTTTTATTTTTAGGTTATGCAAGAATATGAACAATCGCATAGTATAGATTCTATACTTTTTGATAATAAAAATCCAAATAATGAAAATGCTACACGGCCTACTGGTTTTATTGGGTTTCCACCGCAACCAATAGCACCGATTCAAGCACCACCTATTAATTACCCTGTAAGTTTATAACTAATAAAAACATTACTCAGGTTTGATGTGTTTTTTTATTAATTTTAGAATATGCAAACTATGAGTACAATGTTAGACTCAATGTCTATGGATTTTGATATACCACCTACTATGCCTACTATACCTACAATGCCTACACAACAACCCAATCCAAAACCACCAGCAACCACACAGCAGCTCAATTCAAAACCACCTACAGCTAACCCTGTTAAACCTATGCCCAAAAATCAAATTTTGTCAAATAAAAATCTAGGATTTTCAAACTTGCCTGATCTCCCTAGTGTACCTACTGATATACCTACAGGCGATATTAAAGAAAAAGATGATGAAGAAATGGATTTTGACGAATTATTGAATCGATTTGAGGATTTAAAAAAGAACAAAAAATAAGTAAATTATTACATTTCATTTATTACTTAGTATTAAAATGTTATTATTAATATTATTATTATTCAAATATTTAATACAAATTTATGTATAATTAATTTTAATTCTTAACTTTTTATGTATAGAAAACACATATATATATATATATTTATATTTTTTTAGTACACTATCCAAGTATACCTAATAAAGGTTTCGGAGTATTCACAGAAGGTTTTTTGTTTTCTTGTTTTGGTTTTAATGTTCCTGTTAATCCACCTAATAGTCCATTTTGATTACCATTGTTATTTTTTAATAATCCTTCAATGGTGTTTAAGGGATTTTCTAGTAAATTGACTGTGCCTTCAGTAACATCGCCTAAAACTCCATTTTGTAATAAATCTGGGACTGTTTTTAATATATCTGATATTCCTGGTAAATTGCAATATGATGATTGTAATATATCTGGTACACCTCCCCATAATCCCATTTCACAAAAACGGAACTTATTTTCAATACGTGCATTTTCATCCAGTATAACATAATCAGATTGTTTTGATGAGGTGAATGAAGGCCATTCATCTCCCAATTTTGTTAACCTTGGTTTCCTAAAATAATAACTTATTAATAAAACCATGTAAAAATTTTATTTTAATATTTAACATTTACCCATTTCGTACAAATTCTGCTACTAATGATGTAAAATTATTTCTCATTTCAATATCTTTTTTGTCTTTCAGTTCAGTTCCTGGAATTGGTTTACCTTCAATAGTTCTTACGTCATATAAATAAATCAAATCGTCTCCATGACTTGGTTCTCCTATTATTTTTTAAAAAAAATATTTAGTATATTTTTACTTATATATTTTACTTGAAATAATATTTACCACTTTCTTCAACATCATTACTATCAAATGCATCATTTTTTGCCAAATTTGTATTGGGAACATCCAACATATTTGGCAAAAACCATTTTCCAGGAGATTTAACATTAGATTTGTGTTCAAAACTATAAAAGTATGCGTTGCTTCGTTTTGACCATAGATGGGATGTAAAAAATGCTGGCAAGTTAAATAGTGCATCTGTTGTGCCCTGATAAAATTAAGGTTTCATTTTTTTATTTATTTATTTTTTTTTTTTTTAGTTTGGTTTTTAATTTACCTGCATAACTTTTCTAATCTCCTGAGCCCCATTTCCAAGTGTTGATGTTACTAATTTTAAGTAATCTTTATTTTCAAAAATTGTTTTTAGAGCATTGTTTACACTTCCATTTTTGAATAAACCTATAGTGTAAATATTAAACAAATCTTCAGCAAATGTATAACATATCTTTTTTTTTAAATAGAAATATTTGGCCTATAGTTTTCTATTAAAGTAGGTTTTTTTTGTTTTGTTATTTTCACTATAGATATTAATAATTCATGGCATTATTAAAATTACGCAAATGTCCACTTTTTATTTTATTTGGTTTAATTTCGATGTAGAATATTTTGTTACAGATAATGTGTGATAAAACATATTTCATTTATTACCTGTATTAGTAATAATCACATTATGTGGAAATACTTTGTTAACATATTCTGGTACTTTCTTTAACTTGTCTAAAACTTCAAATCTGAATTTTCCTGAAAAATAAACTTAGTAAATTATAACATAATATATTTTCTAACATACAATTTGTAGAATTTACATAATATATAATAAAAATTTTAAAATCTATTCTTATATTATTGTTATATTTTTTTTAAGATTTTAATTTTTGATTTATTCTTTATTTATTGCACTAAATAGTGAAAATTATTAAATTATTTATTAATATTTCTAATACTTACCTAATATTTCAGACTTAGTTTCCATCTTATTAACACCAGTAAGCATTGGTATTGTGGGTAATTTGTTTTTCTTTAACAAACGTAGAGGTGAATCTAGAAGTATAAATGGTAAAAAACGTCCGTCATTGTTACCTTCTACAGCAGGGCCCACATTCAACAAACTACCCAGTCCTGTCAAAAATCCTTCTTTTAATAGTTTTGTACTCTACAAAATATATAGTAAGTAAATATAAATAATGTTTGTTTCATTAAATTTATCATTAAACCTGAAATTTAGAGTCCGAGCTAATAACTTTTTGAATTGATAACATTTGTAAACATCTAATAACTTCTATTGGCCCATTTTGATCACAGCCCAATAATGTAGTCATATTCATAAATGTTTTTTTCGGTTCATGATCAACTGCAAACGCTGACAGCGGACCGCCACTCATTGCAAATACCCCACTAATCATTCCTAGTTTAAAATTATATACTATTGTATTAAAACATTCATAAATATTTTAATTTAAAATGTATACCTTTTGTAAAATCTGACATTGTCAGTAATGTGGCAGCACTAGCTCCACTACCTTGGCCTGATAAAACTATTCGTTCTGGATCTCCGTTAAAATAACTTATGTATTCTTTAACCCATTTAATGGCCGCACGCATATCAAATAAACCAACATTACCCGGGAGATCTTTTAAATGACTTGTAAGCCAACCTAATTCATATAAATTAATAAACTTACAATATATGTTAATATGCAATATTTTTTACTTGAAATAAAAAAATAATGATGTTTACCTAAGGATCCAAGTCTGTATTGTATTGTAACAACAATTATATTATTTTTCACTATATGAGCAGGCCCATATTGTAAAGATGATCCACTATAAAAACCACCTCCATGTATCCAAATTAATACTGGAAGATTGGAATTGTTGGCTTTTTTCTATAGTAACAAAAAATTGTTCAAAAAACATAACATGTACTAAGTAATTATGAAAATAGTTAATAACTATACCAATGGAGTATACACATTAAGAAATAAACAATCTTCATTCCCAATTATTCCACTACCATTAAAACTCGGTTGTGGGCAAGGGGCTCCATATTTAGTGGCATCAACTTCTCCGGAAAGACGAATAAGTACTGGACGCTGCAAATAAAGTAACCTAAAGATAGTTTTTACATAACTAAGATAATAATTTAAAAATAATTATAATATTAAATAAGTTTACTATGTTATACATTTTATACTGTAACAGTACTATTCTTTGCATTTTTATTTGATCAATAGATGGTAAGAATTGGGATTAGAATTGGACTGGGTACTGAAGGCTTCATATGACTATCGAGCAAATAATCGTTTCACATAATATAAGTTTTACTGAAAAGAGACCTTGATTATTATTGCACTTTTTGTTGATACCTGATATTTGGTATATAATGTAGGTACAGGGATACATTTTACCTTGCTATGACCTTTTAAGACCCATTGATTTCAAAAAAAGCACAGGTGCCTAATAAATTATTAAGTTTTTTTTTAATTTTGCTAAGCAGTATCCCAATATTTATTGTTTACACTATGTTAGGCCTCTCCATACTTTGATTTTTAATAATATTGTACATATTACTAAACATAACATAACTTTTTTTTATATCAACTAGAAATATTGGGCCTTGTATATAAAAAAGGCCTCATTGGTTACTGCTAGTTTAGAGCATAAACCAGTCTAATCTTAGTTGGGATGATTTAATGTATAAAACAAATATTTTTAAAGAATGAGTTCTAGTGTTAACACAAAATATTTTTTATAAACCTAAAACCCCTAGATGATGAATTATTTTATGTTAAATTTATCTAAAAATATTTCATCATCTAGTGGCTTTTAAATTTACCTAGTTGATAGTAAAACTATTTTATCAAAAATGTAGATTTACACTAAACTATTTTGTTGGCATTTAAAATTCAAAAATATTTTATCTTACCTGAAACCTAAGTCGCCCTGTGGGTGGTTCAGCATACCTAATGCCTTTATATGCATAATATCCTTCTGGATCTTCAGTACCTGTTATGGTGGCAGTTCTGTAATCATCTTGTATTGATATTATATTATTCAATTTTTGAGGTTGGCTTACGTTAAACCCATCAGCCTCTGGAATTAATGCTGGATATCCACCCACAATTCTTTTTTGTCTAGAGAAAGCATCACAAAAAGTCAAAAGGTTTAATACCCAACTGACTTTTAACAACATGTTGAAGAGAACTGAACTGATTATTCTAGTCACAACAACATCAAAAAAAAAAAATACCTACTACATATAATGGTAAATTGTTTGATGATGACGTTAAAAATGTAAATGTTTTTGTCAAACCAGTTTACCTCGTTGGTCAAGGTTATGCATGGTACCTAGGTCATGTATCACTGATAATTTTCACACAATAATAAATTGATGACTACAGTAGGTATTGTTTATTTTTCAAATCATGAACGGCATGGACTTCTAAGAACGTTAGACCCTTTAAACGTGTATATTTTATATTTACGTAATACCTATAAGCAAGTAAATCTATTAGGAGGATGATTTGACAATTAATTAGAACTTTGTGCTCATCAATCATGTCATAACAAACTTATAATATATTGATTGATCATTTTTATTTTTGGGCAATTTTAAAATTTATTAAAAAGTTACTTTTTTAAGATATACTAAAAATAAAAATAAGTGATTGGTTTTTTAACGTTTTCTAACTGATACTGTTGGCTGGTATACTACTGTTGTTGGTGGGAATTTAGGAAGATAGGATATACGTAGAGATATTTAATTTTTATACTTGTTCATAGCTAGAAACATTGCTGACGAAAACGATTCTGAGTGAAGTTTACACATATTTTGAACTATTGTGACATTTAATTTTATCATTTTATTTTTTATCTTAAAACGAAGATACGCTCAATTTTTTTTTGACCTCTATATAAACCGTATACTTAATGAATTTTGTCGTGTTAAAGTTTCAAGAATTTCAATTATCTAAGTAAAACAATTTTATCCGCATACCTGTATTGTACGAACAAAATAAAAACTAAAAATAAAATTAAAAATATTAAATAAGTAAAAAATATAATATACACATCATACAGTATAATATAAGTATTCTGTGAGTTTAACGTTTCTACGAATATTTTTAACTGAAAAACAACAAAAATTTAATTGAAAATAATGAAACCGTTAACGAAATAATTATTTCCATAAACTCGCACGGTATTGCTCAATCATTAAAAAAAAAGAACATCAAATGGCTTTCATACCAACAAAAAAGATAACATTTTCTTTTAGAAAAATCGCTACTCTTGAAATTTAAAGTTAGTTATCTAGTATAAAACATTAAAACAAAAATAGACAAAAAATTAGATTTGTATGTTATAAATTTGCCATACCTATTTTTCCGATTTTCTCAATTATTATGAAATTGGTCGGAGGTAAATCAAAATACAACTTTTATACTCAGTGCCGGCCTAAGTGGAGACGAATGGTACAAATTAAATGGTGCAAATTATGTATTCCGAATACCACTTCATTTAAAAATAATTATTATAATATTGTCCCAATAGTACGCAAATTGCGACCCGTGTGGCCGTGTGGTTTTTTTAGAACACGGGTTGTTATCGACAATTTTTTTCCCCATGTGCTGCTCAAAAGCTAAATTTATTCCTTTGTGATGTTTCTAAAAGTTGTATTATAGCCATAATATTTGTTGGGATAGTAGAACGTGTGTACACATTATTTTCAGCGTCTATAAAAGATGGGATATTTTTTAAAAAACACTGCTCTATTGTAGTAAGGAAATGAACAGTTATATGATGGGAAAGTAGATATAAATGTGTTAAAGCAATTAGAGATGAACTACCTGAAGTATTAAATGCTTCAGAAGAAATAGTTGAATGCTCTAATGATCCAAAGTTAGTAAGTGAGGCAAGATCACTGATATTTTGGGTCAAGTTAAAATTGTAAATAGAATTTACAAAATGGGTTTAGATGCATCGGCCAGCAGCTTGGACAGCCTTATTACTTTTCTAGAAAAATATTGTACAAATGGATTTGAAAACGCCAAAACGGTTGGAATAGAAATCATTGAATTTATTTTTGAAATTGCAGACTTCAAGGAAAAAAGTCAAAGAGAGAAAAAAAAATGTTCAACTATGAAGGTACCTAAAGATAAAAATTGTTTTTTTTTTTTTTATAGATATACTGAATGAAAAAAATTGTAAGGACTGCGCAAAAAACAGGTATAGATACGTACCTACCTGTTTTGCTCCGATTTACAAAGATAGCACTTTTTATAAAAGGAAATCTGACTGGAATACTTTAGGGAAGTCGTGAAACGTAGGAAAACGGAAAAACAGGTACAACATTAAACAAATATTATCAAAGAAATAACGATTAATGCATATGTAATTATTTTACTGTAATATGACATATATATATTTTAATATAGCCATTCTGTAGAGTTTATTTTTCTGAAAATTTTGAATGTATCACGCATTTATATCCGATGGATATTTTCTAAGTAACGGCTACTAATCCGTGTGAAAATTAGTTATCGCGTAATGGTAACGCAGTTAGGTTATTCCTTAGATATCCTTTTATTACTCCGGAGATAATCAAGGGGTGTATCTTCGTGGAACAGCCTGTAAAAAAAAACGATGAGTTGTTTGAATGTGTGAGGTATATGTCGTGTACTGCAAGTTCGTATGACTCGTTCACGGAACCAGTGTACGATTTGTCGTGCGATTAATTGTATCGTGTAGCAGTATCTGTTTAGCCGCAAGGTTTCGGGCAAACTACAACAGATGGCTCTGGCAATACCTACTCGATATTATAATGCGTATAGTATATTGTGTACGTCTGTGTAGTATCAGACGAATATTCCAATGTTCTCTTGTTCAACAAATTGGTTCTGTTATGTTTTTGTAGCTAATAGATATCGGTTCTTTTAACTGTATCGTCATCATCGATTGTGATTTTAAATCATATTTTTTTATAATTCGCCGAAAATTTGTTAGTTTTAATTTTACATCTTTTTCCATTTTTTTTAAAATTTTTTTTGAGTGGAACGAGGAATGTATTGGTTTTACAATGATGTTATTTCTTTTTTTTATGTGAACACTTTTTCTACCAGAAAGCAAACTCCGATTATCAAGTGTAACACCTTTTCTGGAAGGAAATGTTCTCTGGATGGTACTTTAGAGAGGTCATTTTTTAAAAATCTCATTAATATTCGAGATAATGAGAAAAACCTCGGTCTTTAGGTTAAAAAAGACTGAAAGATTAAAAAAAAGACGAACATACTTTGCATGTGGGTGCAGCCACTGTTGTAGGTGGGAAGTTGGGAAGGTAGGATACAGATGGGAATTTAATGTATATCTATAAGCAACGATAAGCCATTGCTAACGAAAAAATGATTCTAAGCAAAGTTCAGTTGACAATGTTGTTTTGTCAACAATAAAATATATTATATATATTTATTATTATGTATATATATATTTTATTATGGTAAAATGATTAAAATATGCATTTCCATGACAATAATGATTGTTTAAAAAATAATAAAAACTTAATAATAACAAAAATAAAAATGATTGTCTTATTTTTAATCTTTCAATTTTTTTTTATCTAAAGACCGAGGTTTTCCTCATTATCTCGAATATTGATGAGAATTTCAAAAAATGACCTCTTTAAAGTACCACCCAGAGAATACTTCCTTTCAAAAAAAGTGCTATACTTGATAATCGGAGAATGCTTTCTGATATAAAAATTGTTCATATAAAAAAATTAAAAATAATTAATATCATTGTAAAACCAATACATTCCTCGTCCATTCAGAATCTAAAATAAGGTTATAATTGGCAACCATTTTTATTTATTTTTTGTTATTATTAATTTTTTATTATTTTAATATTTTTTAAACAATCGTGGAAACGCGATTTCCATTGTCATGGAAACGCACATTGTTGTAATCATTTTACCATGATATAACATATATATTGCTGACAAAGCAAAACTATCAACTGAACTCTGCTCAGAATCGTTTTTTTTGTTAGCAATGGTATATCATTGCTTACAGATATATATTAAATTCCTGTCTGTATCCTACCTTCCCAACTTCCCACTTACAACAGTGGTTGCACCCACGTGCGATGTATGGCCGTCCTTTTTTCAATTACTATGCAAACTACACGGAAAATTAAAATATTATTTTCATTTTTCCTGTTTACCAACTAGATATCAAATTCAACAAAAGAAGTCTTTTGGTATTTTTTTATTGAATTAATATTTCTGGTAGATAACACAAAGCATACAAATTTAAAATAATGAAATCGTACGACGCTAATAGTTTAATGTTTATTTTTTCGTCTTTTTCCAGTTTTTCGGAGTTCGGTTAATAGTGTTGCTTTATCAATAATATAATATAATATATCATATTATAGTAAAATAATTGCATATGCATTACCGTAAAATATTCGATAGAATTAATATGTCTAAAAAACCCTCAAAAATGGTTATAATGTTTTACGAATTTTACCACGTCCAAAGAAAATAAGTATAGATTTTACGTCTAAACTTCAAGTCTCTATAAATATTTTTAACTTAAAAATATTTATAAGTTAAACATTTTAACTGAATCAAAACAAAACAAAAAAAAATAAAAATTGAAAACATAATACATTTCGTAAATTTCCCCGTTTTTTCTACGCTTTACCCGGTTTTCCCATTTACTATGATTTCCCCTGGGAAAATCAAAAATTACCTCATTAAAGTACCATCCCAGTCAAATTTACTTTCAGAAAAAGTGCTACACTACAAATCTAGCAAATTTGCTTTTAGAAAAGTTATCCACCAAAAAAAAAATATCATTTTAAAACAAATACAATGGAAAACAATGTACAATGTATTGAAATTTTTATGAAACTATTATTATTGAAACTATTATGAACGTTTATATTAATAATATTGATAGTTAGAATTGTATAGAACTGACACCGGTCTATGTAAAATGGACCTAATATAAGTATAGATTCCTAGATACCTCGTAGATAAGTACTGTTAAAATTAAATTTTACTTTTTTCGTCGATTTAAAAATATACAATGCATACCAATGTTTTAATTTATACAATTTTACCTAGAGTAAAATAGAGAGTTAACGTGAGCATCGTATCAATAAAATTTAAAACGCTTAATTATATTGATCGGATAGGTTAACACAAACTATGTAGGTAATGCTATTATTGGTCATTGAAAACTGAACCATTATTTTTTTAGATGTAATTCTAATGGTCAAGAATTCGGCCTCAAGGTCAACTTTTATAAACACTGTACACGTACCTATGTGCTATACAATAGCCAATCATGAAATTTTATATTGTATACATCTGACCTTTACTTGACCTCTACGATAATATTATCATTTTTTTTTATAAATATAAGACATTGGCTAGTATAAAAAATATATAATTTTGTGGGTATCCATAAAGTAAGTGTACAAGGTGGTGGTTGAATTAGAAAAAAAATTAAAGTGGGTCCTGAGTTTACCGTTCCTGCGCACATAGAAGGAAAAGTGACCCTAACTGTACCATGAAATATGTGAGTAATTTTTCGACCAGAAAATTTGCTCAGATTGAAAGATTACAAGCGATCTTTTTTATTGAATTTAAGATCTAGTTATTGTATTTAGTTGTTATAATTAAACTCCTACAAAAATTACTTTTTTACCTGTATTTAAAACATAGTATAAACTCCTTCATAGTCTCTTTTTATCTGCCAAAAATAGATGGTGTAATCTCCTACACAGACCTTTTTACATTTTAGATTCTGAGTGTAACGAGAAATGTATATTGGTTTTACAATAATGTTTGTTTGAGATAATTGCACTTAAGTGGGAAAAAAAGTACGATTTTATGATTTCATTATTTTAAATTAACACGACGTTTTATAACAGAAATAGTTTTCTAATGGAAAAATGATAAGAGACCTTTTTTGTTGCAACCTGGATAAATATTCGCAGAGACTTACGAATGTAAGATAATAAAATGTCAAATAAAATTTAGTAAACATATTAATATAAGAGTATCGTATCGGAAATTCTCGAATATTTCGATAAAGTCTACTTATGTTATTTCCGTAAATTGCAAATACAATAATCTCTATCTAGTCTATCTCTCATTTTTATAGTTTATGACTGATTTTTATTCATTTTAATAACTAGAAAAATTTAATTGAATTATAATATTTTGTTTTTAATTTTTGTAGTTTATAACTGATTTTTACTTATTTTATAATAGGCACCTTATTTTACATTTTACAACTTTAAAATTATCTAGTTTACATTATCTGTTGTAGGAGTTAACACTATGTCAATGTAAGAGATTACCTACTTTTGTAGGAGTTTACCATTTCCCCCCCCCCATTTAGGAGATCAAATTTTAATTTTCTAAGGGGTTTCAAAATAAATTGGAAAAACCTGACAGAAAATATTAGGTAAAACGGCCACTATTTAATTACGGCGTATCGCAACGTTACCGATCTTTTTAATTTTGGCAAACGATGTTTTCTACAAGAAATTTTAATCCAATTGAAAAATAACATGATATCGATTTTGTTCTATTTAATATCTAGCCTCTAGAAAGTCATTTTTTGTGTGAAGAAAGTGGTTTTCATAATAATTGGGGAAAATTAAAAAAGGCAAAAAAGAAGATTTTTTTTTTCAAATTACGGCTTAACGATTTCATTATTTAAAATGTTTAGGATTATATTTTTCTACCAGAAGCCTTTGTCCAAACTTCAAGAATAGCATATTTTCTGAACGAAAATGTTGACTAATTTTCTAAAGATTTAGAAAAATCTAAAGTTTGTTGTTGTCTATTTTTTGAGTAAGAAAGTCGTTGTTTGATTTTCTGAATAGTTTTCCTTTAATTACGAAAACGTGGAAATACGACAAAGTATACGGTATTTGGTTTTTTGTTGTTATTCGGTTAAAAATTATTGTAAAGACCTGTAGTTTTCACAAAGTAATAACCTTTTGTAGACGTAAAAAATCTTCAAAACATTGCTTATTTTTAAGCTATTTGTAGGTGTTTGATATTATATATATTATTGACAAAGCATCACTATCAACTGAACTACGCTCAGAATCGTTTTTCGTTAGTAATGATTTATTGTTGCTTACAGGTATACATTAAATTACCTAAACAGTGGTTGCACCCGTCCTTATTATTCTAAGACGTCTTTTTATACTTATTTTTATTATGTAGGTATCTGTTATTAAAATTATATAACTTAAAAAAAATATTTGAAAATTTAATCCAAGGTACATAATAAGTTGTACTTGGTGGTCTATATGATCATCAAGAAATTTGAGTTCAATGCAATAGTTTTTATTTTTATAAGCGTTTTAAGATCAAATTTCGACGAAAATCGTAAAAATTACGGCATTTGTTGTAATTCCATAAAGAATGTTCGTAGAGACGTATGTTGACAGAAAATTTATATTTTATAAATGTTCTACAATCATAAAAAAACAAAAATGTCGGTGATTTTTAGCTATTTATTGGCAATTTATTTATTATTTTAAAGTGTATTAATATGATACCAATGACTTGATAAAGTAGTAAGTAAAAATTTGGTATACATATAATTATTTTCTTCTTATATAATCTTACATAAACATTTTTTTTTTCTAGAAAATATTGACATTTATTAAAAAAATAATAATTAAAAATGAAGATGGATTTTCGCTATATTCCTGAATAATAAAATAAGGAGGTACACTATACAAAAAATAAATTAAATAAGATGGAGAATAGCTCTCTTAGTCCGTCCCATTGTATCCCCCCCAATTCAACCATTGGACTTCTAGGTATTACAATCTCAAATCAAGTATGAATAAAATTGATTATTAATTCATCATTAAGTCGAATTAATATATAGACAGTTGCTATTATTTTAATTAAATCGTTATTATTATTATAAAAATATTTTATTATAAGAGAAAAATCTTGATAAAGTCTATGGTTAGAATTACCTAGGTTACCTATGTAGTATTAGATAGGTATACTATTTGTTTTATATTTTGAGTTTACTGTTCCATATATGGTTGCCAATAATATAATATTTATTAGGCAATTTCATTCTAAAATAATTTGTTTAAGCTATTAAAATATTTTATAGGTTTTTAAGTTGCACTAATTACTTTAAGAAATAATAAAATAAAATAAATTGTATATTTACTATACTTTTATAGGCTCAAAATGAACCCCGATGAAAGAAACCCGATGCATGACAATCCAGATGATACTGTAAACACATTCCTGGAAAATCCATTTGGCTACTTTTCTGAAGACCAAGGTTCTGAAATTGTAGAATTCAGTCGACCTTCATATTGTATAAAATGTATGCTCATGACCGGCCATAATACGCCTCCTCGTTTAGTAGTGATGAAAAACGGACGTCCTGCGATGTCGTCCTTTTGTTGGCGATGTCGGTCAAGAAAATTTCGGCTTGTTTCATTTAGATTTTACGAGGCAAAAACTGGAAGGAGGTTGTAGATTGTGTATAATATACTTACATAATATTAATATAATTATATCATTAATATATGACTTAATTTTCAAATAGGGTTATGATTAAGAAAATAAGACAAACAAATAAGACTAGAAGACCTCGTTAAAAAAATATGTATAACTATATATTCGAAGAAAATTACTAAATTTTGATTAAAGAATCTTAAAAATTATTATTATTTCAAGTCAGCTACCTAACAGCACTTCTGGATGAACACAGAACATTACTTGACTTTTTTTTATTTTTTAGATATAAATCAAACTCCTTTGCAGCCAAGAAAATTGTTTAGTGCAACACGTACTTACAAAGAGATGTTTAAAGACATAAACTAGAGATATCACAAACCCTGATTTTTAAGATCAAACCTAACCGAACTTTCCTTAGACTTAAAGAACTTGAACCAATCCGAATCGATACATTTTTATTCGAACCCGAATTAAATCGAACTTTTAAAATATTTAATCGAACTCAAACATTAAAAAAGTAAAAAAGTAAGGTTAGGTTAGGTCAAAAACCTAGGATCTTAAAATGCACGGCCCTGTAATTTACGATTATGAGACCAATTCTTTTTTGTCTTCAATCTATCGATTGGTTGAGTGCAGTTCTCTAAGCTTTTCTGTCAAAACTGTATCAAAGCTATATCATCTGCAAAGCGAAGTGCTATTACATTTTGCCCACCTACTCTGACTCCTACTTGTATTTCATCTTTTATTTCTTTTATAGCTTTTTCAATATATTTATTAAACAAAATAGGGGATATATTTTGATTTTGGAAATTGTCCACGTCTAAGTAAGTTCAATTTAAGTACTATTACCAAGTTGCAAGTCTCCATGTGTATTTAATAACCGAATTACAGAAAAAATTTCCCAAAAATTAAAATTCCTTAAAAGCTCAAAAGTGGCACAAAGTTTTTGTGATGATACCATTAGAAAGTAAACAAAAAAGGTATCTTGTAATTTTTCGATCAAATCATTTTTTTTAATAGAAAACTTCTGTGTTTTCATAAAATATTGAAATCGTGAAATTATACGTTTTCCTACGTTTTGTCTCACTTAAGTGCTTTTATTTAAAAAATGGCGTTGAAAATCAAAAAACGACGAATCATGAAATTGTATGTTTTCCCACTTAAGAGCTTTTATTTGAAAAAAAGTATCAAAAATTTAAAAATGACCTTTTAAAGTACAATTTAAACAACTTGAGCTTTCAGAACATTTACTACACGTAAATATCGGAGAAAGTTTACTAGGAAAAAACGTGTCCACAGACTAGAAGAAGAAAAAAAAATAAACATATTAGAAAACCAATAGCTTACTCGCTACGCTCGGAATCTAAAATAAGTTTATTATACCAATATATTCGTAATTTTAAGGCGCATTTTTTGATTATCTATTAAAAATACCGTAAATGCAATTAAAACATACGCATTTTAAAAATATACAAATGATACTAAGAAAAAAAGCAGTATGCCAGTATAAAACATATACATATAGGTCTTTTAAGGTGTTTTGCAGATCGTCCATAAGTTTTATTAGATTGTGCAGGCAAAGTTTTTGAAGAATTATTTAATTAATAGTTAATTATTTATTTTAAAATTTTAAAGAAAATAAAAAGATAATTCAGAAAAAGTCGTTTTCTCAAAACTACTATTTTATTGCTTACTGCTTTTTGGCTTAGGAATACTGATGTTAGTCTCCATGGATTTCTAGATAACATTGACATGCTGTTTATGGGAAAATAAATAGAGACGAATACTTCTTTGCAAAGAGCTTAACATATTTATAATTTCTCAAATAAAAATAATTTAATTCATTCATTATAGGAAATGTCATTATTATTTTTTTTTTATTCATAACTAGTTAAAAATAAAAATGCACAAAATAATATTGCACAAAATTATTCAACTATAGTATAAAAATCATTAAACGTTAACTGTAATACAAAATTTACTTATTATTGTTTGAACAGGTACCTATTTAAAAATTCTTGTGTCTGACCCTACATATTATATAATGTTAATATGAAGTAATATACTTCAATAATAGCTACAAATGTTCTAAATGCAACTACAGCATGTTGTTTAATTTATGTCTATGTGCATTGGTGCATAATATATTATTATTTACACGACGGGTAAAAAAATAAACCGAATAATTATTTATTTTTTGTTTACCGCGAGTTCATATATACCAGCTATAAGTAATATAATTTTCTATTGTAATAATAATATTAATATGAAAGTTTTGATCTTTTGAGGATATATCCGCCATCTGACTATTAAAACAAACCGTATACCATTACAATTTAAAAATTATTGTAATTAAAAAATATACTAGTAGAAATAATAATGTTCAACATGGGTTTTGTGTACCTACCATTATAACATCATAGGTACCTATGCAATTCGGTGTGTATAGTAAAAATTACTCGCTACCTATATATCGCTCGTACAAATACAACCAGTTATGCAGGTGCAGTTTATGGTGGGAGACATTCACTTTCCATTTCAGGCCTCACCGCCAGACAGGTAATATCTCATCGGACCCACCCATGTTTAATTCTCTCTGTGGTCTATTCAGTATCACGAACGCAGCGCGCCAAACATGATGCGTACGGACTCCGCAGCGCCGCGAATATCCCACATAGGGCTCGTAGCCCGTAGTCCGGAGGGTCACGCTGCGAGAACAATGCAAATAAAAGGACACGAGGACCAATGGGTAGATATCCAGGCCAACACGTTCAAGAATTGGGTAAACGAGCACGTATCGCCGTCCAACCGGGTAGAAGACCTGGCGGAAGACTTAAAGGATGGGCGTGTTTTGTGCGAATTAGTCGAGAACTTGCAGAATAAAAAGATACTAGCATGGAATCACAGTCCCGGGAATCGACATCAGATGTTGGAGAACGTGTCCAAAGCTCTGACGGCTATAGCGGACGACGGAGTAAAGCTGGTCAACATTGGTAGGTGCTAGTAGTTTATTTAAAGACTGAAACAGGTACCTAGACCTACAAATATTAAAATATGTATTTTTTAAATAAACTATATATATACAGCTATACAGATGCATTGAAACGTTCATTGAATGAAATTGTGTTATATTATTAAATAATACAATTTTGATGTTGAACAGGTGTTGGGTAGTATCGCCAAATAGGGAGTGTTATACAAAATACATAAAGTATGCAATAGTTATAATCATGTGGGTGTATTGACCTCTCATGCCCATGCGATATTTAAATTGCCATGCTTCTATATGATTGAATAATTTTATATATGAATGATAAATTTAATACAATTAAACTGGGCGGACCTATTTTTATTTTTTTTTTTTTGTAGCATACCTATATATCTACTATAGTTCAATAAAAAACTTCCATAACTCAAAATGTATTTTAAAAATCCAATAACTAATAAATCATAATTATCTATAGATACATAGTGTACATATTTAAAAATAGAAAATGTTTTTTATAGATACCTGCTATTATAGCATTTTATTAATAAATATATTGGCTAATTTAATGGTAAATGCTTTTCTGGTTTAGGAAACGAAGACATAGTAAACGGAAACCTTAAACTAATTTTGGGTCTTATTTGGTCATTGATAGTTCGCTATCAAATTGGAAGATCGAAATTTCCACCCAAAAAGCTCATGTTGGCTTGGCTTAAAGTAATAACGATTCATTTAACTAATATTAAAATACAAAATATTTTAGTTTAAAAATTATTGTAGTCAGTATTACCGGAGTGCCGCGTAAACAATTTTACCACAGATTGGAATTCTGGTATTTGCCTTTCTTCTTTATTGGACTACTGTGAATCTGGATTATTTCCTCATTGGAGAAATTTGGATCCTACCGATAGTGTGAATAATTGCCGCCGTGCTATGGAATTAGCACGTGATCGTTTCAATATACCTATGGTTCTAGAACCCGAATATTTAGCTTCACCTTATTTAGACGAACTGTCCGGTATGACTTATTTATCCTATTTCATGAAAGAAAAAAGTCCTGGTACTAAAGCTACTCTGAATTGGGTGAACAGTCAGTTGAAAACACACAAAGTGTCTAATTTCACAGTAAGTATTTATTGAATTTAAAAATAAACGTATGCAGACTAACTTATATTATCTATTTTTAGACCGACTGGAAAGATGGCATTGTTTTGTGCGAATTGACAAAATCCCTCGGTGTTCCGGTTAAGTATCAATTGCACGACGATCCAGATGTTTGGGAGTCTAACCTAAACGCGGGTACGTATGAAAGAAGTTTTATTAGGCAAACTGTATTTTTTTTTGCATTTATAATATACAGGAATGAATGCCGGTAAAAAATTAGGAGTCGAACCATTATTGAAAGCCAAAGACGTGTCCAGTCTTAATGCTTCACATTTAGGCATGATGTCTTATGTGTCTAATTTCCAATGGGTAAAACCACGCACTCGACCGTCACATACCGTACGCGCCCATAGTGACACCCACACTACAAGAATATATAAACCAGTAGGTTAATTGAATTTAAATTATTTTATTTTGATTAAGTATACATAAATTGATAAATTCGAATTTAAAACCTAATCAATGAATTTTTTTTTAGACTAGTTTTAAAGTAACATTTTTGGATTCAGAAGTAGATCCAAACGATGTCACAGTAGAAATAATTGGACCGGAACTCAATACTATACCGTGTAATTTAAATTTAAAATCCAACGGCGGCACATGCACGTTCGTGCCACTCATAATTGGAATGTATAAAGTAAATAGAATTTGTAGTTTTTCCCCAAATGATGCGGTCGGTGATTTTAATTTGTATGCAATTCTTATAGGTTACGATTTTCAATGGTGACGAGGTGATACAAGGGTGTCCGATGTTTATACGAGCTATGCCCGAAGTATCCGAAATCAAACATTCGGGTATGGAACCATGCGCCGTCGGCTCTATTGTTGAAGTTCAGGTAAGCTTTTAATGCGTACTTATGCAAATATACTTACCAAATTATATTTAAGTCGTGCACTGTAATTTAGTATATATCTATTGGACATACGCATGTTTATTCGTGTTTTCGCGTTTAGATAAATTGTAATGGTGCTAAAGCTCAAAATATTCAAGTGTTAGCGATGAGTCCAGGGGGCCGAGAATTAGAATGTCCAGTTAAAGAATCGGGAGACGCGTACCGGACAACGTTCCAACCGGATGAACCCGGAGAATGGACCATAGCTGTGAAACATCGTGGGCAATTGATCCAGGGTAGTCCGTATACGTGTTTTGTGTTCGATCCGAATGGAATTAAAGTAAGAAACGGTTAAAAAAAAAAAAAAAGTCATAACGTGAACATTGTCAACACAAATGAAAATTGACATGTTTTTGTTTTGTTTAGTTAGTTGGCTTGGATAGGCCTGCTATTGCAGGAACTATAGTCAATTGGACTTTGGATGCCAGAGGAACCGGTGGTTTAGGGAAAATAGAAATTGACATTGTCCATGACAAACAATCACTTCCTCACACAATCGACCATATAGGAAATTCTATTTATAATGTTTCTCTGCACACCAGAAGACCTGGAAAATATAAAATTTATGTTTATTTCAATGGGGCGACTGTTAAAGGTGATCATTATAATAATTTGAGATATTTATATATATAGAAAAAAAAAAAAAGGTTACCGAAAAGAATAGGTACCTATAATAAGTTTCCTATGATTAAACTTCTAAAAACGTGGAATATGTGTAACAGTATATATAGGTAATATAATACAACTAAAGCAAACACAAGGAATAAAGGAAAATCTGTGACCTTACATACCTTATATCTTAATAACGAGTCATTGTGACATTATTGTAAAAAGTATTATTATACATATATACCTTTTTTTTTTAGTATAATAAAGAATTTTGATAATCTCTGTAAAAAGAAAAAAAAACATGACTGTTTTTTATGCATAGTCATATTTTTATATTTTAATTAACTTATTATAAGCCTAACATATCCATTAAATTAAATTTATGTTTATGTTATTATTATATCTACCATAAATAAAAATATTATAATATTATGTTACTATTAAATATTTGATTATGCATACTGATATCAATTTCAGTAGGTATTACTTTTGAACATGCATCTAATTATATATTATTTATTTTGTAGGAAGTCCTTTTCCATTGAGAGTTGGTACAAAAGATGACACTAAGCGACACAGAAACAGTAAGTTGCATATTCAATTAAAAATAATATGCCTAAAATATAATATGAAAATAATTGTCATGATCAAAAAATAATTTATTTTTACTTTTAGCCCCTACAAAATTAGTCAACGGAAACAATTCTTCAGCATTTAGTAAGAAATTATTTAAAATGTTTTATAATTTATCAATTAAATACATATAATACATTCAATATGTTTTAGATGACTTTACTTCATCAAATGAATATCACAAAATGAGTCTTCTCAGACCTATTTCACCTTTGCAATCTCCAAAATTTACTTCTTCTCCTATCAATCATCACCATTCTTTGTATAAAGTATGTTTTATTTTAATTTTTAATACACCCATAATAATAATAAATAATAAATAAATTTAAACTTATTTTATAGTCAAATAACATTTCGGAATCTGGATTTCATAGTATCTCATCACCATTACATTTAAATATTCCTAGTTCTCAATCGCCAATTCATAGTTACGCAATGCCTAAAAGTGATCTATTATTGTCTCCATCAAAATTAAAACATAATGGTAATTAGCTTTTGTTAATTTTAAAACAAGTTTTAACATTTTTTTTAAATTTAGATATAGTTTTTGGTGAAAATATGCAGCTCATGCCAATAAATAGAACTTCAACCATATACATTAATTCTGATGAAGCTCTAGCCAATATTAATGTAACTGTGATTGGTATGTTAATCAATATGATAAATAAATATACAAATTTATTTTGTTTAAGTGTTTAATAATTGATTATAGGCCCGTCCAATAAGATGATTCCTGTTAGAATGTCAAGAAACATTTCACAAGGTCATGTTTTAGCACAATTTACGTCAGAAAAAATCGGAGAACATACAATTGATGTCAAAATTAATGGGATTAAAGTTGCTGGTTCTCCATTTAGGTAAATTTAGAAATTTTTCAAAGGAAAATGCGTAGAGAATAGTTAGCTATGTTTTTTTTAAAAAAAGTGTCTACAACTTTAACATGTTTAATTGTAAATGAAAAAATCAGAATAACATATATTAAAATGTCTAAAACCATAATAACTATATACCATAAAAAATAAATTATTTTGATTAATATTCAAAATATATGACAATTATTGGTTATGCAACACCCTCTATAGGTATTCAAGATTTTCTTAAAATAAATACTTTTTATTACTATTTATCTAAATTTGTTCTCAGGAGTCACGCATATGATGTGTATGCTATTAAAGTTGGCCATATACCTAATGGAGTTGTTGGAGAACCAGTTGAATTTGAAAGTAATCATTATTTATTGTTAATGCAAATAAATCAAATTAAAAACAAGTAAAAGTCAATAACTGTTATTCTTATAACTGTTTAGTTGATGGATCAGGAGCTGGCTCAGGGAACCTGGAAATTCTTGTGAATGGAGGACATGTCACAAGTTTTGTTCGAAATTTGGGCAATCAAAAATTTTTGGCATCATTTGTACCACATAAAGCGCTTGTTCATTTAGTTGATATGAAATTTAATAACGAACAGGTTCCAGGTAATAAATATTTGTTGTTATAACTTATAAGCATCAGGAAAAAAAATGTTAGATAATACATTTCCCACAATTAGGTACCTAACTGGTAATATATTAGGATTACATAAGGAAATTACAAAACAATATAATAGTATATTAATATTAATTAGATATATAAATTTGACGGAAAATATATGTTTTGAAAAATGTTTATTATGAGGAGAGTAGTGGAGTATCATTTGTGTGTGGCACGCGGCGTGTTAGTAACGTACTACTCTCTTCCGACTTAAAATTGGAATATCTCGTCAACGGCTTGATAGAAATCAAAAATGTCTACACTAAAATGTATTTTAAATAATACTCCATCTATTTATAGACGTTATAATATAGGTCGTAATTTGAAAATTAAAAGTAGGTAGTGGTTTTACCCCCAAAAATAACATAAATATATAACATTATAGATCTGCTTGTTTCCTTAATATTCTTGAATACAAATAACGAAAAAAAGTTAATACTTTCCGAGGTAATGAGTGTACCGACTTAAATGGATTACCTGGTATACATGTTTGTACCTTATTAAAATTTAAACATGTCTCTAAATATAGCTGCCATGCAATAATTCTAATTTGTACCTAAACAAGTACAAATCATAAACATTAGTACATTTTAAATAATGAATTTAAACTACTATTTAGCTACTAATTTAACTATTGTCCCAAATTCATCAATGTCACACAGTTAAATTCTCTAGTTGTTTAAATTTAAAAAAAATTATGGATAGAAACATAAACATGCTTTCAAATTATAATGCTGAGATTCACCCAATGCCTTTTTGAGATGAATAAGATAACATTGTTACATTTGAGTTCACATTTATTAATCCCTCACCAGACACCTCCCTTCAAATATTAGAAATATTGCATAGTATATAATAGATTTTAATGCACAATATGATATATTAAGTTATACTTTTATAAATAATAATAAGTAAATCAAACACGAATACCAGTAACTGGTACCTACCTACTTGAAATAATGTTACGTTTCACATTTACTGAAAATACTTTCTTTAACAGGCACCTAGTTAATTATTAAAGAAAGTAATATGAATTATTAAAAAATTAGTTAACCGAAAAAAAAATGTAAGTATAGTACCTAAAAAAAAAAAATTAATAAATACTCATGTATATAAAACAATTAAAGAAAAACAGAATATCTGTATAGTACCTACTAACAAATTAAGTATATAATAAATAGTATCATGTAATCTCATTAAAAGATAATCACAATTTTAATTTAAAAATAAAAATAGACTTAAAAAATAAAACAAATGAAAGTAAATTATAATGCCTACTATTATATTAGTTACAACCAACCTATTTTAAATCATCGTTGATTATTATTATCATGAATGATTTTTTATAGATGATGATATATGATGTATTTAAAAATATACACAATTTTATTTTTACCCAATTAAAACTATTAACTACGTATCATATGGTATTCTTGTAATTTGTAACAATTTGTTGCATTTTTATAGATTTTTCATCCAGAAATAAAATCATGTATAAAATGTACTACCTATTGGTAAGTTTAATAAACCATTTAAAATGGTCGGTATCTGGTGGTATTGGGATATATTGGATTTTTATCTGGAATGTGATATCCGAATAATTGAAATTGCAAAATCTGAATATTCTCGATTACCTATTCATAATATTCGAATATTCAAATTTGTGTAGTATCCGGATTACTGTACCTACTTACTTTTACTTTTTTTCAAATATTTATTTTGATTGTGATTCGTGAAATAAACCTTATGAAATTCTGGATTTTACATATTGTAAAATGGTGATGCAATATAACAAGTTATGAATAGTTATAAACACAAATATCGTAATTGTAGTGCCCGTATGCCAATAATGTTAATTCCGGGATCCAATCGTTTTCACGCATTTGACAATTGGATTTATTTAAGAGTTTTTCTCGGTTTTGTGCTGAAGTGGTTTAATACAATGAAACATATTAATTTAATTGTTTTGTTTAATTTTATATTTTAATAAACTAAATATAATTACATACATTTTGATTAAAATGATTTGTAAAAATATCAGTTAAGAATGGAATTGTTTAAAAAAAAGACATACATTCAGCAAATTATAAAATATGTGATGCAACATTAAACAAAAGAAATTCCACATCAATGCTTCGGAATCATTAAAACCAATTTCATCAGTTAGAAATTGGATTTGATGTTGATAATAATATTCGGAATCATCTTAATCAGTGTGAGTAATTCAATTTTTTCATTGTTAAATGTAGGTATAGAAAATGAACTCTATTGTAATTATAACTTATTATCTACTATTAATAATCAAATTTTGATAAACCATTTCATGATTTTTGATTAAAAATTGAATTTAATTTAATTTTATATATTTAAGAATTAACAAATTTAAAATAAACTCATCAAATTTTGGATTTAGTAGTGGGTTTAAAGTCAAGTAAAATAGGCAGTTGCTTATGTAAATATTTAGAGGCAACATATTATATTATGTAATATCAATAAAAATTAAGATTTTGAAGCAGAAATAATATAGAGCCACCGAGAAAAAGAACTGGTGAAAAAAGAAAAAGAACAAAAATCCATTATATCCATTGGTCGTCAATTAAACAAAGCTCGTCAAGAACTGATTACTTTAGCACTTAGCAGTATGATTTGTATTGATATGTTATATAACAGTAGATCATGAGGTATTGCGAAAATGCATAAACAAATATAATTATACAAATTTTCTTTGCATTGTTTTTAAATTTTAAAACTTAAATAATTTTTAGGCGTTCTTTTGAACCTCAATATATTATAAAACAAGAAAAAATATTAAAAACTGTATCCATAACTCATATGAAGACAAATTTAATTCACTAAAAGAAACAATAAGTTCCATTATAGAAATTGGATTAACTACAGATACCAAAAGTAAATGTATTTGCAAGTTCATTAGATTCTAGACATAAACATTTGAACCATGCAATTACTGAGAATGTTAAACTTATTCGCTGTTTGTCAAATCTCTAACCTACCTATTTAAAGTTAAGAGGAAATATATGAAAAAGATTAAGGTCAAATTACCAAAAAACACAACAGCTATTGATATACTACTTGAGAAAGCTGAAAATCCATATGTAGAATTTGAACAGTATTACTGAAATTCAAATTAACCATAATCTTAATCCATACTCGTCGTAGAAAAAATACAAAAAAATATTTCCAACAATTGCAAACGTTGCCAAGAATATTTTATGCACACCTGCATCATCGGCATTTTCAAAGAGATTTTTTCAACCTCCGGAAATATTGTTAAGTAAATACATCAAAACGTATAAGGTTAAATGCGAAAAATGTTTCAACTCTGGTTTTCATAGTTTAAAATAAAAATATTTAAAATTTAAAAACCTATTTGTTCAACAATATTTTTCAATATTATTATTGTATTATATTAGTATTATATACTGTGCTATATTATTTTTGTTGCCTATTTATTATTTAAATAATATCGACTTATTGTTTTGCGTTTATGTTAATTATATAATATACATTTTGTTGGTACCTATCATGATTTTTGTGGAGTCAATACTTCTTTTAATGTATACATTGTGTGTAACTGCGAAACTATATTTTATGTCCCAAATTTTCTTGATTGCCTACATTTTATGAATATGTATTCGATTAATACAAATGTTTAAATAGTAGATACATATAGGTTTGTTGGATATGTACAATGTCTGAATATATCCTAATAGTAAGATTATGGGGGTATCCCACCATGTCGATTTTTCTAGAATTTTATTTAATAGAATATTTTTAGATTTTGAGCGGAGCGAGGAATGTATTGGTTTTACAATGATGTTTTTTCTTTTCTTTTTTTTTTCATACTGTGTATAAAAATTTTACCAGAAATCTTGCTCTTATGTATCAACCAACGTAGAACCTCTTCTGAAAGAGAATTTTCTTGAGTTCGTTCTATAAACAGGTTATCTTTTGATTTTCTCAGGGGTTTTCATAATAATTGGGTAAAACTAGACAAATATGTAATGAAAACGGAAAATTTACGAAAATAATGCTTTTTTAATTTTAAATTTGGTTTTATTGTAATTCAGTTTAAAATGTTCAAAACATTTGAGCCATTATTGAACTCTGTGGATAAAATTGTAAGACCAAACAGAAAAGCTTAAAAATTTAATAGGAGGTTCATAAAAAGTACTTTGTGGTAAAAAAAAATTGAGTTTAATATAGTATTTTTTTTATTAAAGAATTTCAATATAAAATTTGAGTAAAAAATTATGTGGAACATATCTAGTTACTGGTGCAAGTTTTTTAATTTTTTTTGTATTTTGTTTCTAAAATATATGCCTACCTACACCTATTGTCGATTTAAGAACGATTTTGAAGTCAGAATTGAGCGGAATGACTTAGTTTCGAAATTATAGCTTTTCTGATATTATGCGGATATTATAATATGTGTTATATTAAATACTTAAATAATATCTCAATACTGACAATTTTATCGTATTTTTGTCGTAGTCTAGTAGTGGGATTAGTAGAGATCCCAAGCTCAAACACTAATTTCGAAAAAAATGTTTTGCAAAATCACGTCGGGTAGGTAACAGGGAAAAAACAAATGCATTTTGAGTGCACCTAGTAACACAAGCCGTTGTAATATGACATAATATTAAGTATAATGTCGAAAAAACAATAAGAGTAGAATCCGGTAATGTCGCTCACAATGATATCTTGTTTCATAATTTATTTTATGAAGAACTAATAAGCTTTTCGTAATATATTATAATTTATAAGCTTCTTGGAGTTTATCAGAATAATTGTTAAGGTCTTAAGGATCTGCGAATCGTTATGAAAATTATTTCCATATCTTTTTTTCACGTTAGTAGTTTAGTACCTACGTTACTGTTAATCTAATTATTTTACTTGACGAATTATTTCGTATTTTGCTTTTTTATGAACTGTAATTATGTAAATATTAGTGGTTTTTAATTTCCGGTATAATAATATGTTTACAAACATTGGTTATAAATATGTTAATACTTGGTTTCAAAAAAATGAAAATGTGTAATGACGACCGCTCTATATGCATATATGCTGAGCATATTATGTTTTTTTTAAATTATTTTTAATTTTATCAGTTACAATATCAAAAGACTGGTTATTATTTTTATGATTATAAGTTTTGCATAGGTATGGTTTTTTTAAAATAGTTTTTAATTTTATCAATTTTTTTATGAATATTAAAAATTATAGAACGTGGCCATTCTAACCGACTCGTGTGTATCCGAATATAAATTTGAAAAAATATCGATTTTCATTTATTTTCTTTGTTTTTTAAAATATTACGGCTAATTAATTGATAGGAAACAAGTTTATTTTTCTTTTAAGACAATAACTATCATTCTATTAATACTATAACTATTTTTATAGAGTTATTCTCAGGTGGGCGTCAATACCCCACTCTTGTCTACTATACACTGACCGCTGAGAATCCTTCATTCGTTATCGATGATATAATTTTTGTTTACAAACATACATTAAGTTCCCCTCATTTAATTTTACCTTTCCAACTTCTCATCTACAACAGTATTCCACCCATCGTGCGAATTATGTCAGTCTTCTGTTTTCAATTTGTTTTTCTTTGAGGGGGTTATCCATTAAGAGAAAAATTACATTTTTGTTTTCATCCCTACTTTCTTTTTAAAAAACTTAATACTGTAAAAATTGTACAATATAAATATTTACATGTCTAATATATTATTCTAAAAATTTGAATGCATCGTACCTGATCAATAGTTTCTTAGTTTAGGTAACTAAAGATAGGAAAAAGTATGAAAAACGAGACTATCGCTAAAATAGAAGTAGTTTGATTCATTGTTATATAATAAATTTAAAATGCGATCTATTAAAACGGCTTTTACTAAGCAACTATTGATCAGATACGATATATTAACATTTTTAGAACAAAATGTTTTACAAAAATGCTATTTTGAAAATGTTGTGAATATATATATTTTTATTTTAGTGATCAATGGATGAAAACAAATTTTTAATTTTTCTCTAAATAGATGTCTCCCTCAAAGAAAAACAGATTGAAAAATATTGAATATTAACAACTTTTGAAAATTTAGGAAAATAGACAACATTTTCGTTCAGAAAATATGCTATTCTTGAAATTTGGACAAAGATTTCCTTAGAAATTGTAAATAATGGAACCATCGCGTCGTAATTAAATTAAATTACTATGAAAACTACTTTCTCTGTCAGTGGCTAGATATTAAATAGAACAAAATCGATATCATGTCGTTTTTCAATCGGATTTCTGGAAGAAAACATCGTTTGCAAAAATTTAAAATAATTAAACCGTGATGGGCCATATTACGCGATAAAGAATCACAATCAGTACCCACGTTATAATTCCTAATATTCTATTGTATACGTATATAGTATATTGAATATTGTTTTCACGCCTATTTTCTAGAATTTACAACGGCTATTACTGAGAAACTATTGGTCGGATATGAATGCATGGTACATTAGAGATTTTAGAGTAATATCTATCACAAAATGGCTATTTTGAAAATTTTGAAAAGTGATTAAATAAAAAGTTATTATTTTTTTTTTTTCATTAATTAAGGGATGTGGAAAAAAATTTAATTTTTCTCTACCTATGTGTGTCCCCTTCGCTCAAAACCCGATTGACAACAAAATATTGTTGTTGACAGAATTATTAGCATAACAAGGATTACACTGTAGGACACCTGGTATAGGATAAAATGCATTTTAATGAAAACAATAATATATACCAGTTGATAGGTATTTGTGCGCGTCTGCTACAGCGTAGGGCTAACGGTATTGAAAACGAATACCGAAAATACCGTTATGAACAGGGTACTGAGATACCGAAATAAAACTTAGAAAAACCCGGTAAGATAATGATGATGGAAGTTCGTCCAAGATTTCTTGTAAAAATACCATTATCGAATTTAATCGTTTCTATTTTTTGTCAGTAATTGGACTTACATTATTTAATTTGGTTAAGTAACGATTTCAGTAATAGTGATGCCAATTAATTGCATAAATGTGTTATCAAATTATCAACATCCTATTTTATCTTTCTTAAAATATTTTAGATTCTGAATGTAGCGAAGAATGTATTGGTTTTACTAAGATGTTTATTTTTTTATTTTTTTTTTTATCCTATGTATACAAATTCGAACATTAATCTTATTCAGATATATACGCACGGCACCATTTCTGAAAGGGAATGTTGTCCAGATGGTATTCATAATATTTGGGAAAAATCAGGATAAAACGTAAGAAAACCGGGAAATATACGAAATTAATGCTTTTATTATTTTATCAATTTTGTTATTTATTGTAATTCAAGGAAAAATATTCGTAGAGACTTGAAATTTAGACAGAAAATATTATATTTGCCTTTCCAGACGTGGTAAAATTTTCAAAAAATTTAAACCATTTTTGAGCTTTTGATAGACATTTTGATTTTGCGAGTTTTGTACGTAATTTTTATTCGGTAGGTATTCTGTTGTAAAATTGTTAGACTTAATAGAAATGCTTGAAAATTTAACAGGAGATTCATTAAATCTCACTTTGTGGTAAAAAAAAAAAAATTGAGTTTAATGTAGTATTTGTTTTTATAAAGGAATTTTGATACTATATTTTGACGAAAATGGTTTGAGTAAAAAATTATCTGGAACAAATCTAATTTTTCAATTTTTTTTTTTCGAACATATTCTCAATTTAAGAAGCTTGGTTAAGTCAGAATTGAGCGGACTAAATTTCGAAATTATAGCTTTTTGAAATTTATATATTATGCAGATATTTATGTCAAATAGCTCTCCGTTATTTATATTTTTTTTTTGTGGTCATGAATACGTTATTGTCATGCTATGAGTCGTGGGTTTGAAACCGGGGCTTAAAAAAAAAAATGTTACACTTTTTTTCCTCTTTTACCTAAATAGGGAAAAATAAATTAATTTTAAGTGTGATTAGAGATCTAACTATCGCTCGCTCGGACGATTATAACCGAAAAATCTCCTCGATTTGTTGTGCAAACTTTTCTACCAAAAATCTTGTTTCCATCTATTAAGTGTAGCTTATTTTCCGAAAAGAAATTTTATCTCCAAGATTTAGGGATGTCATTTTTGTGATTTTTCAATCAGTTTTCATAATACTTGGGAAAAACCGAGATAAAATGTCGAAAAAACGGAAAATGTACGAAATGTAGCTATTAGTTAAAAAAGATTATGGCCTTTTTTTCCCTGTGTATAACTATTCTACCAGCAATTTTGCCCCGATTTACGATGATAGCACTTTTTCTGAAAGTAAATCTAACTGGAAAGATACTTTAGAGAGGTCGTTTTTCAATTTTTCCAAGAGTTTTCTAAGCGAATGTGATAATCCGGGAAAACAGGGAAAAACGGGAAAATCGATACAATATTAAATAAATATTATTATAGAAAATATATAATGCCTATTTAATTATTTTACCGTAATGTGACATACATACGTATATTGTTGACAAAACATCACTATCAACTGAATCGTTTTTCGTTAGCAATGGTTTATCGTTGCTTACAGATATACATTAAATTACCCCTAAACAGTGTCCGCACCCGTCTCCATTATCCAAGGACGTCTTTTTTTTAAAAAAAATCTTTTGCTAACCAAAAGTAAAATTTTTCTCCGAAAACGAAAATGTAAAATATACGGTACGGTACGATACAAAAATTTCCAAATTCCGGCACACCGGATATACCGTCAGTCCTGGGCTACGGGCGGATACATATTATACGCACCAACGCACCTGTATGGAACACTATGTTGATGCCCAAGTAGTAATGTGTACCTACCTACTTTATTTATATTCACCCATCATTTAAACGTGACTTGTGAGCGTAAACTCGCTAAGGCGACGGCAATTTTACATTCTTTTACGTACGCTCATATCTGTACAATTGAACAAATAAAAACAATGACTATACTTATCCATAAGCACCTATATAACCGTACTGTTACTTATCAATATAATGTTAGAATGATATTCGGCCGATTCCGGGCTATTTTTATAATTTTACAACGGCGAACAACTAATTTGGAAATAAAAACAAATATAATATTTTATATTTAAATATTGTTCTATTATTTTAATAGAATTGTTTTCTAATAAAATCAGTAGATGGTAAATTCAATCAAGCAGATAGAAATTATATCCATAAAAAAAAAAGATCTACAGTTCTCCGACCCCGGCGCCCCCCCAAGTCGTAGTGCCCCTAGATCATGACCTAGGTAACCCAGTCCTAAATCCGCCCCCGAGTGTAGTTATAAATTTTTTTTAATTTAATATTTACTAATAACTATAGTTACCTACTTACACAAATACATCAAGAGGTACCTTAAAATATTATATTATCTAATGGGTATTGATTTTATAATAAAAAACATAATATCTAGAATTTATTCTCAATTCTAGTAGAGATCGAAAACGATATTATTTGATCGGGGTTAAAATACAGTTGTGTTTTTATAATTTTACCGGTGGACACCTAATTTATAAGTCGAGTGTGACAAAAAAATACTGACCCGTATAAATAGGTACCTACCTAGGTTAGACATATTTAGAAACACCGGACCGCAGCGTTTTACTTACCCTTCCCTTTTCCATTTGCCACGAAACATGTACTGTCAATTTGTGAGGAGAAATTGACCGACACATAATGGAAAGGTCCGAAGGTTGACAGTGTTATTATAATACTGTAGGCACCTATATTACATTACTTATTCGTAGTCCTATTTATCTACTCATTACTTGTGCCTACAAAGTTTTCACATGGGTAAACGACACGGGGACATCAGGATAAAGCAAAAGAAAAGTGTATTTACCAATACACAAATATAATCCGACAAAACAGTGTAAGTAGGTGTTTCTAATGTTACGGGTATGGAAAAGGTAAAACGACCGCTTTAAAGCTCTTCCGTAGACTGTGATAGCGTGATCCTGTAGGCGTAAGAACGGAAATCGGAAACTGAACGTTCCGATTGTCGATGACAATAATATTAAACATAAGATTTTTGGAAACGACGCCTATTTGCTTATTTGTTTTTTTTTTTTTTTAATGAACGCAATTTCACACAGTTTGTAACCCAATGCAAGGCTGGCTGGCGACGTACTTCAGAGCGGTGAGCGGTAAAGCGATAAGCGATTTCCACTGACCACTCAGCGACAAAGTGACCACATACTAAAATTGCGTCTACTTTTCCGCGATAACTGAAATATGATAAAACACATGAAACCACCTAGGTTAAACCGTCAAACTACAACAGTGGAAAACATTAAAATAAACGAAAACTTTTTTTTGTAATATTATTGAATCGGATTGTGATCATCAACAATGTTGATAAGGGTTTGCCGCTCGGCGCTAACCGATAAAAATCAAAATGGTTTTGACGGTCACCGCTCACAACTGCAGTACGGGCACTTTTATACTAAACTATACGTTCGATTTTGTCAACAAACACGACGCTCACCGTTCTGGGGCATGTCCCCGGCTTAACTCAAACGACCCTACTCACACGGGCGGAAATATTTTCTGGAGAGATTTACAAAAATGCGTAACATACTCGATTTCAGTCTGTTCATAAACGTGAAATTTGTATCGTTTATTTTATTACAATACATTTTATATGCTTATAACGATTTGTAGATAATAATAACGTGCAATCTGTACCGTTTGTAATTCGTAATAATAAAAAATAATGAACGATTTAATTTTCGATTTAATAATTTAACAACCGGTCTTTGTCTTTGGTAACCTACCTACCTACCTACCCACCTAATAACTAATAGTATATTGACGCATTTTAAATACTTGGAGGGAATTCAATATCGGAGGACATTCCAGTTGGCGCGCCTGTATCTTTGGAATGTCTCTCAAACATCGAAATCGGATTATAAGGATTGCCGACGATATTTTCGTAGATATCAATGTTAGATCAGCAACCATCACGATACACAGATCGTCAGATACTAGACCGAATTATTATGCATTAATACACAATACCTACTAAATAGTTAGATGTAAAAAAAAAAAAAAAATTGATTATTGAGTGTAATAAATAATGTTTAAAAATTGCATCAGTGATTTTTACCAATACATGTTTGATTCGTTTTTCTTCTCTTGAGCTGTTTGGAATTACGCTCGTAAACACGAAATACTATCGCGTCGATTGTTGTCTAAAGTATCGATATTTTTATCATGTACACGTCAAACAGGTAGATGCAACAGGTTGGCGGTGTATCTTTCGTGATTAGTTAGTGTTCTGTGTACGGTTCGTGTTGTTTTTATTTTTTTTTTTTTTTAGTATTTCTGTATAGTAGTGTCAATATTAGTAAAATGTGTTTTAATTTGTGCGATTTATTGACTTGGTACATTGCTCATAGTGAAATGGAGAAGTATTACTCATTGAAATATATATAAAAAGTAAATTTAAACTTTAAGATTACAGCCCATATTTTTAAGAAAGAAACAATTTTGATGTCGTTATTTACACTCAAATAAATCATTAAATACTGACAACCACCGAAGTATTCAAATTATTCAATAGTAATGTGACACATGAATACCCATCTGGCTACTTATAATAAAACAGTTTCCTGCATTTCTATTGAGACCAATATTATAATATTTCATAGTTGCTTTTATCATATTATGATAAACAATATAAAGTTTTCTCGATTTTATAATTTTCACAGTGATTTAATTGTGAGGTATGCTATTTTCCCTGTATTTCTTAAACATTAATTTGGTTTTCTGTACTTGGCATACCTAGGTATTTAATAAAACATTATGTATTTGCTATATAAATTAATAAATTTACATCCGGTTGAGTTTTACATTTAAATAACAATTAAAAAGCGTACATCGATTAATACATTGTAAGTTGTCAATAGGAGCAGTCCATATTCACTTGAGATAGGTATCTAATAGATAGTATAATAGAAATCTGTTACTTCTTGGATTGTAACCAAAAACCACTTTCTAAAATTAAAAAAAAGAGGTATTCATAAACAACAGTTATTTACCAATGATATATGCAACACTTATTATTTCAATAATGATATTTTTTTTTTCAAAATTATCATTTGGTAATATATATATCTAGTTACTTATAAGAACTTCATTAAATTGTTTGATATACCCAGTTATTCGTTTTATTGAATTATACTTCTAGATATATACTTTGGTTATAAATATGAAAGTTCAGTAATCATAATAATAGTTTTGTTTCAGGTTTTTTCATTTAAAACTAATCAAAAAATCAAATCATATTACTTTGACATATACTATGAATTCATACATAATGAAATATTAAAATGTGAATTATAAAAAAATAATAATAATAATAATAATACAAGATAAAATAGGTACCTACCTATATTTAAACAATATATATTTTAATAATATTAAATGATATTTGCTGAGATATTTTTACAAGTATTTTTATTTATTGTTGATTCTTTAACATTGATTTCATAACTTATTTTGCATTGTTTTTTAATATGATTATAAAATTATTCAAAACGTTTTAACATTTTCTATTTGATTACACTGGACATATGAGCTCTGATGGCCAAATATTGTAAAAATAGATCCTTTTAGATATTAGATATAGTACATTAATGGAATTAGTATATATATATTTAATTACCTACCTATAATTTATTAAACCTAATAAATCATTTTAAAATTTCATAAAGTGAGAGGCTAAATTATTTAATGGTTAAGTGTTATTTTGCAAGGAGTCTGGTCATCTGCAAAGTTTAACTAAATCATTAAAGACTACGGAGTTTTTTTTAGTAAATTATCTAGAACAGTATGTATTAAATGTATAATGAATTGTTCTACTTGGAAGATTATATATATATATATATATAATATGTTGTTATTAATAAGTCTTTTAAACGAGCTGTAATTACTTTCATAATAATACAAAAAGACAAAAGTAAATTAATTTTGAACATGGGTATTTAATAATTTGTTTGTATTAATTAATTATGTACTATAAAGGTTTTTTTTTTTTTTATCAAATCACATAAATTATTTGACTACATTTTATGTGTTATTTGTATTTGTTCAAATTTATCAGCTATAATATATTTAGTTTACTGATCCTATGTACTACATTGTTGACCTAACTATTTCAATATTCATAACAAATAATTGTTCATATTTTGTATTTAGAATTATTAATCGAAATAGGTACATGTCTAGTAGGTTTTCAATAAATAATCTTATAGTAATGGTTTTGAATTATTCATTAACAAATTAAAATGCTTTACCTGTACACATTCATACTGTTTACTATGAACTACGAAGAAATACATTTTTCACTGTTTTAGTAGTTTATTAGGCTATACAGATGTATGTAAATGGAATTTATTATTAACACATCATCCATAGGTTATATATTAAATGTAGACAATATAAATTAATTAAAATCATTATATTAATTTTCTCAAGTAAATTATAAATTTTTAGATGAATATAGATAGATTAGATGAACATTAACGTAGGTAGTTATAGTGAAATACACATATTTAATGTAACAATTTAGAGCTCCTTGTTTCTTAAATTTTCAAAAAAAAATCCATTTTGAAAATAGTCAATTCTTTACAAAATGATGAGTGTTTCAACAATAAAAAAAATCACACTGTATTAAAATTCCAATGATAGCCTAAGTAAGTGCTTTTTAAATTTTGAAATAAAATTGTCACCATTATTGTATAGCCATAGGCGTATGAGTAGGTATTACTAAAACATTTTGTAGAAAATAAACAGACTGGAAAAAGCATCTACTGTGTATGTTTCAATTATCTTTTTATATATTTCATTTAATAAATTAATACACTTGTTGTTATTTATCATTTATGTTTAATATATTTTCAGGGAGTCCCTGGGAAGTAACAATCATGAGTGGAGGATCATATAGTCCAAAATTGAGCATCCTCGGTGATGCTGTCAAATTGATACCTGTAGATTCAGTAGCAACATTTCAAATAAGTGCTATTGGATTTCATCGAGAAGACATACAAGTGAATGTTTTAAGTAAGTTAATTTAATTGAATATGAACATTCAGTGGCGAATTTAAGGGGAGGGCCAAAGGGCCTTTCCTCTCCATTGGCCTAAGTTTTGTTTTATTAATTCAATAGTCATAAGTAGCATGTATGAAATAGGTATTGTAGAATGTGTAGATGTGTTACAAACTTACAATATAATTGGACAGTTGAATATGTGACAAAATTATATTTTTATTTCGTAACCGTGGATAAATAATTTCTCTTAAAAAATATTGTATAGCTTATCTGGAAAAGTCTATAATTTTTTCTGTGTAACTTTCCTACTGGCCATCGTTATTATATCATATATCATATCTTTAATAAATAAAAATACACACTTAAAATTATTGTCTATTTGTTTGTATTTATTAAATACTGAACAAATTTAAATTGCCTGGCTGATCAGTATTCTAAAAACAAGAGTGGTTTGGTGTAAGGAGATTACTTTTAATCCAAATGATATACAAGCTCAAAGTTTTTCTATAATAACATAAAAACTATAACCAAAGTTTAAATTATTGTGAATAAGAAAATAATAACTACCCAAAATTAAATTCTGGTTTCGCCACTGTGAACATTTATACATTTTTTTTAAATGTATTTAAGTATTAGTTGATGTATATAGGGTTTAACATGTGACTTAATGGTGTTTATTTTTTTAGGTCCATCAAAGCATAATGTAATACATAAACTTATCAATGAAGGAGGAAATGGAATATTCAGGATAGAGTTTGTTATACTTGAAGTGGGAACACATTTAGTTGATGTTATTGTGGCTGGTCATAAACTTGGAACTGGTACATTATTAGCTAAAGGTTATAATTCAGCCCTGATTAGAGTAACTGATGTTTCCGATGCTGTTGTTGGCCAACCATGTCAATTCAGAGGTTTGTTTACGTGAATAACACTTATGGTTTATTTATTTGTTTTTTAAATAAAAATAATTGTATTGCATATAGTTGATGCTAGTGATGCGGGCGAAGGCCAGCTAGAAATATCAATTAATGAAGGAGAAGTGCCAAATCATGTTACTGTAGTTGGGGGTGGAAGATGTTTAGTGTCTTTTACACCTGAGCATGTAAAACCTCACATGATTGATATCAAATTTAATAGTGAAACTGTAATAGGTAAACAAAATTATTCATTTGATTCTAAATTATTAAATAATAAATTAGTTGTATTCAAATTTTTATACTTCACCATTATTTATTTTAAGGATGTCCATTTGTATGTTCAGTATCTGATACCAGTCGGGTATCAGTGAATTTATCTCGTTTGGAGTTGATTCCTGTTAATCAAGTCGCAAAATTTCATATGATGGTTGACAATTCAGCTTCAGCTGAGTTGTCAGTATCTGTAACTGGTAAATATTTGTTTTATGATTGTGTTGGCCACCTTATACCTTATGACCAAATAATAATTATTTTTGTTGAATGTCAGGTCCAACCGCCGAGCTGCCAGTTAAAGTAACAGGAAATGTAAATATAGGTTTCACTGCCGAGTTTACACCTCTTCAAGTTGGAGCTCATTCCATTTCAGTTGAATACAATGGACATGCTGTTAATGGTACTCCCTATGTAGCTAAAGCTTATGATTCAAGCAAAGTCCTAGTTGGTCATGTGCCTAAAGGTCATGTTGGAAATACATTTCAATTCACTGGTATAGTAGACATTTTTTTTTTCATTGAATATTATGTAATTGTATAATATAATATAATATTATTGTTCTTTTGTAGTTGATGCAAGTGAAGCAGGTGAAGGAAACTTAGAAATTACTATATCAGCCAGAGGTGCCAATATTCCCACTCAAGTGCACCCACAAGGCAATGCTAAATTTGCCGTTAGCTTTTTACCACTTCAACCTACTGATCATGTTATTACGATTCATTTCAATAAGGAACCAGTCCCAGGTAATAACAATAGTAATAAAATATATAATAATATTTATTAACTTTGGAAATAATTATATATTAACAAGAGATTAACTGTTGAAAAAAATTATTTTTCAGGGTCTCCTTTTATTGCTCACGTTGAGGGAGATTTGCCGCTAGTCAGTGGTTCTTCACTGACTAGCGCACCTGTCTCAACTACTTCCCATTTCACTATGAGCAATGTATCTGGGTCATTGGACGACATTGAAGTTAATGTTGAGGGTAAGTTTATTGATTAATGATATTTATTTTGGAATGTTTTCATTCTACATATTCGCCTCAGCACGACTGTATGGAATTTCGTTTATAGCTTGTTTACAAGTATTTGTGTCTATATTTTTACAGGTGGGCGATATCACAAATCTCGATTTTACTGATCTTCTATCTTTTAATAACAAACCTTTTAAAACTTTCTGTTAGCTATTAACGCTATTACTTTAATTTGGTGGAAGTTATCTTAATAAAATAAAATAAAACTAATAAAGTACTTAAATAAATGTTATTTATAGTATATAAATAATAATTATTTTAAGGTGGTAAATTTTTAATACACATATAAAAAGATATTAAAGATTAATAAAGCACTAATAAAATATAAACAATTTTGGTAGGTGTTATGAATGTATTATGTAAAAAATATGAATAATAAGTTTTAAATTCAATTTTTGTTTTTATTCTTATATTCTCATCTCATATTACTTATTAATGAGTTTTATGTTTTTGGGGTAACTCTTTTGACATATTTTCATAAAATACGCTTATTATATAATAGTGACAGTGACCAATAAAGATGTTTTCTCATAAAAAATAAAGAGTTTAATACAATATTGTCATAATAATTGTTATTAAAATGCAAGTAACTAAAATGTTACACTATGAACACTATATATTCTGTACAATTTATAATTTGAATGACATTTACTTTAAATATGACCAATCATATTATGTATTTGTGATATTTTGTATTAAATTTATTTAAAATAATACCTAAAAGATATGTCATACTTATTAGTATATCTTATTATCTTTGTCTTGTAAAGCTAAATTGTTTTCTGAATTTCCAGTGATTTAAGTTCCAAGATAAAATGTGTTGAAAATAACATTATTTTTTGAAATGAAACAGTGATTAGTGGTTGTTTTTCAATATTTTAATTTAAAAGTAAGTCATAATTACTCGAATAATATATATTTTTATCAAATTTAAAAATGTAATATCTGCCAAAAAAAAATTAAAAATTAATATTCCTTAAATAATGTTATCATTAATAAAAATAATGAATCAAATGCAAGTCAAATATTGTCTAATGTTTATTTACATTATTTGAAGTATGAAAACACATTTTGCATTGCTGTGTGTGGATATACAAAGGGCATTAAATTTGAGTATAAATGTTTACCTTATTTAATTTTACTAATTATATTTTAATTCAAGAACTATTTATGTTTAAATCATTTTTTTATTACTAACTTTTAAGATATGTAGTTAATTGGATACTATTTTAGAATCCCATTTAAAATTATTGGTGAACTAACCGAATAAAACAAATTAATGTAATATATTGTTATAATTTAATATAATTCTTGTGTAAATGTCACTCATAAATTTAGTTTCAGAAGTAAAAACATTTATTTGAAATTGAATTTGTCATAAAATAATATAAAATTGATTTAAACATTTTTTTATTATATTAAATTAAAATAATTTGCTTGTATAATGTTTATAGAGGTATATATTATAATGTAATACATTAAATTGAATAGTATTAATATTTATGTTATGATCCTAGGAATTGATTAAATTTGGTTTTTTTGAAGAATTCTACATAATTATTATTTTTAAATAATACAAATAAAAAATTGTTTTACCTATTCAAACTAATTTCATTTATTTCTAACATTTTACCCTTGTATTATGTTTATAGTTATTGGATATAAAATATCAACTTATGGTATTTTTTAAAGCAACTATTATAATTGATAAATTAGAAGACACCCAAGTGAAAATTTGTTTGAAAAGCAATCTGCTATAATAAACTAATAATTGGTTAGTTAATTTGTTATAAAGATAATGTATTAAAAATAAATAATTATTGTACAAATGGATAGTTAGCAATTCTTTTTGAATTATATGACAAATAATGAAATAACTTTTTTTTAGTTTCTTAAGCATGCCAACTATAAAAGAATTGCACTGTTATCTTGTGTACTACATTTCTTTTAAATTTGTTTTTTTTTTTCTAAGCAATTTATTTACTTAAACATTAAAAAAAAAAATGTTTATTTAATGCTTATGCGCTTCACTCATAAAATAATGTTACTAACACTAATGAAGGATTATATAGGTCCTAACGGGTCTGCTGTTCCTGCCCAAGTAAAAGAATCTGGTTCTCAATCATATAAAATTGAGTTCTGTCCAAAAATTGTTGGCGAACATAAAATCGCTGTTAGTTATCTTCGAAATCAAGTAGCCGGATCTCCATTTAGTTGTAAAGTATACGATATCAAAGCAATTAAAGTGAAGTCAGTGCCCAAGGGAACTGTTGGACAACAAGTCACTTTTATTGGTAAATACTAAATAATAAAATATATCATGTGAGATTTTATAATTTTAAATAGTTAGCTGTTATTTTTTTTTGGTAAATTTCAGTTGAAACAAGTCAAGCTGGTCCAGGTAATTTAGAAGTAACAGTAAATGGAGGTCGAGTACCAACTTCTGCTCAAGCTCAAGGACCACATACTTATGCAATATCATTTACACCTCGTCAGCCAACTTTACACACAGTTCATTTGCGTTTTAATAATCATGACGTACCTGGTAAAGTTTAAGTTAGAACTAACATTTTTTCGAAACAAAATTAATTTTTTTTTGGAGTTTCCTATTAAACATTTATATTTCCCTACATTTATTTTAGATTCTGAGCGGATCAAGGAATGTATTGGTTTTACAATGATGTTTATTTTTTTTTATGTGTGGACACTTTATACTAGAAATCTTACTTAGATTATCAAGTATAGCACTTTTTCTGAAGGGAAATATTTTCTAGGTGGTACTTATAGAGGTCATTTTTTGAAATACTCATTAATATTCAAGATAATGAAGAAAACTTGGTTCTTTAGATTAAAAAACGGTTATCATTGGACACCTTTTTTGTTATTAAGTTTTTATTATTTTAATCTATTTTTAACAATCATTGTTATCACGCAAAAAGTACATTGTAACCATATTACCATTATATGATCTATATATTGTTGTTGACAAAGTAACACTATCAATTGAACTCCACTCAGAATCGTTTTTTCATTAGAAATGATTTATTGCTGCTTACAAATATATATTAAATAACCATCTATATCCTACTTTCCCAACTTTCCACCTCCAACAGTGGCTGCACCCACATGCGAAGTATGTCAGTCTTTTTCTTTTTTTTTCTGTGGTCAACTATTCTATCAGAAATCTTGCTCTGGTTTACAAGTGTAGTATTTTTTTTAAAAGGGAATTTGACTGGAAAGATTTTTTAGAAAAGTCATTTTTCGATTTTCCCAAGAATTTTCCCAACAAATTGGAAAAAATGGAAGAAAAACTGGAAAATGTACGAAATGTAGGTATTAGTTGTAAAAAATATAGCTTTTTTTTCTATGAACAACTTTTCTACCAGCAATTTTGCTTTGATTTACAATGATAGAACTTTTTTCTGAAAAGAAATCTGACTGGGGAGGTACCTTAGGGAGATTATTTTTTGATTTTCCCAGGAGTTTTCTTAATAAATGAGAATAATTGACAAATAGGTACAACATTAAACAAATATTATTAAATAAAATATTAATGCTTATGTAATTATTTGTCCATAATATTATATATATATATTGTTGACAACACTATCTACTGAACTGCTCACAGAATCATTTTTCTTTAGCAATGGTTTATCATTGCTTACAGATATACATTAAATTTCTCCTTTTCTACCTTCCCAACTTCTCACCTACAACAGTGGCCCACCCAAGTGCCAAGTTGCCCATTGTTTTTATTTTAAATATACGATTCTTTCAAAATACTATGCATCAATCACTATGAACTATTATTTATAGGTTCACCATTTACATGCTCAGTTTCTGAAGCTGCGAGAGTTGTTGTCTGGTCAGCTACTGAAGATAAGGTTGCTGTTAGTAAAGTAGCATCATTTGCTGTTCAATGTGAAAGCAGTCCTCAAGTCCAAGTACTTGCACCTCTTAGACATTCTTTACCTGTTACTGTTATTCCAGCTGCTCAACCATCAACACATAATGTTCAATTTACCCCCATTGATGTTGGTTAGTGTATTAATTTAATTAATAATGTAATTAAAATTATACTATTGTTTTTGTACATTGATGTATTTTTAATTATTTATTTAGGTGATCATAGCGTTGAAGTTAAAGTAGATGGTATCCATGTTGAGGGTAGTCCATTTTTAGTTAAAGCATATGATGCTTCTAAAGTACGCGTTACAGACATTAACACTGGCTTTGTAGGCAAACCTGTAAATTTTAACAGTAAGTACATACTTTAAATAACATTTTTTTTAATAAATAAAACTAAAAACTACATAATTTCAGTCAACGCTAGTGAAGCTGGTGCTGGTAATTTAGAAATTATAGTATCAGTTAATGGAGTTAATGTTCCAAATTATGTTCAATCAGAAGGCAATGCTAAATTTCGGGTCAATTTTAAACCTCGTGATGCTGCTCCCCATAGTCTAAGTGTACGTTTCAATGGTGAACCCATACCTGGTAATATATATATATATATATATGTGCAATATTTTATTATAGATATAGTTTTAAAATAGTTGTTTGATTGAAAATGTATTATTTAGGATCTCCATTGACTTGCAGAGTTTTGGATATTGATCAAGTTGCTGTGACAGGCAATGGCGTTCGATATTGTGCCATAAAAAAAACAGCAGACATCAAAGTAGAAAGTCCTGATATATCAAATGATACAAATTTCAAAGTTAATGTTTTTTCACCATCTGGACAAATAGTTGATGTTAAAACAAGCATAATGGCTAATGCCATTGGAGCTAATTATACACCAAATGAAATTGGTAAGAACTGAGAAGTAATATAAATATATAAATATTTATAACAGATAGTTATGCATATAAAAAATACCTGTTTTGACCGACTGATTTATCAACATGGGGTCTAGAAACTATACATTTTGCACAAAGGTTCTTTATAGAATACAGACAACCAAGAACAAATTTTTCAAAACTCAACTCCTAGAGGATGGCTGATTCAGGTTTCCTGGTATCTTTGAAACAAAAATTGAATTTTTGTTTTATTTATTTATTAGGTTAACTTGGTGTCGTGGATAAGAAAAAAACAGTTATTATAAGTTAATTTGATTGTCACTGACAAGAAACTAAATTAAAAAAAAAAAATTACTGGCAACAATGGTTAACTGTGATAGTGACAAGTCTAACCTTTTAAAATTTTTTTTGTTCAATACTGAAGGTGGTGTGACATGAGATTTTTTGTTTTTGATTTATGAAAATATTATATACAAATAAATTAATTACATTATCTTAACCTACTGTGAATAATTGACTTTTAATTTTTAGGACGACATATGATAGAAGTTTTTATAGAAGACCAACCAGTTGACGGTAGTCCATTTGCATGCAATGTGTATAATATAAACAACATCAGAGTAACAGGACTTGATAATGCTAAAGTATGTTTCTAATAGATTATGTTATATTATTTATATATATATAATATACATTATACTTCCACAAAGGCTGGTAAACCAGTTACCTTCAGCGTAGATGCTACTGAAGCTGGGGAAGGCACATTAGAACTGGTGGTTAGCAGCCAAAGAGGCACAGTCAAGGCAGAAGTAGTGGCTTGTTCTAGAGGATTATATGATGTGACATTTGTTCCTCATATTGCATTACCACATTTTGTTAACATAACATTTAACGATGAGATTGTACCCGGTAAATAATATTTCTATTTTTTAAGTTTTAATTCATTTTTGAATGCTTAAATATTCTATTTTAAAGGGAGCCCATACAGTTGTGATGTAGTTGATTTAAATGGAGTTAAAAAGGGTGTATCTGGTTCATCAATAACTGCATATGGCGAAGGATTACAACGAGTAAAACTTGGTTATCCAGCTCGCTTTGATATTAATCCACATATTGCGGATCATGGATCTATTAGTGTGATTGTAAAAGGTTTGTTAACTTAAACAAAAAAGAAAACCTACGTGTCCAAATTTGTAATGCATATAATTTAAATTAGGTCCTGACAATAAGACATTACCCGTTAGTTTACATAAACATGACAGTGGATTGTATCGGGTGACATATCGGCCATCAATTGTTGGTGTTCATATGATAACAATTATGCATCGAAATCAATCAATTACTAAACATCCTTGGAAAGTTCAAGTCATAGATTCTGAGTTGGTAACTGTTAGTGGACTTAATGAAGCTATCTGTAATAAACCAACAATGTTTAAAGGTAAAAATTAATTTAAAGACATAGTTGAATAGTTTATAATGAACTTTCTTCTTAAAATATAGTTGATACCAGGAATGCTGGTAAAGGAGAGCTATCTGTAACAATTAAAGCGGCTGGTCGTAATGTCAAACTAAAAACTTCAGATGTTGAGTCCAATGGTATCCATCAAGTAGCATATCAACCTGTTATACCTGTACCTCATCAGGTTTACATAAAATATAACAATTTTAATATCAATGGGTCACCATTTGTGTTGAATGTTCGAGAACAAAATCCATCAACATCAGCTGAACTTCGAGTTATTGGTTTAGGACTTTATCAAGGTATTTCAAACAAAATGTCTACATTTATAATCGATAGTGCCGGTAAATCTAGTCATGAATTTGATGTTGTGATTACTGGACCACAAAATAGTGCCGTCCCTTCACAATGTTATCAACACAAAAATGGTATGAACTTGATTGTTGAATTTACACCTCCTAAAGTCGGTACGTTAATATTTTTATATAATATAATATATATATCTTATTTTTTCTTATTCATTGAGTAAAATGTTGAATTAATTGTAATTATTCAGGACAGTACAATATTGATGTCACACATTTTGGTAAACATTTAAAAGGATCACCATTTACTAGTTATGTTTATAATGCTGGAAATGTTAAAATTGACAGTCTTCCTGAAAAAAACAGTGCTGTCACTCATAAGCCAGTATCATTTAAGTGTTAGTATGAGATAAAAATTGTTTTACAGAAGAAACTGAATGATAATTTATTTAAAATTTTTAGTGTTACGAAAGAACGCTGGTTTGGCTGATTTTACTGTTACTTGTCTTGGACCAGAAAATGAAGACGTTCCAGTTGATTTAAAATCATTTAATGAAGACGTCGATGTTATTCAAATACATCCCACTGTACCCGGAGATTTTATTTTTAATATTCTTTATGGCAAAGATCATATATCAGAATCTCCATTAAAAGTACATGTAGCTGATCCTGGAGTACCTCGTGTTTGGGGTTCTGGTTTAGTAAAAGCATTAAAAGACATTCCATCTAAATTCTACTTATCAGCCTTGGGCACATCATACCACACTGTTCCTGTTGTTACTGTATGTAATGAAACTGAAATATTACCTGTAACGATTAATCAATCTTTAAATGGCCATGAAGGAGATTATGAAGTTTCATTTACACCAAATAATATTGGTTTTTGTGATATTAATATTGTTTGGAATGGAAGACATGTCGACGAATCACCTTATAAGTGTATAGTGGTTGATTTAAGTAAAGTGCTGACAATTGGCGAATTAAATTTAAATAGCCGTCTTATGCTCGGTGTAAATGCTCCCTCATCATTATTATTTGATATTTCAGCTGCTGGGCCAGGTACAGAATACCATATATTTTATCAATTTTTTGTTTGTTTTCTTTTTAAACATTTTATGTTACAGGTGAATTGGAAGGCCATTTAGAAAGCCAGGGGGGATCGGTTTTTCCAATATTAATGGACCACTCTGGTGATAATGTGAAATGTGTATTAACACCACATATATCTGGTCCTCATACTTTGAACTTGAATTTTGCTGGACTGCCATTGCCAGGTTCACCATATCCAGTTCTAGTAGAAAGTGGTGCTGCCGGTGTACGAGTAACCTTGTCAGGTAGTGGGTTGACAACAGCTACCTGTGGCCAACAAACAGAGTTTACAATCGATGGATCACAAGCTGGACCTGGTAAATTCATCATAATAATTACTAATTAGCATTGAGTAACAACATTTTTCTATTTTTCTATAGTTTTTAAATTTTATGTTTTTTAGGCAATCCTGTAGTTACCTTAGCAGGCTCTCGACATGAAATTTCTGTTAACATTGAAAAAAAAGGTGATAACATATACAGTGCTTTTTATACACCTGTAAGCCCAGGACCTTATTTATTAAATGTACTTTGGGGACACAGGTATGTAAAAATACATTTTCAAGTATTTTAAATAATCAATAAAAACAATTTTTTTCTCCTCTTAGGCAAGTAAAAGGTTGTCCTTTAAAACTCAATGTAACCGGAGTTTGTGATGCTAGTAAAGTTCTGTGCACTGGAGATGGTTTAGGTATTGGTACAGTTGGAAAAGATATAAGAAGTTTTATTGACACACGTAGAGCAGGTCCAGGTATATATTACAAATTCAATACTTTTCAGTTATTTATAATAATTTATAATAAAAATAATTTATGTATTAACTGTTTTTTTTTTTAGGAGAGTTGAGTGCACACTGTATAGGACCTCATAAAGTTGCCTATTGTGAACTTTATGACCATGGCGATGGTACATTTACTTTAAATGTGAAACCACAAGAATCAGGCAGACATACGTTAACTGTTAAATATGCTGGTGAGTATAATATAGAATTGTGTATAGCATATCTATTATTTATTGTTATTCTTAATAGGTGAGGATGTACCAGGAAGTCCTTTTACTGTTCGAGTTAGTGGAGCGCCAGATGCTAGTAAAGTGCGTGTTTATGGACCAGGTATTGAACATGGTGTGCTAGCAATTTTTCAAAGTAGATTTATATGTGATACTCGAGGAGCTGGGGCTGGCCAGTTGACTGTAAGGGTTAGAGGTCCTAAAGGTACATAATATAAAATATACTAAATTTCTAAATTACAAAAATTATTTTAAATAAAAAAAAATTGTCGGCTTTGTTATTTATTTTTAATTTGTCTATTTTAGGAGCATTTCGTGTAGAAATGCAACGTGAAAACCAAAAAGATCGAACTATATTATGTAAATTTGATCCAACAGAACCAGGGGATTATAGAGTTGAAGTAAAATGGGCTGGAGAACATGTTCCTGGCTCACCATTTATGGTTATGATTTTTGATACTCAAGAAGAACTTAACAGATTTTTACAGGTATAAAAAAATTCATAAAAACAATAATTTCTCATATTTTCTAATGTTATTGTAATTAATAATTATTTATTTTGTTGCTTTATTGATATTTCAGGGTAACCATTCTCCAGCAGGTTCTGATCTGTATAGTAGTGTTAATTATTCATCAAGTTATGCTCACATTACACCTTAAACTTTGTTACTAGGTGAATAATACAAAAATTGTTTGTCAAACAATTGTATAACATTAAAATTTATTGTTTTTAACTAGGATTATTGGTTAACGAATCCGTCCAACTGACTATTGAATTATTATTATTATTATTATTTATTTAATATTTATTTAATATTTATTATTTTATTATTATTATTATTATTATTATTATTTACAAATTAACGTATTTGACCAATCAAAATGTAATACCATGTTCTTGTTGTGTATCTTCCAAGCCTTATTTAACAAATTTTCATAATATTAAAATTAAGATAATTTAATATATTTTTATGTTATTGTTTTATTTAATGACTAGGTAATTGTTCCTTGACCTTGCACATTATTGACTAAAAGAAAATTTATCCTAGTTCTACATTTTAACAAAATGTGTTCAACCGTTACGAAGCTATGTTCTATTGTTTTCTGGTTAAAAATGTGATACCACACAATTTTTTTTGTATAAGCTTATACGTTTTGTTCAGTTAAATAGTTCAAAATTAAAAAGTTACCTTTATGTATGTATTTATAATAAACTGGTTGAAAAGAAACCTTTATAAAAATATTACAATAACTGAATGCAGAGTTCAGCTTAAATGACAAGAGAAAATATAATAATATTATAAAAGTATAATGTCTTCAAAGCATAAATATTTTTAAAATTACTTGTTTCTATTAATAAATCTCAAATTCTTAAAAGTTCTTTTTAATAGTAGTTTTTTTACATAAAAGTATATATGTAAAGAAAAATTCATGTAACATACAAAAACATAACTTATACCTTAAATGACTCAAAATAACAAATTTAGCCAAATTGATTTGTAATTTAATAGTGTCATTTATTAGAGATTAAATAATTGACATATCCTAGCATTGATGACAAATAAAAAAAATGTCTATTGAGCTATCAAAACTAGAAGGCAAATCAATGTAGGTAAACAAAAAGAGATCTAAGTGAGAACCTTGTCGTATACCAAAACTGGTCTTATATTTTGTTTTTGATTAAAAATACATTACTTCATGAAAATTTGACACGTGTAAACAAAACAACTGATTGTTTTTATCTATGATACCAAGGTAACCCATGAATTAATAAAAATACCTAGTTTGACTTTCATTTCAAAAATAAATAAAAACAGTTTTTGGGATGGTAGTAGACATATCGGTCAAGTAACACATCAAAAAAAAAAAAAAAAGCCATAGAGAATCGAAAAAAGCATATGTACCTAAAAGTTACTGCTCTTGTATACTTTGTTGGCACACAATTCAAAGTCCTAAAACTTTTTGAACAGGAATAAGTTTTTGAGTACATATCTAAATATTTTCTACTAGAAATCTTAATTAAATCGAAAATTGAGAGTTGAACTATTCTATTAAATTTTTAATTCAAAATAATTGGGAAAACCAAAAAGTCATAAAATGAAAATTGACAAATTTATAGATACATTTCACTAGATCCCCCACTACATTAAAAAAATTTCAAACTGTTTAGGGCCAATATTTATCACGGATTTGCATGACTGGTCCCGACATTTGCACCATACTTTCCCGTCAGTCAAAAGTAATTTTACAGATTTGTGGTTTGAAATCTGTCAACTCTTTGAAATCCTACAGTTTTGTTTGTCTTTTAGGTCTGAACCGACTAAAATGTCACCAATCGCCTTAATAACAATTTGATGAAAATATATTTTTATGTTGTGTATTCCTTTAACTAGGTATTAAGTATCTATTTCTATAACATATATTTAATAAAACCGTAGAGGTTCATATGAAAACACCGGCCATACATTTGGCGCAACTAGTGTACACCTGTCTCGCCTTAGTGGCCTTAGCTGGTGACAATTAGGTACCTATTTAACTTTTCAACGCCCATTGTAGCAAATATGCAACATGTTAAAACAATATGTTTCCACACTACATATGGATTACAATAATTGCGTTACGTTGTCTAACGTATATTTTAAACCGTAATTTACGTTTTATATTCATACGCGCATGCAAACGTTATCAATTACCGTTTTGTAACGTGTTTCAAGCTTGATACAGTAATTTAATCGTTTTTCTCTCGTGCGGTTTTTATTTTCTTGATTTACAAAATGTGCTTTGAGTGAAAAATTCTGTTTTAAACCACGGGAGATAAAATTTAAAATTATTATAAGATTTATATGAACATTCGTTACACGCAAATAATTAATAACGCAGTAGTTTTACTTAGTTTATTTTAACAGTTTAGATAAAAAAAATACAATTTTCTAATACAAGCTCAAATACAGGATTTTTATAATTATTTTTCCCAAATTCAGCGCATCAAAATTAGTTTAGGATATTTTTTATGTAAAAAACGAAAAAATTGGGCATGAAGTGGGTTAATTTGTAAGTAATTAAAACTAAAGCATTTAATATAATTTTTACTTCAAACTACTTAAATTGTATTACTAAATTCACATATTTCTTCTATGAAATAAATGAATAAATGCATACAGTTTATTAATATTAACTAGGGAGGGGGGTGCTAGGGAGTCTTTAGCATACCCAAGTTCAAAAAAAACAGTGGTTATCATAATATTATCTACAGATATATAAATTTCATATATTACTTATTACAGTGAAATACCAGTTAACAATGAAACATAAACTGAATTCGTATTTTTAAATACTACGCGTTATACAGGTCACCAATGGTAGATCCAGCATTTATTTACAGCTAGGGTATTTATCATGGGAAGTTAGTAAGACAGACGGTAGTTTACATTCGAAACGCGTGGCTATCGATTCAAGAAGTAAATCTGTGATTTCGGTTCTAGTTGCATTAGGTATAGGATTTAAAGTCAAACCACGGTCAAATTATGAGCCATATTAAATATTTTGTCCGTGTATTTCTTCATCAAACATTGATAATTGTATAGGTACATGTATACCAGAATACGCGATACATATAAAATCATCGAACAGAATAAAATTTTTTTTATTTATTTTGGTAACGGGTTGGCACTTGTCTTCAGTGTCCGCCCCCCCCCTCCAGATCAAGCCTTGTGGACCATAGGAACTTAAATACAGTCGTAATATTATCTAGGTATTTTTCTATAAATCACAATGCTTTGGGGGATGTATCCTCCATATTCGCCCTCCGCCCGGAATCACGTATTTTCTATAATATAAACCCTCGCAGTTTTCCTAGTTTTCAATCCGATGGGACACCGGATTAACGATTGATAATAAATATCTTAATAATCCATAGCCCCACGCCCCAGCCATGTTAGTTTGTGGATTATCTGGTAAATTAAGAGACAATGAGATAAATGTACCATTGTACCATACAATGTTCGAGGATTTTTGAAGTACGTTAAATTTTCTATCTGAAAATTCACCGAGATGTTGTTGGGAACCAATTGGTATTTTTTATTACAAAGGTCGGCCAATTATTGAATTACCGTTGTCGGATTTAAACAATTATTTCTCGTTTTCTTCTTAATATTCACCCCGTAGTTTTTATTCGTCCCATTTTACGTTGATTTTGAACTACAGATGTTTACCCACTTTCTAAAAAATAGCTTTTATAAAAAAAACTTATGATAACTTAAAATGTATTTTCTGTTGAGTAGGTTAATAATACGTTGTTCAAGTACCTAACTAAAATTAAACATAATAATAATATATTTTATAAAATTGTGTTTATTAACGACCATCTGATAACAATAAATAATCTATATGAAAAAAAAAAAAAAATCCATTAAATAATATTTATTTGAATTTCTTTTTTATTCATTTAAATAATACTTAATTCTAATATAAATTACTATATTTACAAATATAATTATCATATTAATTAAGAATCTACAAATATAACTTTTTTAGAATACAATAATTTTTTTTTATATTTTATAGGATAATACATTTCTGCAATCAAGTAGTTTAAAGTTTCAATTTTCCCAAAAGGGCGAAAAAATTAAAATGTATTAATAACAAATGGCTCAACATAAAAATGAGATCGTCGATCTTACGAACTAAACATAATCTTTTTTTTATGGCAGAGTAAAAACCGTATTGTCATGGAATAATAAAAGCACAATACAATAAAAAAAAAAAAAAAAAAAAAAAAAAAAAAATAATAATAATAAAAAAAAAATAATATAAATATTAAGGTTGTTAAGTTTCCCATAGTTAATAATTTATTATAGGAAGTGTATCTATAGTCCTATAATAGCAATAACAATAAGATTATTTATGTATAAATATATTTAATATATTTAAATAAAAATAAATTCTACGAAACCTAAAACTGGCGCGAAAAAATTTTAAAAAAAATCTAACATTCGTTCTTCGTTGTCATTGTGATCATCGTCATCAAAACGTAATTATTATTATTAATATTATTATACTGAAAACAACAGAATTGTTTGAAACGAATAATAGTCGTACAAGAAATTATTAATATCATAAAATATTGTACACGGTGTGTGTTCGAACAAACAGACTATAACAACGAATATAATACATATTTTAACGTATAATATTTTTATTTTTTTTTTTTTTAATTTTTTTTAAATTTTTTTTTTTTAATTATTATTATTATTATTTTGTTTGTAAACACTTGTAAACACGCTATACTATTTTATACCAGTAAGAAACAACATAGGTAATATACAATAAATCTTCATTTGGGTGATAACAAATACATTTTATACACGCTAATTTAATATCGTATAAAGCGTTTGTTTTCACAATTAATTTAATATAATATTTTAGTAGTGTTATGTAGCTGACTCGTTCACTCGTATTTAAAATCAAAATTTTAAAATTGTCGGGTGTTATTATTTAAAATTACAATTCCAAACCGATACGGACCGTTCGGATTCGTTTATTCGTTCGAGTTTAATTACCAACGTCTTATCTGTTTACTACCAAGTGCATGGCATTACGATGCATGGGTACGGTTATTAGTAAATTGCCATTGTTCGTTTGCCGTACGAATTCAAAATTATTGCATTACGCATGCACGAGTGACGGACGTTTCAATTACGAAACGCACAGTTTTCGTGTGCGAACAATAATATTATGATCGGCTATTGTAGATCTGCGGGCTGTGTATATTGACGGATTTCGATAATAAATTGGAAACATTCGACTACCGGCGGTCGAATAACGATATCAATACGACATAGGCGACGAGCGATTGCAATGTTATTGTCCGATCGAGAGTGCGGTCGGTTAGATAACACTTACATAATATTTTTAGTATAACTTAAAAAGAAACCATAATTAAAACAGCTTCGTTTTATAATATGTTAAAACGGGGTAATTGACACTGTTCATTTTCAAATAACAAAACAATAAAATTGTCTTAACTACCTAATATTATTCCTCAGACTAGATAGTATTTTTAAACACCTAATTATTATTTATTGCTGAGACATTTATATGTATGTCTAAAAGTAAACATTTTTTTTTTTTTTTTTTTTTTTAATTTTTTTTTTTAAATATACATAAATATGTTTTTGATTGTTAAAAAGAAAATGTATATAAGGAACCCGTTGGTAGGCCCCAGGACGTTATTTTTAATTTAATAGGAACTTAGGGATGCAATATAATTAAAAACACAATGCGGAGAACAACTGGTGGAGGTGCCCGAAACTAAATTTATACGAACACAATACTAAATTAATTTAATTTTGAAGGAATTTATTAAGTGCATTGAATAGATTCCGTTGAATTTAAATGACATTATCACAAGGTTTACTTTTTTAAATTTCTTAATAGTTTTGATGGAGGCATAAATTTAAAATGAAAATAAAAACAATAATTTAAATATCCTCAGACTGGACAGTCTCGTACAATTTGAGCAAGTGGATTTTGTATGATGAACTGAAAACGTTGAGAATGCAATAATTATCCTCAGTTCTGGATATTAAAAATAAAAAATATAAATTAATAATATGAAATTCAATTGTAATTTATGCCTCTGCAACACTACCATCATCATGCAATTACTTTGTCAAGTTTTTTTAGAGATACTATATGAAATGATATTTACATTAAATTATTATAGGTACGCATTGGTCAGCCTACCAAGTTGACTTTTAACACGTTATGTTCTGTTTAAAATTTAATAATATTCATTACGGTAACGTTATACATTTTTAATTTATTGATTCTGCAATCGTGTAAACATTATGAAAAAATTGTCCTTGAGCTTTTACAAAACGTCGTTCTGTATACATTAACAGGCACTTTCGATGTATCCCATTCTAGCCATTTCTGCTTGTCTCCTTTTGTACGCGTAAAATTCTTCCTTCATTGCCTGCAGTCTTGCTTCCACGTTTTCGTATTTCGCTTTTTTCAGTTGCGTTGGTGTTCTGGACCTAGACGGCGACGGCGTAGTCGGCGTCCTCGTCATTATCATATCGGTCGGTGTCGGCGATACCGGAAAGATAGGATCGAATTCGTATTGGTCGTCGACACTCAGCGGTTTGCTAGCGGTGCTGTGCGAAGAAGGAGACGGTAATATCGGAGAGGTGAAATCGAGCCAATGTTCGTTGGTGTAGAACAGCGAGGGCGGCGGGGGCGGTGGTTTGTACGGCGGGAGTATCCTGACCCAATCGTCGAGTCCGGTGTTTTGGTGACTAGAGGTGTTTTTCGAACCGAACCCACTGGAACTCGATCGGCTTTCCGGTGACCTCTCGGTGACCATGTCCGACGTGAGTTCCGGGGCGCTGCGGGCGTATCGCATGTGCCTCGATCTAAACCTGGGATTGGGATGGTATCTCGGGCTGGGCTGTTGCATCAGCGTCCTCTGGTTTTCCTCGTGTATCACCCTCAGTGACGGCAGTTGTTGGCTGTATTGCTCGTGCACGCTCCTCAGAGTCCGTTCGGCAGAGCCCGGCACCGAACTGAGATCGTGATTGAAAAACTCCGGTGGTTTCCGGGACGTTGGAGAACTAGCCCTGTACGGCGTTTGGGGACCGCAGACCGTAGCGACGATAGGCCGACGGCGGCTGTCCACGGAGTCTTCGGTCCGTACGCTGTCCTCACCTCTGGTAATCAGCGGCCGTTGGCTCCACGTTCGGTTCGAAAAGCTCGGATGGGACAAGAATCCTCCGTCGTCGCTAGAGCTACTCAAGCTAGACGATCTGGAATCTCTAGTCAAAACAAACCTACCGTCCGCGGACCGAGAAATACGCCCTAGACGCCGGTGTTCCAAACCATCGACACAGTCTTGGTCATGATTTAAAAATGAACTTGAACGGGATCGCGTGACCATATTTAGAACGACGTTGCACCCGCTGCTTAGACTTGATATTCGGGTTGATCTAGATCTAAAAGTAAGAAAAACGTAAATTACTACAGATCATCATTCGGAATTTGATTTTAGTGTAGTACAAAATGATGAATTTTGTTGTGAAATATGAAGCGAAATATACACTCCAACGCGTTTCTAAACACAATAATATATAATACATAATACATTGTGGGTACAAAACAAAAGACATGCGAGTTTTTTATCGAATGGTATTTTCATATTATAATAAAACAATACAAACAATCGGTGTTTAAAAATGAATTTACTTTTGAATGTGCAAAAACTAAATAATCTATATATATATATATACTATAATATCTAAATTAGGGTTCTTAAATTTATTAAAAAAAAAAAAAATAAAAATAAATAAAAAAAAAAAAAACGATAATTTATCGAAGTTCATTAATTATATAAGTATGTTTTAATTAGTTAATTTTAGATTAAAAACGGTTTAAACTTATTCGAATTTATACAATAATGTTATTATGGTATAACTACGACGCTATATCTCTATTATACTACGCCTACATTTATCTACTATTCAACGATTTGAAAATAAAACAAAACACAATTATTATTATTGATTAATAAAGTGCAAGCAAACAAAACACACGCATACTGTGATGTACCAATATTATTTTGAATTTGTGCGGCTCAACAGCTTGCTAGCTCTTCACCTGTTATCCTGAACGAAAGCACATAAACAAATAAATAAATAAATAATGTATAAGTGTATTAATTGAACATGATGATTTAGAAAACCGTACATTTTTTTTTTTTTTTTTTCGATTTTATGTGTAAAATTGGTCATTAGTATTTTTAACACAACTCGTGGTATTTTTAAATTCTTTGTTTTGATAACAAGACGCATGCAATATTATATTGTATACAATTTTTATAGTGGAAATAATTGTGAAAAGATATTTAAATGATACGTAGGTAGGTATTAATATGGTCGCCCGAATCGATTTGTATAGGATTAAAACAGAAGCTCAATCGTACCCCGGCTTAGTGTCAAATTTGGCATATAATATAATACGGTTTAATTAAATAATATAAAATTAAAAATAAAGCAGTTGCGAGTGAAGCATTTTTTTTTTTCTTTTATTGACATAAATGCTTCGCTTACGGATTATCGGCTAGGACAATTCGAGTCTATAATCTCGGTAAGTACGAGAATCCGCGAGCCTATAGACAAAAAATAGTATCCATGATAATTTCCCTATCGTTTTCCTATTAGTATAGTACCGATATACCCGAATTATATAATGTACTAATATATTGGATATTTTTGAAACTTACTTTTTTAAAGGCACTTGACTAGTTCCTGGTATCTGACCACCATTTATGGAGTCCGTAATTCTACACGCAACCATGTTGTAAGCTGGAATCATACAATAATTATACAATGTGACATTGATTAATGTATTGCTGTTGGTATTTTTCCGTTTTACGAATCACGGAAACCTATATACAATCATGGGCGAATTCATTTATTACCTTTTTCGTGTTTTCTTCTTTTTCTCTTATTACAAATTTTGACTGCACACACAGACAATATTATAGCGACAATGAAAAATAACAGTCCGCCGACAACTCCCGCCGTTATAGCCTTGTGTTTAACTCTAGCCGGCACGGGGAATTTTATTTCTTCGCTATTTTCAAAACTTCTCAACGAATAAGCCACCACGCGGAAATAGTAGGTACGACCTCCAACTAAACTTTTCACTGAAAAATAATAACGGAACATTATAGCTACTTGGTAGGCGTCAAATTCCCCTGTAATTTAGATCGAGAATTTTTTAACACATTCGGAATATTTATGAACTACTAGAAATACATAATTATGTATATTGTATATTTCAATTTTATATTCTGAAAGGATCGAGTGATCTATGTTATTTATTTGAAATTACGTGCACAAATTGTATTAGTTTTCAAAAAAAAATTTCATTTTTCTTCGTAAAATAGCCAAATATACACAAATTATTCAATGGATAATGTATTCTATTACACAGTTTGGTTGAAATAATATAATAATATGACTGTGAAATAATTGTTTTATTTTAATTTGTGTTCATTTTACGAACATTGACGCTTATTAATTATACGTATTCATTTAAATCCCAACTCAAAATTATTACTCTATACATTCCAATTTATAGTTGAATTATTATGTTATATTAGTACTCCATAAATGTTATCATTTTCATTGTTAAAAAAATGGCCGTTTCCATATTTGATTATATTTTCACTTAAATTTCTTACATAAGATTAACGCTTAAGTAAAACACTCAACTGCTCAAAATGATCAAACATAACTCTGTTAACAAACTTTTCAATATTCATACCGAGATAAGATGTATCCTCCGCTCTGATTTTCGCCTTGTTTAATGTTCTCCAAATCCCGTCTGTTTTATAATTAATTACATAGTAACGAACTAGCTGCGCTCTTTCTAACGGAGCTTGCCAAGAGATGACAAAGCCATTTCTGACTTCAGTGATAGATACATTTCTCGGTGGTCCAGGTTTTGGCCCTATATTGAGCAAAATCGTATGTTGAAAGTGTACAATAATAATTGGAGTATTAAGAACTAAAACGTGAAGTGATTTACACAAAACAAAATATGAAAAAAAAAAAAAAAAACAATAATAAATAACAAATTGTAATACATGAGCGAGGTGAAAAATAATAATCAAGCCGATGGTTTCAATACCTTTTGATCTAAATACTGGTGGATACAATGTAACACCAGAAGGTTCAGTGGGTAAAATGAGGTCACTATAGTCGAAAACGTCTGCAAAATTTGGAACAAAAAATAAACACATGCATGACAAAATAAAACTGTTGGTTTTAAATAATAATGATAAAAAATAAAATAATCCTGGAATGCCGAAAAGAACTCTCTAAATATATGTGTATTATAAATATAGGTATTAGATTATATTCAATAAAACGTATAGTTGTGACACCAACGCAATCATGCGGTGAATAAAATGTGCTATGTACAGTACATTCGAAATAATATTAAGTTGTCATGCATTATTTAGATAAGAAAATATTATACAATAAAAAAAAAAAAAAAAAAAAATATATATATATTTATAAATATGTATACATTATATTATTTGTGCTTACCGTCGCTCGGGGGAGGAGGTACCTCGGTGACCGGTGGCGCGGGACTTGTTTTTTTGGCCACGGTTAATGGTACGGCTGCTGCCACCCAACAGAGAATAGAATAAGCACAACAAACCAAACTTATGGTATACAACAAGGGCATTATAGAACAAAATATCGTGGACGCTTACAATTAAGTAAAAAAGCTTAGTAAACTGTCGCATACATAGGACGACCGATCAAAAACAAGGAGTGAAGTCGAATACAAAAGTTAGTTAGGTACTCAATTTGACCTTGGAACTTTGCACGCATTTAATTTTAGTTTTAATTAGATATTTGTAAGCATCCGATATTATTATATACAAAACATCAAGTTATCTACAGTCAACTTTAAAGTTTACGTTATTTTAAATTGTGCACAAAATACAGTTTACATTAAATAAATTCTGCGGAAGTTCAAGGCCACATTGATGTCCTCAAAAGGGTACCTATAATAAGATACCTTTAGGTAGAAGAGACGAGAAGGGCTGACCTTGAACTGCCACAACTGTGTTTAAATTATACGAAATACCCGTTTTATTGGGTATTCTATTACGTATAACACGACCGCATTCTTTATAAATTGTATTAATATTTTTTATTATATAATTACATCGATTTTCCATATTCCAAAGCGTCTAAAGCGACTAAATGTACAGTGCGGCCCGTTTATACAACTGACACTGTGTTGCCAACCCCCGTCAGTCGTTTAAAATCTATTACTTTTTTTAAATTTAAAAAACTGTATTATTAAAACTACGTCCCATGTGTAAACTATGTATTTACTCACCCAGTGTCTTGATTGAAATAACTTTGCTGAGCATTCCATCGCCCAGTGCATTTTTCCCTACCACTTGAAACTCGTATGTTGTGTCGGGTGTTAATCTGTTTATGGTAACTTGAGTACTTCCCGATGGAGTTACAGGTATCGTGGACCATTCTGACATTCCTGGTTCTTTATACCTAAATGGAAAAAAGAATAATAACTATGCAAACAATATTAATTATACGATATAAGTGTTCAATTTTACCAAATTGTATAGTCTTGTTTGTAATCAGGACCGCCACTATAACCGGGAAGCCATTGCAGTGTAACAGTCGTCTCAGACGCGTTAGCTGAGACGTTATACGGAGCATGCGGTTGAGTACCTTCAACGACCAAGTGTGTAGTTGTTACTATCGTGGCTACTTCGTTACTAGCGACACAGTGATAATATCCAAAATCTGTTTTCCTGAGGTTTTCTATTGTAATATTTCCACCGTGTATGCTATGACGACCTTTCGGTAACGGAGCTCCATCTCTCTGATTAGTCGATTTAAACGTTTAAGTAAGACAGTTACAATAACAATCTGCAATAACTTACTCGTTGCCATTGAATTTTGGGTTTTTGAGTGCCTTCAGCTTCTTGCGCATCGCAATGCATTTCGACTGATTCACTGATTTTTCGCTGGTACATGTTCTCCGGTTCTACCGTGAACGTTGGCGGTTTTCTCACCAACACTTCCATTTGACCAGACGATCCTTGAGTACCCTGTGCGTTATAGGGTGTACACGTGTATCTTCCCTGGTGGTTTTGATTGACCTACGAGACGAGATATGGAAAAAAAAAAATGTGATTAGTATATTTTTAGTTCAATATTAATAGTGCTTTATTTTGGTACCCTGGTAAATAACAGTGAACCGTTGTTCATGATAACGATGTCTTTTTGTTGGTAAGGCTCGAGCAATCGTTTGTCTTTGGTCCATGTGACGTATTGCAAAGGAGGATTGGCTTTAATATAACATTGCACAACGCCCGCTAATCTGAACGGTAAATACTGAACGGTCGGAGTGAATGTGACTTTTGCCGGATCTAAATATTAACAATTATTTATCGTTATATTAGTTTTTTTTTTTTTTTTTAAAAAAGGCTTAATATCGAAATTTGTATACTTACACTCAATATTCAAATAAGCAGATGCAGATTGAGGTTCACCTATGCCGTTGCTGACTTCACACAAATACTGACCCGAATCATCAGCGCTGACAGGATTTATGACCATTGAACCGTCTTTTTTTATTGTCACTCTGGTTTCTAGAGACGAAATTGACTTGACGAACACTCCGTCCCGAGACCAGCGGACAGTGACATTACCAGGCATGGCTTTCGCTCCGCAAGTGAACTCGACTTTTTCACCTTCTAGTTTTGTCTGGTTTATTGGCGGTGTCATAATTACGGCTCCGCCCGCTACTAAAACCCTAGCCGTGTGACTGATTTGTCCTTCGCCATTTCTGGCAATGCACGTGTAATCCCCGATGTCGCCGGCCCGGATGTTCGATATTCTCAATTCAGTCCCATCGTTGAATATTCCTACAGTGGCTGTTGGTTGCACATCGGTGGCGTCTTTAAACCAAACGATTTCGGGAGCTGGCGTACCCACAGCCTGGCAATTTAGAATGATAGAATCTCCGAGATTTATATATTGAACTTCGTTGGGGACAGTGACGAACCTCGGAGGAGCTAAAACAGGCCATTTTAATAATCGATTTATATAATTCATTTTCTAAAGGAATTAATTTAAAATAATAATATGAAAATATTTTCACTAACCGTGGACATCTAAATGAAACCACGTGCCGTTTTTATTGGTTGGTGATCGATTGAGAAATACCACTTTGCAGGCGTACCAACCTTGATCCGATTCTTGAATATTGGTCAAATTGAGCGAAGCAAGACCATATGGTGAGTCTGTGGAGACTCTAGCCACTCGGCCTTCATATCCCGTACCGCTATGTGTGGGATAGTTGTCGTACCATATGAATATTGGTATGTCAAGTCCCTGAAAACAACAGCAAATTTGTTATATTTTATCTCGCGATGTTTTGTATATAACAGATGTAGGTGTCTATCGTGTGAATGTCAAGTTAAATCATAAGCAAATGCTGTTAACGGTCGGCTAATAGTTAAAAATGTTGTTTAATTACTTTTTTCTCCCATTGCAATACGTAAGGCACGGGGTGTTCGGCTGGAAATTCCACTTGGCAGTTGAATACAACTGATTCGCCCACGATGGCTGTGATGTGTACAGCATCGTTGTACGCCGACCCGGTAGCTATATAAGTAAAAATAAACAGTTTTTCATTTTATAACTTGATATTAACTATGTTCACTATTTATAGATATGAAACGGTATTATTTTCGTATTCCTTTTAACAAATGGAAACCGACAAATAATAAAAACATTTTTCGTTTTCACACTTAAAGTCTAAAATTAAAATGCGAGCACCCGCATAGAAATTTAAATTAGATAATCTGCCGACTTCGGGGGCTTGTTTAATGCCCATCTGACCACTATTGTGTTTGAAATATCTGATATCTCCGTACACGCGTACGTATACTTAATTTTTTAATATTAGATTAAGTGCATAATATTATGTATAATAATAAATTCGAATTTTTTATAGTCGCAATATACGTAAATAAAATAGCGGAGTAAAATTGTTTGGGATTTGAATATTACATTTGAAAACAATTTATAAGAGAATCGCTTGACAAAAGGCAAAACAAATTATCGGCATTCATCGGAGTAAAAAAAAAACCTTTTAAGCTTTCCATGACCCAAAAGATTAAAGAGCTTCTTTGAGTTAAAAACGAAAACTATAATAACGCCGAGAACGATACCGATACGATGTATAGTCGGTTTGAAGTGAATATTGTGAACTTATTACTTTTTTTTTTTTTTTTGCTTTTATATTTTGAGTTGATTAAAACGAATTCTTTTCGGAGGAGCTTCAATCATTTTGAGTTATTCTAAGATTCGCATTTTTGCTCTGTTACTTAAAAAAAAATTAAAAGATTTGCGACTTTCCAGTCTCGTTACATAACATATTATGAAATTCGAAAAATTAGTAATTTGTAATAAATACAATTTTTAATAAGGGCAATTCACTCGCCAAAATGAAAGATAGAATACGATTTGATATAATAATGAATATTTTGATATGGTAATATTTCCGTTTATATCACATCGATGCACACATGAATGCACACTGCGAATACTGTTAGACGGATTAAATTAAGAAGTAAAGGTTAGGTTAGGTAAATTGATTTTATTTATAAAAGACAGGTGTGCATTTTTTTAAATTTTTTTCGTCGGGGGAGGGTGGTTCGAAATTTCATTCGCTTATTGCGAAGCTGTATATGTGTATGCGTGTAAAACAATTTTAGAAATCGCAATCGCGTGCATTATAGGTACGTGTTACAATGTGCGCCCGGCCCACGTACGGGACAGCCGAATGTTGGATCAATACCGACTGAAGAAACAACCGGCGAAAATCAAAGTTTGTACATTTTCGACTGTGTACGAAATATGACTGTCATAAAATATAAAACGCCAAAACCAATGGGATACATAGGTATACATACTCGCGTATAAAAATGTTGCATTTCAGATATTTATTATAACTTGTGCGTTACGTACAGCTACTGATACAGTGAAAACGTAATAATTCGATTGTGACAAAATTATTAGATTCGATTAAATCGTTTAGTCGTGTTACTCTACTGTTTTAAATTTAGTTTAGATTTTTTTTTTTTTTTTTTCGTTCCAAGTCAAAGGTAAAGAATAATAATTATTGTTGTTAGTAATTAAGTTTTATATTTTTAATATAGCGTGTTCACTCAAAACGTAATTATCCGAACATTTCATTTTAATCAATTAAACAATTACACAATTATAATTTCGTCTAACGTCATTTAATATTTAATAAACGTTTTATTTTACTTATCTGCCGAAACGATTAATATACAGACATTTAGTTTAACGAGGGATGAATTCTAAAAAATACCAGTTTAATAGTTTTAACGAGTACCCGCACTAACGATTTGTGAACATCATTACTTCACGGGAAAAAAAAACCAAGTCCTTTAAGATCCAAAAGTAATTGGAAAACGTATGTATGAAATTTTCAAAAAACCTTTTATTTCATAACATATTAAATTGTTGTCTTAGTATTTTATACGGCGCACGGATATTCTTAATATTCCACACAATGTAGGTATAGGTAGGTATATTTATTTTAAACGTTTTGAGAAATTCGATAAGATTGCGAAAAATCAACCGGTTAACGAATGAATGTGTAATAATACATAGTTTCTCTAATGGTTTTAAGCGTGAAAAATGAAATATATTAAAAAAAAAAAAACCAACTATATATATATATATATATAAAATCGCGTGAGGATGATACCATTGGCCGGAAAAGGCTTTTGTTAAAAGGGGTTTTCATTGTTCACCGGAAGGTTTTATGAAAAAAACTACTCATCTTCCCCATTAACCTACAAACGATAAAATAATGGAAAACGAGGATCCTTATGGATCCGAAGTATCCACGCCAAGGCATACAATATTGAGAATACTATTATTAAAACGTATACACACTACAAGTACTTATAATGATAAACATTTTTGTATATTAAAATAATAATTTCACAGCTGAAGCATATTGTATGTTATATTGTATGTTTGCAATATTGTATGATGTATACACAATATAATATCGATGAATATTGTTTAACAGGTTTTGTCGTGTATTTTATTTATTATTTTATAAATAAATTAAAACACCGGCAGATGCCGGGAAATTAAATATTCTCTTAACAGAAACATTAAACAAATTAGTTTTCATATTTAAATCGTTTTACACGTACAAAAGAGAAAAATATAATAATTTATTCTTTATAAAATATGAAAAACAAAAACGTTCTAATAATAATATTATTCGTATCATCGGTGTAAAAAAAAAAAAAAAACCACGGTAAGCTCTATAAACGTCGATGGATATGGAACATAATATAATATTTATGTCGTTTATATATTTTAATGAACACGTTCAGATTATTATTGTTATTATTCGAGTTCGATAACCATAACAATAGTAAAAGAAAACAGATTGAATTTTAAATACTTACAGGAATTAGGAATCGTATTAGCACTTTTCAAAAAATATCACGATTTTGGGGCGAAACAATTGGTTTCCGTAAGACTATACATAAACAACGTTAGAAACGGACCACACACTATACGCGCCCATCAGTTACTGTGTACAGTTTTTAGTTAGGACGTAACGCATACGTAAACGATATGGTTTTTGGTATTTTTAACATGACGTTACATATTTATGCGTTAAACAATAACAGACGTGTGATATTACAATAGGCTATCGTTGTCAGTTTTCGCAAATAAGTTTATGGGCACGTTTATTTAAAAAAAAAAAAAAAAAAAACTAAAACAGAACCCGATAAACGCGACTACACGTATATAATACCTGTATCCCGTGCACCCGTGATTATGTTATAACTTGTAACTGTTTGACTATAAATAACCCGATGCGCCGCACGCAAACACAATAACAATTAGACGACGGATTTATTAACGGGGCGAAACAAATCATCCACGTCAGTTTAATGATTTTCAAGCGAAAGCTGCAGGCACTCGTTTAATATGCACGCGTAACCGGCGTAATTGGATAAGAAAAATGAATCGCGTTTTTAACGAAGTTACCAATATAGTATACATTTTCTAGAAAACGGATTATTTTTCGTGGTGAAAAAAAAATAAAAAAAAAAAAATATCACATTTTTCTCGGGACCTTTTTTGGTTCATGATGAAATAATAATCAACCGTCACGTCCCGAGCACATACAGTCTGTTGATCGTGACGTGTTTTTAATTTCCACACGGACAACGGTGGTTTTCGCCAGTGTATTTCTCGTGTCGGACGAGGATTTTATATTATTTTTTCCCCCATGACAGGCCTCTATTAAAGGATGTGGGTTTCTGGTTTTTCGGATGGAAATTATATTTTCTCGAATTGATTCGCTTTCGTGTATTTTTTTTTGAAAAGACAAACTGTATATACTGCCGCATTATTTTATGTTTGTACGATATTATTTTTCGCGGCAGAGATTTTAACGATTTTAAATCAAACGTAACGTATTATAAGTATTTTAATTATTCGGCATCGGCATAATAATAATTAACGCAGTTAATAATTTCGAGCCGAAAGTTTGAATATTGTTTATTGTGGCGATCAAAAATAACGTGTTTAAGCCGCGGAATAAAATACGCGAAACTGTTTCGATACTGTTAATATCGTGTTTTTTTTTTTTTCGAATCAACATAATTTCGCCAAAACGTTTAACAAAACGTAATAAACGTGATGTGCGATTTTGTTCGTAAAACTGCATTTGTTCCGTCGTGCTATATTTTTCGAAATAACATAATGTCGTAACAGTGTTTTACATTCTACGCATTTATTTCGTCTTTACGGTCGATTGATAAACACGGTCTAAAGTATATCTCGTTTTACATAATATAGCCCATAGTAGATAACTGTACACACATATATATAGGAATATTATTTACGATACAACGCGAGTCTTTTATTCGTAAAGTTACGTACACAGTTAACTCGAATAACTTTGTCGGACGGTAATTTGGTATGATCGGAAAAAAAAAAAAATAAATAAAAAATAATAACAATATACGTACCGTACGGGTAGGTATTATGCGTTCGGTACGGACGTGTGTACCTGAATAATACGGCGGGAGAGGGAGTACCGTGTAAAAAGTCTGAAATACCGTCGCACACAAAACAATATCTCTGGAATAGCACGGCGTTTCAACGTTCGATTCATTGCGTTAACGTTTGTTCGATACACAGTTCGACGGGACGTAACAAATATTGTCGGCGTATTCAAAACGGGCCGTTCCGCGTTCGGTTTCTCCCGGTAAACGCGTGTCGCACGCGCACAACAACAAATCTATTCGTACGGCCGTGCGCACCGCGACGATCGAATTTCACCGTTTTTCTCCCGCGGTTTAATTACACGGAACAATATTACCCGCTCGCGAAAACTTAAATAATGTGCACGAAACACGTGCCATATTAAGGTCTAACTACGTTTTATTTTCCATGCACATATTGTATACGGCGTACGAAGTTTAATGAGTTATTTAAGATTTGCTTGTATTTACCGCTGTACAATCTCAAAATGTTCTTAAAACAGAACACGAATTACGGTACTGCGCTGCGGGCGCTCGCGTACAGCGCACGAGTACCGCCCGTACGAGTTTCCGAACAACGTTTCCGTAGTGCGTGCGGTTTTTTTTTATGAAAATAAATGATTTTAATAATAATCGTCGTCCGCCTTAATGCGGTTGAAGTTGCATTATTCCGAGTACGGGGAGCGCAATGTACTCGTGTAGTACGTTATTTTTCGAAAACGCTTAATTGGACGTGACGTCTGTTCAAGAGCGTCTCGAAACGAACGACGGGTTACGG